TCACTTCGCGTATACCTTCACTGTATCTTCCTTAAGCTACGGTACAAATCAGGTTGTGCTACAGCTCAAGGAGTAGCTTCCTGATTGATATGTCCTTTGGTTCAGCAGCACCTACACTACTCTGACAGGTATGTCACCATATATTCTGTGGTAGTCACAGCTGACGATTATCTAGATGTGTAATCATATGTAGCTGGCATGTCGGGTGATAGGTGTCACTCATGTAAGCTCATAAGTCTGCTGTTGTGTTTTAAGGGCTCACACTTTTAGCTTTGTGCAGGGTATCCATGCAAGTCTCAGCAAGTCATGACAGATGTGAAGAGTACTAAGCACGGTGTCTGTCTGGAAGATTAGCATGTACTGTAGTGTAGTAATAGTCCCTAGAGCTTTGTATCTTCCCTAGTTTTGTCAGGAATATATTGCTTTTTATTGTCAAATTTTCATGCAAATAGAGCGAAAATTCAATGAAAAATGTGTAATTTATTCAAACGGGTACTGCCGACGTATTCAAACCCCGCTGCAGAACACCTCGGGAATATGGAAAGACCAGCCCGTTACCCAATCTCGTTAGCTAACCGTTAGAGCTTGCCTAACGGTGCACTGATGTTATTTACTTATCTTTCTGACAGTTAGGTAACGAGGAGACGCGCGTCACGTACCGCGCAGTGAACTGTTCGGTAACGGCATCAACTCATTTATACCTCACGGCGCGCCGGCGGTGTAGGCCTCACGAGGAGATACCAGAGCCAATGCTTGCGTTGACATGTGCAGGGGTATGTTTGACCTGGTGTGACTTAGGTAATAGCTGGCATTGACGATGTTCCTACATGTTGGTACAGATTAGACTTGTGCTAAATGACTGGGCTTTAGGGTTATGCCCTTGCAACACTGAATACAACATTGTCAAGGCCCACAAAGAATACAAGGTGGTTGTGAAGTTCCTCGTAGAGGTAACAAAGTCCAGCGCGAACACTTATCACCGTGTCTTGCATCAGGTCTATCTGGATGTTTGGTGAGTTGGAACGACATCTCTACTAGCCGTGACTGACTTTGGCTGTTAGTAACTACCTCCAGGCAGGTACTGTGGCACAGCAAGATGAAGATACCGTTGTCCAGGGGGCGATGGCCTATATGGTTCTTGATACTGATTAGCTGTATTGTTTACATACCTGATGGCCCTGGTCTGTTGTTTTATTTGTCTTCGTTGCCCTGTAGCTGTAGCTACCAGAAATGTAGTGCCATCTGGTCTTTGATCTAACCACAAAGCCACGAGCTGTATTGGCACCTAAGTGAACAATAACCTGCCCAACATAATACCATCTAACTGACCAGCCTCTGAACAGGACGTAGCCTTCCTAATAACCTAATAAAAGGTAATTACCTGTTGTTAGCTGGCCGTTAGCCTAGGAGGTTTTCCCTGATGTGTCTAGCCTATGTGAGTTTCTGCCTAGCCCATCTGAGTTTCTGCCTAGCCCATGCAAGTTTTTGTCCAGCCTATGCAAGTTTCTGCCTAGCTCGTGTGAGTTTCTGTTCAGCTCATGCGAGTTTGAGCGGTGGAATTTTCACCTATGCACATGCTGATGCACAAAGATGTACAAAGGTGCACTTTTGCACAGGCATGTGCACTGCTACAGATGCCTAGCAAGTTTGGCATGGGCAATGGCAAGTTTTATGTGGGCATGGTGAGTTTGGCATGAGCGATGGCAAGTTTTATGCAGGAAAAAGTGCACGTATGTGCACTTTTGCACACGGTTGTGCTCTGATACACACCTCATCGCACTTAAGTGTGACAATTATAAAGGTTGCTATTGGACAAAAAAACGAATTTGGTGCTGGTGTAGTCTGTACATACAGTTTGGTGGACAAAAGTGTGTGACCTTGAACGAACAAGCATGAACGAGCATGAATGCACACGAACGCATATGAAAGTGCACGAAAGCGGGTGAACGTGTGTGATTGTGCATGAAAGTGCACGAATGTACACAATTGTGCATGCCGCTGAGCTTTGGTTTTTGTTATGTCCTGCTTTGAGATTGGTAATAGCACTAATGTGTGTGCGTTCGTGCATGTTCATGCATGTTCATTCACATTTGTTCACGTTTGTGCGCGTTCGTGCATTCATTTTATTGTTCAGTTTGGTGTAAGTTAGTAATTGGCTTTTATTTTTGTGATTATGCATCTCATTTGAATTGTCGAGTGCACGAAAGTGTGCGAAAGTGCGAGAAGGTGCACGAAGATAAACATTCAGCCAAAATGAAACTGTGACAAAATGAATACGTAGCTTATCTGATGCACACTTTCACATGCAAAAGTGCACAAAAGTGCACAAACGTGAGCTTTCATGCACAATGGCACACGTTAGTGATCAAATGCGCATCATCATGCACAAACATGCATGAAAGTGCACGAACACACGTGCAAAATCCTAGACGCACATCGAAAACAAAAATTTGCAGCCAGCGCGAAGGTGAGAATTTGTTTTTGTCCAATAACACCCTTGATAGACAATGCGCACAACAGTGAATAGAGTATCACATTTGTGCATATATCCTCACTAGCTGTCAATCATACGCAGTGAGTTTTTGCACTATGCTGCAAGTTTTTATTTTTGTCCATGGTAAACTGTGATAGGCGCACGAGATATGCTCGCGCATGCTCACTCATAGGCAAACGCAGGCCATATAAAATGTGAGTATATTTATGTAGCTAAATATTATACATGCTCTTGACCACTTATACCTGCGGCCCCTCATAATCGTGCATAATCGTGACACGTACAGCTGTCTTTGCTTGTCGTCACTTTAGCGGTGATTATTTGCAATTATTTGCACCCACAATCAAAGCCCGGCTCGCACATAATTGCCATAATGTGCATGATTGCTCATAACCCAGACCCCATTTTACTGATGTATTACAAAGTCCACTGAAGTCTGCTGAAAAAATTATTAGCGGCACAATGGCAGCTAATGGACACACCACTGACACTGTGCAAACATAAAATATGTGTGAGACCGCTGAATTAAACCTCTTCCCGCTCCTCTATTGCCGAAATTGATCGTATCCACAATCGCTGCGCCTCTGCAGCAGGGCGTGTCGGCGTTATGCTTCCGGGAGTCATATGGCCGTCCGAGAGCGGCGGATCGGTTGACGCGATGACAGAGGTAAAAGTAATCAAAGGGGTTCGCGTTGTTGTAGGGCTTGCTGCCATGTGCAATCCAAAAAGGGATGGTTTGCCTCCACCCTTCCCAGTCGCGAATTTCGAGTACACAGGCAGGATGATGGGCGATGGGCTTGCCTGAGCGCAGTCGTTGCCTGCAACGCGTGATTCAAATGTGCTCTTTTGTTGCGAAGACCACTTACTTGATAGCCGGACATGTCTCCTTTGAGTCTGATACTTCGTCGTTTCTCCGGCAAATTGGTCTCGCTGTTTCAAGCAACGACGTCGCAGCATGACCAGATATACTCCAAACCCAACAGCGAGTATGACTGCTGTAATGGCTATCCCTGAGATATCTCCAGGGCTAAGCCGTCGCGGTTTGGTTGTGAGTGTGGGAGGCGAGCCGTCGGGTGCCATGGAAGATAGACCAGCTGGTGGATGTGGCCCACCAGGTGACGGGCCGTCATGCTCGCCGTGAAGGGCAGCCATTGTCGCGGTAGTCAATACCACAAGTCGCTATGAACGCACACGGCGAATGAGCCGCTGGAGAGCTGTATGAGCGTCGCTCTTATGACTCTGGTGGGCGCGTCTTCCTGGATCTGACCGGGGACATCAAGGTCATAATCTAGCACACTGGAGCTTACGTCCAGGCGCAAGCACAGTAACACCATATATGTGGTAAGGCTTTCTGGATAACGGTCAGTATCAAAGCATTCATAGCTGTACCTATCTCGAAACCATCTGCGGCGTTGGCGACGAACATGATTACATAGCATCAGAGCGCCTAAATGATCCGTAAGCAACAAAAACAAGATGATCAAGAAGGATAGAGGCACCCGGCAGAACAACAACAGTCAACCCGTCAGCGGTATCTTACTCCTTCCGAGTCCTTCATCGTGGGTACCTAATTCCGGACTGGGAATTTCAACTACACCAGAGTCGGAACAGGTTCGATATTATGCGAGATGCCTGTATAGCAAAATGTGTAGTATATATACTAGCTATCAGCCCCAAATGATAATAACATGCTCGACAAAGTGGCGAATAGGACTTGAAGAGCAGAGCAAGAATGCCCGGACAAAATGTGCGCTTAACCATGAATTCGGCAATAAGCGCGATGCGATCATCAGCCACAAAGCCCGCAATCAGGACATGCATTTCCGTACACGTCTTGAGTAACATCTACCGCGCCACTTGCAGGTGCCATAATGACGACCTTGCCAGTGGTAACCGCAGAATCTTCGGGTCACGCAACTAGAAGGCTCTCAAATTCGTGATGCGGAGAACTCCGTCACGTGCATCGCCGAAGGGCGCTCTCGAGCTCCGGCTTGATTCCGCCCCTCATGCTCATCTTCCTGCTCGCTCAAGCTGCCACTTGCGCTACAGGGGCTGTGTCACTACCCAGCTGAGCTGAAGTCACGGACTCATCAAACGCATCGCTATTATGGAATTTTAGGCCTGTCTTCGTCGCCAGCTTCCGCATTTTGTAATCCGTCAGACGGCGCGTTGTCTGCTTTGTTAGAAGGTAAGCAGAGGATCTTAAGGCTCCTGATCCCACAATACTTGTTTATTGACGGCGCGCGACATCGTCAGGCATACCAGCACGTCGTCACCATGGACGACATCCCGAATATTCTCCGACATTGATGACGGCCTGCGTCTCTCGCGGGTGCAGTTATCGACGCCGGCCCGCAAGGACGTGAGGATTACGGCACTGTGAATGAAACTCGGTACTTATCTACCCGCAGCGGACGGCGCGATACCAGCTGTTCTCGACGTTGACCAGCCGGGAGACCGCGATGGCAGAGACGACGACGTGGCTCATTACAGGGTGCGCAAGCCTTTTGTTGCTATCTGTCAGTCATTCTGAGCAGTACCAGGAGTTCACGCGGTATTGGGCTCGAGACAACTCGCCAGCTACTTCAGTCGCCCTCGAACGTCGTTATCGCTACCTGTCGTAGCCCGTCCACCGCAAAGGACCTGCAAGCCCTGGCACAGAGCGGCGATGTCCAGGGCAAGCTGCACATTCTTCCACTCGACACTGCGGATATGAAGAGCATTGACGCGGTAGCGAAGCCTGTGGAGGACATTGTCGGGGATGGCGGGCTAGACTACCTGTTGAACAACGCGGCAATCGTGAGTAGCTTACCTCCTTCTTCGCCCTCCTACACCCGTGTTGCCCCATGCAAGCACCTTTAAGGAGGCTTTGTGAAAGCTGAGCATTGTATGCAGAACGTCGGCAACGACTCCGGCTTCGCCTTCTCGCCCGACGATCTCATGCGTACTATGAACGTGAACGTCGCCGGGCCCGGGCACCTCGCGCAGACGCTCCTCCCACTGCTAGAGCGTGGCCGAAATAAGACGATTCTGAACATGACAAGCGGTCTCGGAAGCGTCGGCCTCGATTGCGGACCCAAGTGCGCGACGTACAGCCTCAGCAAGATCGCGGTGAATATGCTCGTGCGTCCATTTTTTTTCTCAGCCGTGGCTGATGGTATGCTAAGTGGAACTTGTATAGACGTATAAGCAGGCGAAGGCACGGCCCGACTTTGTCGCTATCTGCCTTGATCCAGGCTGGGTGAAGACAGGTGTGCTCTTTTCACTGCTATGCTGTACTACCCGCAATACTTAGACGGGTCCGAACAGAGTTGGGAGGAGAAGGCGCCGTGCTCGAGCCGGCCGAGAGTGTCAGTAATGTCCTGAAGGTCCTCACGAACCTCAAGTCCTCGGACTCCGGCAAGTTCTTCCGGTACGATGGGAATACGATACCGTGGTAGGCCTGACTTGGGTCTGACTAGGACTATTCTGTATCTCTGATTCGCAGAACACCACGAGATAGTGTACACTTTGAATCTGTGTCTCTGGAATTTTACCTCTCGTAGGCAGACAAGCATCATCTTTCTCGCCTGCTGCAGACTCCCGCGGGACATCATCTGAGCTCAAGCTGTCGCAACGCACGCACTACAGGCCGCATACGTCCTCTCAAATGTTTCACTAGCGGGACGGAAGTCTTGTCCATATTGTTTCCAGGCGTGTCTCCCGGCGGCACCGTGCATCGGCTACGCGTTGAAGATGCGCAAGCCTCCTCTCTAGTAGTGTTGTCCATGTTCCTGGAGTTGGTCGCGTTGAGAAAAGTACATATCGCCTTTCTGAATCGTCCTTCGCACTGGTAAGTTACTGTAGCGGAGCAGTGCTGATTTTCAGTTCCCGCTCAATGTGGTGACGTCAAACAAATGCAACCTTCCGCCTTAGGACGTCCCACCCTTGCATCTCGACACTCTGGTCAAGCCGCTTCAGCCCGCCCCGCTCCCCCAGCCAGTCTTTGCGATACTTTCGGGCCATCGCTGCGGAATACCGGTGCCCCGGCTGTCGCTACCACCCTATATTGAGATCACAGAACACAGTTGCGAATACATCATTAGGTATTTGGTTCCCCAGACAAGATCTTGAGTGCTTCGACGACTGATGATCCTCTCCTACGTTTGCCGAGCGCTATAGACCAGCCTCCTCCGAGTCCTTCTAGACAACTATGTTCTGCGCACATCATCTCACATGCTCAGCTGGACGCCAGACACCTTCCCTCAGGGTAGCACTCGGGCCCGGGAGCTGAAGCCCCTGATCCCTCTCCCGAGTTTCCTTTCTTGCCCGAAGGGTTAAAAAGCGCACGCCGCTGGAAGCTGCGCGACGCCACATGTGTCACAGTGTCAGCATAGTTGTCCTGCTTCTGAGAAGGCCAAGAGGCTACTCTGCGCTTACCGACTGTGGTCCTCTACACGACGAGAGTGGGTGGAGAATCCATCGCTTGGTATATCAGCGAGATGGCTCACGGAGGACGCGAGAAGACCATTATCGCCGTCCTCGTCGAAGGCGAGAGACTTGGCGGTGTTGGCAGGCGATGCAAGGATAGAAGACGCACATGCGAGGAGCGTGAGCAGCGCGATGCGATAGTTGAGCTGCATTTTTTTATTGGTTAAGACTATGCGCAGTGGGTATCCAGTTTGAGTGCCTTTGCCATGCCTGTGATCGGCTTGGTCAGGTTATATAGCCTTACCCAGCGCCCTCTCAAGGACATGAATAGCCTCTCTTCTCCGACATCTATCGTGCGTGAGCATCGCACAAATAAGATGCCTCTGAGCCCGATGGTTGCATGAATTTGCTCATTGCATCTGGAGCCACTGCATCTCGTAAACAAGAACTGCAGCGGGACACAAGCAACAGGGCCAGTAGATGGGAACTAGTCAATGACCCGACAGGCCCATCCATCGCCGAAGGATGAGTCATCGTGTCGTTCTAACAACGAGCGATTGCATAGCCGGCTGCTAGCCTGAGGTTATCATGGGCTGAATAGCCATTTGATCAATGGACTGCCTTTGCCCAACTTAGTCGTGTTATCTCTTGCGTCAAGTTCAATGTGGGAGAGTTCACAAGCTCCCTAAACTCATGATGCGGCATGCGCAAGTACGGCGGACAGATAGTAGTCGCCTAATCACAGTGCTGGGTAAGAAATCGATAGGCCCCCATCTCTTTGTGCTGAACTATAACACTTCGCAAAGTACTACTTTGAAACGCCATACAATATTCATGCCCACACATTTCAACACCGCGGAAGCGCCTACACGACCACAGGCCATCCCGAGGAGAAGTCCAATAGGTTGATCCCAAGCTGTAGTCGGGGTGATATCTCAGAGTAAGCTCAATCTGGTCGCATTAGTAGCGCAAGCAGACATACCAAGCTCGTAGTGGCGGTGTAATAGTCTTTGGATACAAAGGGTGAGGCTGCACGCACTGTAGATATAACAAACTCGACTTACGATAAACCATGACGGTGCCGTCTACATCTGCCATGAGATCTTGACCGCCTGGCCCCACTATCTGCGAACAGGAAGATTATCAGTCGCGAAGATGCGGAGACGCGGAGAGAAGTACCGATCCGTGGGTACCGAGGACTAAGGTACCTCCGCCATCCGTCAAGGCAATACCGCTCTGATCTACAAATGGTCCCGCCGCACTGCCGTCGTACCAGATCAGCAAGCTCTAAATGCTTGATGTGTAGGTGCGCGGAATGCGCACCTAGAGGACCGTCCAACACGGATGTTGTACGTGCTATTTAACCCTTCGCAGCAGTTGTCCCAGCTGGAGAACAGATAATAGAAGCTTCCCTGTTTCCAGATGACCGAGGCTTCTATTGCGCCGTTGTTTGCCGTCCGCTGAGCCAGCGAAATTACATCTGAGCTGCTCGGCTTTCCGGTTGATGAGCTAAGCCTGCGATTTGCCGAAAGAGAAATTGAGTGCAACGCATCGTTCCGCTGATAACTGTGCACTTACATCATTCTAGACAAGAGGACATGCTCAGTGGTCGCGAGACATGTGACTGTGGCAAGTCGTCGCATTTGACTTACTCTTTGATGCCCGTCCAGAACGACCCGAGTGATAGGACCCAGCTACTTCCGTCTGTGTAATGCATTCCATGAACGATGGTCTCTGATCATAGACCCCGGAAGACTCACCAATAAGCAGGCTAGTATGACGAGACATTCAGCGTCCGTTTATGGCCATCATTGAAAAGCTATCCACAGCACTCACTTGGGGTCAATCGCCTGTGGGTCCACGTCAGTCTTTCCAGCTCTGGATGACGATCAAGACTAACATTATAGCTATCGCCAGTCTCAGTAGAGGTGACGAGCCCATAATCTGTCCACGATCCTTCATCACGGCCTTTCAATCTCGAATGCTAGCGATATACGCATGGTAGACGTACCTGGTAAACCGGTGGGAGAAGTGGCAAAGAATATGCCAGACTATATATCAAGCGTTAGCCGTCCTGGAGAAACCTGAAATGTCGACACAGAGTACACACATTCTGCGACCCGAAGGTTGATGCCGCATAGTAGAGCTGAGAGCCGCACGATCAGGTGATGAAGCGATCACTGGGGAAAGCAAAAACTCGACTCACGTAGAACTGGCCGTCCCTATACGTGCAGTCTGGTGCCCATAGGTCTCTAAAAAGCTGAGCTGGTATTAAGAGGAGAAGATTTAAACGATCGTACCCATTGGTCGTCCCGGTGAACTGATTGGTCTCTGACGGTGCGCCGTCGGGCCATACCGACCCAATGAGCGTCCAGTTGATTCTATCCGGGGAAGTATGGATAGGAATGCCAGTACCCGTCGCTGAATAAAGAGCACGTTCACGTTAGACTATCTGTATAGTGTTCGTGAGTATCAGCGACTCACCGTAGATAAAGTAAGTTCCAGAGTCGTCCTTACAAATGGTAGGGTCATGCACGGAGATATCTCCGGTCACTCTCCCTGGATTGGGTTGCGCGACAGCAGCCGCAGCGAATGCTAATAGGGGGAGGATGCTGGTAAACATTACAAAGGAGCACCTGCAGTAAGCCGGATGGCGCATCCAAATACTTCAAGGCTTTATATACATTGCACAGCCGACCCGAGGTGATGAAGAAACTTGCTAATGCGGTCTGGCTTACTGCTAGTTCTGGTAAGAACGCGTGGAGAGTGAGCTTCCTTCGTGGCGTCGGGCCGTTGCAACTCCGCCTGACCAGGTCATGTGCGAAACGCTTATACAGCTGCAATATGACGATGCGGACTGTGGAGAGGATCTTCCGAACTTGCATTCGCCGAATTCATTTGGATCAGTGAGAAAATGGAACATGACTGATGATTATCTCCCGAAGGGACGTACCAAGGCCGATGCAACGCATATTGTTCACAACTCCACCTTACATCTACAAAATCGCATTACCCTCGGATGAGGCATTACCTCAACTATCAGATACAGGGACAAATGCAGGGAAGCCGGGCCTCAGGAGTGGAGACCCAATTTTCTGTATATCAGAGTTGGCTCCGTCCAGAAAATGTGCTTGAATTGACATTAAATACGAGGATTGGAATGATGGAACACGTCCCTGATGATGCCACCACGCTCTCAACCCTGCGACGCCGCGACTGAGGATGGCACATTGAATATGACGGAGGTGAATATAGTCGACGATAGTGCAGCCTGTGTAGCCGCGCCCGGATTTGTCCGCGAAGGTGAGCGCAGTGCACCAAGGATCTTGATACGCATGGCCTCAACCATGTGGTGGTTCTTTTCGTGGTCTACCCAGCGTAAAGCTTGAGCATCAAATCATACGAGAAAGGGAAGGAATCACGCACCATCGGGAAGCATACCGACTCCAAGCTGCCGGAAGGCGACATCTTTGCGCGGCCTCTCCAGTGTAAGTCTGTGTTTCCGGCGGACCAGCAAAACCGCGCATGCGACGGCGAGCGCAAGAAAGAGTACGCCTCCTACCGCCGCCGACGCAATGATGCCCGGCGGCACGATCCTCTCCGCCCGTGCTGTGCCCGCCGGAGTGGATGAGGATGTCACATTGCCACCCAGTGGAGGAACATCCTTCGTGCCCGTGAAGGTGAGGTAGTCAAGCCAAAGCGTGGGTCCGTCGGATGCACTTGCAATGACGAGCTTGTGCTTCCTGTCGTCCGGCGGCTGCACATTGAGAAAAAGAGATCTGTACTGGGCAGGCGACTGTGGTGACATTGTATACCGAATAGGTGTAGCGTCGTCGAGCGTCCACATGAGGTCGACTCCCGTGTTATCGATCGTCCCATACGCAGCAATGAATGTACCTGCCCAAAACTTGTTGGTGCAAAGAGCATAAAAAATCAAAGAGTTTCATACCGTTGAAGATAAATGTCACATTTGCGCCTGTGCTCCTCGTCCCATACGTCGTCTCATTGGGGTTGCTCGACATGTTACCGAGATACCAGTCTCCGTGATAGACCAATGTAGGATCTGCGCTGTAGACCTCGTTGATCGTTGCCGCCGGGCTCGAGCCGGTCGGACTGAAGGGGTTGAGGTTGCTGCTCATGGCGACAGAGGGCGTTGAGCTGAGGAGTAAGGGGTGATATACAGAACGAGGAGGGGGTCCGCCTAAATATATGTATTAGGGTCGAGCCTGGCGGCGAGGCGGTGGAAAACAAACCAGTCCCGCAAATCCCTATGAAGTTGCCATCTCATCAGTGATGTCAGACAAAGGAGAGGCGAGTACGGAACGGAAATCACCTCGGACGTGGAAGGCAAGGACTTGCCGTGAACGAAAGCGTTGTTGTGGATCAACAGCATACCTACTACGCCAAGTAGTCTAGGAGGCGACAGTTCGTTCGCAACGTTGGATTTTGGTCGATACGAGATATACTTTCCACGTAGTCCACTTGCCCGACGTGGTCCTCCGCCAAGTTTCAGTGGGCAGACAAGCGCACAAACAGCCTCACCAGTGACACCATCAGCAACACCCAACGGCATATCACCTCGGCACCGCGACCGCTATCATAACATCATCATCGCGGAACAAGCACATAACTAGTACTAGGAGTGGTATCCTGCAAGACATGGCAGAAGGACCGGCTCTTACGGCATCCCTGAGTCCTCAAAAGTCTAATATCGCGACGGGAGGCATCTTCCAAAGCAGTCTATCAAGTTTTAATCATACCAAAACAGTACAGCAAAACGTTCTCCACCAATCATCAGTTCGTTTGCGCACCCACAGCCTGCAACGTCCGTGAGCACACGTCCTTCGCAGCACATCCGTAGAACCAGAGACTCACCAATCGCTTCAAATGCTCCATGAAGACCTGCAAGCTGACGTCGTCCGTGAAAATCGCCTGGCCCGCACTGCCGCCCGCGTTGCCGTACATGCCCGTGGACATGTGCGTCGTCGAAGGGTTGAGCTTCGAGAGCAGGAACCGCGCCTGACTGCCGCCCTGGTCGCAGACAATGTATCGCGGGATCGGGGAGCGGTCGACGAGCAGTTCCTGCACAGAGGGACAGGATCAGAACACTTCAGTTCGATGTAAAAATGTAAGAAGGAAAGATCCGTACCTGGGCGTCTCGCACGGGGGCCTCGAGCAGCTCTTTGAAGTTCTCGTATCCCTCCTGGTCCTGGTAGCCGGCCTTGCGCCACTGCGCGATCGTCTCGCCGTGGAAGATGAGGATGTGAAAGAACGTGTCGAGGAGGAGGATGACGTCAGGCTTGATCGACACGCTGTCGAGCAGGACCGGCTGCGGAGGGGTGTCGAACGTATAGCTCATAAGCGTCGGCTGGATCATCGTCAGCGCGTTGTTCACGTCCTCTTCGTTCAGGACGTGCCGGTAGAACGCCGTCTCGTCTGGACTGTTGTTGAACACCTGCAAGAACTGGCTCCGGCGAAGGTGGAACATGAACTGCGGGTAGATGCTGAAGTTGTCCGACAGCCGGAACGACGTCGGGTCTTCCTTCCGGTAGTCCGCAAACTTCTGGCACAGCCGGATGAGCATGCGGTCCAGCCAGCGCAGCACGTCCGGGCTGTCGTCGATCTCGGCCTTGAAGACGGCGATGCGCGCCATCAGGACGGCCGCGGCCTCTTGGTCGAAGCTTGCCGCGATGCTCGGGGAGCCCGCCTCCGCGAAGTTGCGGGCGATGGTGGTGACACGCAGGCGCTGCGAGCCGCTCGGGTGCTGGTAGTGCGTCACGAATTGGATGAGACCACGCGAGCCAGGTTGCAGCGGCTGGCCTGCGGGCGTCACGACCTCGAAGTAGACCGCTTCGGCGGTGTGCGGTGTCACGACGTTGACCTTCCAGGCTGTCGTCTGGCCGATACCGATCTCGGTCTCGCCGACGCACGCGCTCTTCTTGCCGCTAGAGATGCCGTGGCCGATCATGCCGCTGACTTTGAGTTCCTTCGTAGTCTGGACGTCGAACGTCGCGTTGAAGCCCATTTCGAGATGGCCGTCCGGGTCCTTGTTGAACACGCGGAGGTAACTTTGCTTGAAGATTGACGTCGCGAATGAATCTGAGAGCACGATGATGCCGTTCGTTGAGTTCGGGAGCGACTTCATCTCGAGAAGGCCGATCTGGTCGAGACAGCCGGCGAAAAGGTCGACGACATGGCCATTGTTCGAGACGCGCTTCGCGAGGCCCTCGTAGAACTTGCTCGCGCGCTTGAAGTGCTTCGCGCTGTCGCGGTCGATGTCGTGGTGCGAGCGGATCGGCTCCTTGAGATCGTTGGTGACCACCATGCCTGGGCCCTCGGTCGCGGGCCCGCCAGCGAAAAGCATGATGCGACCGCCCGTGTTGGGGAAAGCGGTTTCGAGCAGCCCAACGGCGACGCTGAGTGCGGTACCCGTGCAGCGAAGGGCACGCCTGCCACTTGCGACCGGCCATGGATCGCGCGTGAGAGCCTCAAGGACGCCGGTCAGCTGAAACTCGCATTGCTGCGCCGGCATGAGGAAGCGTGCGGCGCCAAGATTCTGAGGTGGAAGGGGCTGGCCAGGGCGTGGCGCTGCACGGTTCTGCGGCGATAGACCGAGCATGTCTTGTATTTGCTTCTGGCTGTAATCCTTGTTTCCGCGGAAAACATATGACTTGTTGCATTCGGCGTAGCCGATTTCGTGTACTTGGGCCTGCCGCATACAATCAGAATGAGATTTCAATGTAAATTGTAAGGCGTACCATTGTACCGTAACTAATAAGCCCCACGAGGGCATACGGCGGCAGCAAGCTGAGGCTAACGACGATCGCGTCACGAAGCGCCTTGAAGTCCTCTTCTTCATCGAAGCAGGTATCGACGACAAAGAGAAAGATGGGAGGGACCTGCGACGGGCGCGACAGGGTGTACTCGATGGTCGTATATTTTGGTAAGAGCTCGGCGGGAAGGTTCGTGTTGGAGATGTCCTTATAGTGCGGTGGGAAGGCATTGCGCTGCAAGCAGAAGGGACATATCCATAGCTTTCCGCGTATGTCGATTTGACTGGAAGAGAATTAGCAGGCGCCGTCGGGAGTTGACTAGCATCCGCACCAGTACGGGTTGAGAACCGCACGACAGGGAGGCTTGCAGGTCACGGGCTCGTACAGCACAGGAGGGAGATCTTCTCTGACTTTGAGTGGGGTGTACAGAGCAGAAATGGGGACGACGGTGCGGGTGGCCTCGATTCTTGACGACGGCCAGACGTTCCACGACAGCCGCACGCCTGTACACAACACATCGTGAGCACGCGTAAGCAGGGCCAGGCGGGACCACTCACCGTCACGTTCTTCAACATCTTCGAAGTTCACCATGATGTTCCAGCAGCCCTAACGGTCGGATGCGCTTGATGAAACTATCGGTTCGGGTTTTAAGTGCGTAAGTCCTGCTGCTGCCGACGCTGTGCATATGACACGTACCTCCACGTCGTCTACGGCTGCGGGTGCGAAAGGTAGATATAACAAGGGAGGAGATTAGAGGCTTGAGTAGAGCGGATCTAGTGCCGAATTACGGCGGTACGATATGATAAGGGTCGTCGTCCACGCTGGAGGTGGTCAAGATTGAGCTCGGGGTCGCGCCGACGGGGGCGCAAGCGACGTGATAGAAGCGCCTATGATTAACCCTAGAGTAGGGTTATTGCAGGGCTCGCATTCGAGCATGCTCTTCACTCCCACCTTGCAGCTGCTTGCTCAACGTCATCACCAAGAATACGCCACTTTCTAGTGTTATTTGTATCTACGCAAAACTTGCGCGTCCGTGCTCGGCTTCTCGCTCAGCTCACGCGCCTCGCAGAACACGGCCGGCGCCTACGCCTGGCTTAACACGTCAGTACTACGCGCTTTACGCGACCTGAGCCACGCTTCTCTCTCGCATTTCGTTTCCCGTGCCCTTAGACACCTAGACCTCTCGCCCCAGAGGGAACTTAGACGTCGCTACCGGCGGCATGAGACTTCGCTGTCTGCTAGCCCTTCTACCGCTCACCGCCGTACTCGCTTCGAGTCCACCCGTCCAGGTCGAATTGCGCACGTCATGGGCACCTCCGCCGTTCCTCGTTGAGCTACTGTAAGTTTCCTCTGTCCTGATGATCTGCACAGACAATGAGACCTGCCACAGAGAGACCATCGCCATAGAAGACCCCGAATCCTATTTTCCTCTGCTCGACCGCTTCACGCACCCGGAGTGGTCCCCGCTCGCTCAGGACCAAGCTCACGAAAATGTGTATCGCAACGCGCTCGAAACCGCCTTAGCTGCAGGATATCTGGCTGAACCAGGCGAACTCGCGGCTATGGAAGCCACCTTTGCACTACATTCGTCGACGCCGAGACTCGAGGCAGCCTACCAGTTTTATTCGGACAACCAAGCTGGACGTGGCGCAGACTGCGGGTCCTGGGTGGACTGGTACGGAGACGTTGTGTGCAGCGTGGAGGATCTTCAAAGACTGGCGGGAATCAAGGCAATAGAAGCTGGGGAAGTGGCTGCACGGAATGGGTTCGTAGCCATATCTTTCGATCGTGGCTGCTCACTGAATCCTGTCCTATTCAGTTCTGCCTCTGACGTTAAAGTCTTACCGTTTGATCATATTCGACCTTCACCTGATCTTACTCTCGATCGGCCCCCGCAAACGGCGGTCCTGTATGCTACCCTGACTTCGTCGAACTTCCGCAATCTTCACTCTTTCCTCTACGCTGCGTCAGCTGGTCCTAGACCACATATACAGTACATCTTACGGCACATTCCGCCAACGGGACATGCCTCTGACAGAGAGCGAGCGTACCTCTCAGGCTACGGTGTCGCACTCGACCTAAAGAAGATGGACTACCTCGCCATGGATGACCGCAGACAGAGTGAGTAGCACCCATCGGCCCCTTTCGCTCACACTGATATTGAGCACACGAGCAGGCTCAGCGGACGATTCCGATGCCTCGGACGACGCCCTCAGTGCACCCGGAGAAGCTGACGTCGTTGCCGCACTGCTGCAGCAATACCCCGAGGACGCCGACACGGACTACACCATCCCTCTCACCTCGGACGAGCTCTCCAACATCGGTCTACAGGCCACACAGCTCATTGCTGACGCTTCAGACCCACTTGCGACACTCAAGCAGCTCTCGCAGAACTTCCCCAAGTACGCGAGTTCCATCGCTCGCCGTGTCGTCGTTAGCGACACACTCGAGGACGAGATCACGCTCAAGAACACCAGGGCCCCGGCCGGTGCGAGCATGGCCTGGCTCAACGGTTCGCCGCTCACGGAGGGCGATATGAACCCGCTGTCGTACGTTCGCTCTCCCCTTGCCCGCGTAGCTAGCTAACAACCGGACTCCAGGCTGCTGCGCCTCCTGCGCAAGGAACGCGCGGTCATGCGCCAGCTCGCCGCGCTCGGGCTCAACACGACGCAGTCGCTCGACGTGCTCACGCACCGCGCCGTCGGCGCCGCGCAGGCCGACACGGGCGCGCTCGACGCGCTCTTCGACGCGAGCGACCGCCCCGAGGGCGGCGCGGCCATCGTCTGGTGCAACGACCTCGAGCAGGACGCGCGGTATGCGCGCTGGCCCGACAGGCTCAGCACGCTGCGCGGCGTCATGCTCTACCCCGGCCAGCTCCCAAGCCTGCGCCTTCACCTCTACAACATCGCCCTCGTCCTCGACCTGAGCCAGCCCGCCGGACTCGGCTTCATTACCAATGCTGTTGTGTCTCTCATCTCGCGCGGTATTCCCTTCCGGTTCGGCATTGTGCCCAGTGTGGAGACAGAGGAGAGTACGTATTAGTAGTGTTGGAGTATATTCGTATGACGCTGACCAAAAAGTGCAGGCTTGAAGATGGCAAGACTAACTTACTGGCTATTTGAGAACATCGGACAAGATAAAGCATTGAACTTCATTGCCCGCGTGAGTAAGTTGATGCCTCGTCTGGATGTAATCTGAGCTTTTCCTTCACAGCTGGCGCGCCTCCAACTTGGGAACCCCTTTGCCGAGCCGACGTTCGACTGGTCGCTCGTTACCTCCGAATTCACAGACCTGCTCGCCAGGACCGAAGGTCTTTCCGCCTCACTCGCCTCCATTTTTGACGGAGAAGACGAAGAGATGGAGCACAAGGTCGCGGCCGCACGTGCGTACGCGGCGCGCCTCGCCGCGGATCTGACTAGTGCGCCGCGCGGCCATGTGTTCATGAACGGCAAGCATTTCGATCTCGACGATGACATCATGCGCAACATGCAGTTCATGGGCACTCAGATGTTCCAACACCTACAGGAACAGGTGCGCATTTCTCTCTCTCTCTTCACTTGTACTCCCTTGCGTAGAACTGAGCGCCGTTACCCAGCTGCTCGCCGGTGCTTTGACGGATGACGACGCCGAACACATCGCGACATACTTCTACGACCTGCCCACCACCGCTGCGCGCCGCAATCGGTATATCTACCCGAGTGGCAAGAACAGCGAGCTCGTCTTGAACGTCCCCGAGCTGCTCGCCAAGGCAAGCTTTTCGAGCGGCCAAGACGCGTTCGTGTACCCGCGTAAGTATCTTTCGTGAACAGGTAGTGTGCTTGGGAAGGCTCACGGTATGCGTAGCGGGCGAGGCTCAGGTTTCACTTACGACGCTTATCATTGCGGATCTCGATTCCGAAGAGGGGCTTGCGCTCGCCAAGGAGGCGCTGATGGCTATGGTACGTGGTAGATCCTCGTTTTCTTATCTTGTTCTGATTAGTTCTCTGTAGGAAGAGGATAGTCCTGCGCGTGTATCGTTCGTGCACAATCCCTCCAACTCCACCGCTCGAGCATCAACCTCGGCTTTCCTGGGCCATCTCGTTACAGAGAAAAAGCTCTCGAAACTGGGGCCGGAGAGATTGCTCGAACTGTTGGATTCTCCGCCGCTTGCGAGGGGGCAAGAGGGCGAGCAGGTCGTCCTCTCGGCCGGTGGGGGAATTGACGAAATCCTGGATGGCGCGTCTCTGGCCGCTCTGGACGACGATCCTTTCGTGCGTGCGAGCCGATTTTTGCTTCGAGAGCTCAAGCTCGCGCCCGGCGCGCAGGCTGTGGTAGTGAACGGCCGGGTATGTCTTTCGCCGAGATGCACCAATGTAAAACACGGGCTAACGCCGAGCGAAGGTTGTTGGCCCTTTTGTTCCAGGCGGCATCGTTGCCGAAGACCTGCACGCCTTATATATGTACGAACAGCACAAGCGCGTCGGGCCCGTTGTCGAGGCACTCGAGGAGGTGGCCGACCTCGAGCGCCTAAGTAGAAAGGGTGCAGCCGAGCTCATCGCTCGCGCGGCATCCCTCATCTCTAGCATTCATCAGCCGGACCCAAGCGAGGTCGGCTTGTTCAACGCCCCGGTTCGGCCACGCAAGAGAAGCTACCAGCTACTTGGTGGCGAGCATACGTGAGCCCTACCCCTGTATTGATCGTGAAGGTCGCTCTACAACTGTCTTTTACTCTCGCAGGAAGTATGAGTTCGGTGACAACGCAACCGCAATATTCCACGTCGGCATCCTCTTGGATCCCATAAGCGATACCGCACAGAAGTGGTCAGCACTGCTTGAGGTACGAATACCTGTCGTATTCAGATGGACATAGCTGACAGATAATGTAGTGGCTGTTGAATGACCCAGCCGTTTTCGTTGAACTGCACATCAACCCGTGGCGCTATACAGAGGTACGACCGACATATCGTACATACTGAAAGCCTCGCTGATGATGTTATAGCTCCCCCTGAAGCGGTTTTACCGCTACAACGTGCAGCCGGCGCTTCGCTTTTCGGATGCCGGGTGCGTGAAGAGTCATGCATACGTTCACAGGTACTGAAGTTAGACTCAGAGATGAGACTAAGTCACTGGTCTCCTTCAACGGCCTTCCCGAGGACCCGATTTATACTCTAGCGATGGACATACCGCCGTCCTGGTTTGTTCGCCCTCGCGAGGCGACGTACGACCTCGACAATATTCTCTTGAGCGGCCTTGGCAAGCACGAGCGCGCACAGGGTGTCTACGCGCTCTTCGAGCTTGACTACCTTGTCATTGAGGGCCATGCGCGTGAAGATGGGACACTCACTCCGCCACGGGGCCTGCAGCTGCAGCTCATCAACGGAGAGGGCAACGCTATCGCAGATACACTCGTCGTCGCCAACCTCGGCTACCTGCAGTTCCGCGCGAAGCCCGGTGTCTTTGGGCTCGAGATACGACCCGGTCGAGGCAGAGAGATCTTCGAACTCGAGAGTGCCGGGAGCGAAGGGTGGAACTCGCCTACAGCTGACCAGGCCGGAAACGAGATCACGTTGATGAGCTTCGAAGGTTTGACGTTGTATCCGCGCATGAGACGCTCGCCCGGTATGGAGCTTGTGGACGTGCTGGCGCCGCCGAGGCTGGACGAACAAGATGGGACGATTGTGGACAAATTGAAGCATGGGTATGTCGCAATGGCAGTGCACGTTGCGCAGCAGAAAGTGCTGATCTTTTACCTGCAGAATCACGTCCCTGTTTAAATCGAAGCCCGAAGAACGGACTGAAGCCGCTGAACCGGCAACGCAGCAGGCGGAGATCAACATCTTCACAGTTGCTTCTGGCCTTCTTTACGAAGTATGCATCACATCTCATGTTGGCTTCTCTCTCTGACGTTTGTTGCAGCGTTTCGCATCAATCATGATCCTTAGTGTGCTTCGCAACACGAATAGTTCCGTCAAGTTTTGGTTCATAGAGAACTTCCTCTCGCCCTCCTTCCTCGAGTTCATTCCGCACTTCGCGGAGGCGTACAATTTCCAGTACGAGCTCGTAACCTACAAGTGGCCGTCGTGGCTCCGTCAGCAGAAGGAGAAGCAACGTATCATCTGGGCGTACAAAATCCTCTTCTTGGACGTCCTCTTCCCTATGGATTTGAAGAAGGTCATCTTCGTCGACGCAGACCAGATCGTGCGCGCAGATCTCAAGGAGCTCGTGGATCTCAATTTGCACGGCGCACCGTATGGATACACGCCCATGGGCAACGACAACGAAGAGATGGAGGGATTCCGGTTCTGGAAGACCGGATACTGGAAGGAACACTTGGAAGACTTGCCGTATCACATCAGGTCCGTGGTTACTGAAATACATAATTGACAATACCTTATATGCGATGGTCAGCGCGTTGTATGTGGTTGACTTGGTTCGGTTCCGTCAGCTGGCAGCTGGGGTATGTTTTATTCTCATCCCGCCATTTGAAAACATACTAACGAACCACATTAGGACATCCTTCGTGCCCATTATCAACAGCTTTCGGCTGACCCGAACTCGCTCGCCAACCTCGATCAAGGTTTGTACATCCTGGTACCTAACTGCAACGGTGCTTACCATTTCCGACAGACCTACCAAACAACTTACAGCGCGAAGTTCCGATTGTGAGTACCATCCCTAGCTCTATGCGTCCCTTGGTTCTAACGGCGCGTGCAGTTCTCGCTACCAGAAGATTGGTTGTGGGTGAGTCTATTCATTGCCATTGGTCGAGACAGCGTGCTGATTCGGACTGGCAACAGTGCGAGACGTGGTGTACGTTCGCGTCGCAAGATCCATGACTGTATTACTGACATCACAACTGCAGGCAGCAAAGATAGGCTACACCGCGCGAAGACGATTGATCTCTGTCAGAATCCGCTCACGGTAAGCTCCCTATGTATGTCTTGCAGCGGGTGCTTAATCTGGCCTCGTGAACAGAAAGAGCCCAAGCTTGCACGCGCAAAGCACATTCCCGAATGGGAAGAGTATGACGGAGAGATTTCTCGCTTTGCTCGTCAGCTCGCCGAGAACGGGCTTATCCATTCCGGGATGGCAGACGCGGACGCGACAATTCTTGCAGACGTCGGAGCTGGGAAAGTGGCAACCGAAAACAAGCAGGGGACAGGTAGTGCGGGCGATGACGCAGAAACGCTTCACCGTCAGAAAGACGAGCTGTAGTCGGATATTTAACTGCCGTATAATTGGTTTTTACATGGATCAATTTATATCGTATCCTATATCATGTCGTTGAAGTGATGCCTCACCACAGGTAGCTGGTAACAAGGGTCATAAGTACTTACCGGCTGCCATGTCACCGGTGCCTGCTGCATTCCCGGACGCACCTGATCGTTCTGGTGCTGTACCCGCCGTATTGTTTGCCTCCACTCAGGTTGTCCGCCACTTGCGCGTGCGCGCGACTCATACCACGTGCTATTAAAGACGATCTGGTATAAAATTGCGTTAGAAAAGTCATTGCCGCGGCGGGCACAGGATTGGAGCTCTCCGCTTTTGCTGGTCGGGCAACCGACTTCAAGTTCAGGCTGAGGGCGGTTACAGTAACAGTGGCAGGTCCGCAACGTTTCGCTTGGTGCGAAGTGGCTGCCGGCCTCACTTCGAACCACTCGTCACTCTCTACAATCCTAACGTTTGCTACCTCTTACAGCAGCGCTATGCGAAAGTTGCCTCCTTCGAGCGAGACCAGCACGGACGAGTTTGAAAGACGCGCTGAGGCGCCTACGTATACCTTGTCCTGAACCACGACCTGATCTCCGTCATGTAATATACCTCGGCTCGTTGGAGGCTCTCGACGCCGACGGCGCATAGTGCTCACTGACGCGTTCGAATTTCAAGCACGCTGCGACGAAATGACTCCTGCAATCATATCCTCAGCGACACGTCATGCCTTGCGTGCATAGATGACGCATCTCTGGCTCTGTGATTCCCAGACAACCTTGCCGACGCTCTCTGACGTCTGTGATGGTCAGCAGGTGTTCATCTTGTTCGTCCCGCTACCGAGATTGGAGTTGTACAAGCATCGGCTCGCCTGGCGAGACAGCGGCCATCGCCGACCAGTTTCATTAAAGTCTGCTATCGGTGCGTAAGCCTCTCGCTCGCCTGGCAGCGCAATGCTCATCTACACCCCCTTCTGCTTTATCCAGGATGCCCCAGACATCCGTTCCACTCGACATCATCTACCCCGTCGTCTCGGAAGTGGTCGTCGACTGTGTCGATGGTTTGTTCATCACCTCTCAGACACCGACCCTGCAGGATATATGCAACGTGAGCTGCAGCAGCTCTTGTTTTCCTACCGCATCCTGAGCAGCAAATCTTCGCGCCATCTAGAATCCTACACCTTCTGCCCCAATCGCATTTCGGTCGCTAATGGGGACGTCGGTCGAGATTAGGCGCATCGCCCTGGAAGTTCTAGCAAACGGGCTGCGCGTCGGACTGTGCAAGAAGGGTATTTGGAGGTGCGTTCTGATTTTGGCGAAAAAGTTTCCCATAGGAGTAACTCATCAACGTCTGCAGGCTACACACCAACCCGTGGCGCCTAATCCAATTCACACCACGCATTACGTCCGGCATCCTTGCGCGAGTATTCGAGTGCCTAGCCTCTGAACTGTCGCTAAACCGGTCGCTACTTCGAACTTTCTACACCCTGTACCTCACCGCGAAGCACAGCTTTACCTGCACCGAGAAGCGCTTCCACGCGATGACGCATATCACGCTCGAAGATGGCAAGACGCGCATGCTGGACGAGCCAGTCAACCACGCAGAATCGATGCAACACGCAAGGCAAGCGGAAAAGCAAGCTTCTCTGGCCCTCGCATCGGCATTGCGTGCGGCGCCTGCGTTTCGTTCGCGGCTCGTCGGACACGCAGTGGACTTACAAGTTCGCGTACAAGGATGTACGTCTTCTTTCTCACATCTATTACCGATAGTGCTGAAAGTTGTTCGTCTGTAGTTATCAAACTGCGCCTGCAGGCGAACGAGCTCTTTGCGAAGCTGCACGCGCTCGTCGCCGCGTGCGTCGCTGCTGACGTCAACATGCCCAATGATTGCGACCCTTCCGTGAGTTCCACTTCACTCACTGTTCCTGCTCATCTCCCTCATGCACATGCTCCATTCCAGGACCGCCTCATGTCGGTTGAGCAGGCGCTCGTACAACTGAAGAATAGCGAGATGGACCTCACTCATCTGACATCGCAATATGCGAAGAGCCGTCCTGTAGACGAGTTGGTTGGGTCAGAGGTCGTACGTCAGCCCTACGTCTGCTCTTTGCTCTTCTAACTGGACAATAGTTCGCGACCCTCTGCTCCGTGCTACGTCGTGCCACCACCGCCGATGTACTCGACTCCGGCGATGCTCGGGCTGCTGCCATACTGGCCGATGTTGCGGAGACGCGGGAGCGATGCAGGACGCTTTCTGAAGAAATGCTTGAGATGTTTGAGACGAAGCGATACGCTGTGGAGCTTGCAGAAGCGAAGCGAGCTATAGGGTGCTGAACGTGCTGTAACTTAGATGTCGGGCGTATAAAGACAGAAGCTCGCTTTATAGTCGGAAGCCGCCTGCCCAAGAAGAGCAATTACGCCCTGGTGGCGTCCGGCGTGATCCGAAAGATTTGGGTTCGTCCACTACGTGGCAGTACTGAGGCATGCGCAGGCGAAATTCGACGCTTTCCTTTCTCCACCACGCCTTTTCTCAAGGCGAAGTATTCCGGGGCTGAAACTGAAGGTAAGTCCTGAATATATATGTTATAACATGCTGGTAGGCTGTGAAGACCATGGAGGCTATGGCTGCGCTCGGTCTAAACAGGCTGCCTGTCGAAATCATCTACCGCATCCTATGGGCTGCAGTGGCACAGCACATCGACGACGTCGTTCTCGGACCGCGGTCGCAGTTGCCTCTGCCATTTTATTTATCAGAGTCAGGGGTAAGCCTCTCCTGTTAGCCCTTTCGTCCGTCCTCGTTGACGACCCAACCAGGAGCCTGCGAACCGGGAAGACTCAGACCTTGTGGAATCACTTCTCCTCACTTCGTACCAATTTCATCAAGTTTCGCTTCAAATTCTCTCGGATGCCTTTGACATTCCACTGCGCGAAGAAAGACTTTGGCGGTAAGTCGGCAGGATGAGCCACTCGCGGACCCACTTGACATCACCTTCGTACGTCAGGCTAGAACAAACACCGTGGAACGAGGTCGCGCTGACCCGCAAGTTCTGCGCCATGATGCGTGAACTGGACTACTCTCAGCTAGACCGGCTGGCAGAGATCGCGAAGGAGCCGGCGTCTCTGATCTCCAACGTCTACCGCACCGCTTCCACCGTCCACTTCAAGCTCGATTTTTGCGTCAGGTTCCACGCCGAGAGGAAGTCTATGGTCTCGCTGCGGACCTGGAAAAAGCATCGCCCCGTGCACGAGACGCTAAAGCATGAGCTCTGCGAGCGGTATCTGGCGTGTCCGCAGGCCGTCCGCGAAGTCTTGGCTCCGCGACTGGATGGCTGCCTGCGGAAAGTTGTAATCGGTTAGTCCCACATTTAGGCAGAGACCGGCGCATGCTGACGCGTGGGGCAGTTGACACATACGACCTCCCTCACGCGGAGCTGCAGCTGCGGTGGGACATCATCACCCGGCAGCTCAGTACTCTCTGCCAAGAGGCGATCGTGTCCAGGACACTCGAGGTACGACCTGTCCGCCATATACCTGATATTGCTGCTCATCACGGGGAACAGATGCTGCTGGGCTCGCACCAAGGCAAGATACAGGGGATGCAAGCGGCCGACGCGCGTGCACTCGCAGAATGGGACCATGCGGTGTCCCTGGACGAGTCCATCGGTATCGAGAGGGTGCGTCGGGCTGTACCGCGTCTGCGCTGTGTGATTTACTGTTTCCGTGGTTTAGCTCGCGGCATGGTGCACACTTCTGCGGAAAACCATTGCAGAACAGCACTGTATCGAGAATCTCGCGGAAGTCAAGACGGCAGCAGGCAGCCTTTTGGAGGTCTTCAACCGCCGACTGGATAATCTTCGTTCACGCGCATCGCTTTCGGGCGCCACCGCCACGACCGAAGCCGCTGTGGTCTAGTTCGTTCCTACCGCCATGCCCTTTGTCCGAGACAGTTCGCAGATAGCCTGAGAGCAATTTCGCAGTTGTATTCGAGCGGTTCGGGCACCTACGGACCGAATTCTACGTCTGGACCACTCGTCGTTGCATCCGCGGACGTCCTCGTGAGATTCAGCCTGTTCTGTAGCAGCCGAATATACATGCTTGTCCCCATTACCTCTGAGCTCAATGGCTGACCTATTCGTCGGCCCTGCTTCCGCAGCCCCCACCGTCACCTGGCGTCATACCTTGTGCTTAAGGCACCAGAGGGAAATCGGTGTAAACATAAACTAGGACATTGAGTAATAATCATCGCTAATTCGGCTGCGTGACCGAAATTTGGCTGCTGAGTTCGTAGCAGGTACACGACACGACCGCACACGAGGAAGCACGGGATCGCCGAGTGATATCCATGGACACAGGACACAGTGACAACGACGGTAGCGGCGAGCGAAGCATATTAAATATGCAGCTATCTGTATTGTAAACTGCGATGGTCCACTACATCCGCAACGCCTGTACCAGAATTGCACAGCAACATTATGATTATTTGAGGCACCGACGCTACAGACACGTTGCACTCGAGTCTATCCACGTTTCTCGTTAGGCATGCCCGGTTCTGAACATGAATTAGAAGTGAGGGGCTAGGCTATCCCCAAGCTCGCCTTGTACTTGCTCGTCTGAATAGCGGTCCCTCGCGTTACTATCAGGTGAACACGCCTGTGGGGCTGCTCAATGCGTCAGCAGCAGGCAACTTTGGAGGTGCATCTGGTAGCATACCTCGCCTCTGAGTTTCGAAGACTTTCCTCCACGGAATTCATCATAGGCGAACCACTCCAGGCACTGGAGTCGCCTGTGCCCCGTATCGGATGCTTTGCAAGGGGGGCTGCTTGAACGAAGGAAAGTAGCAGAGCGGTGACACAGAGAAGGCCAAGGATGGCATTCCTGAACGTAGAGGCATACATAGTTGCTGGGGTATCCTGGGCCTGCAAGTCGTGTCAGGAATTGCCAGGATGTGCGGGAGCGCGCCTAGTATTAGGCAGGGCGTACCTAGTAGTCGTGCACTTGAAGAGACCAGCTCTGGGGAAGTGTACTGGGTTCCTGGCACCTGCGGGATTATATAGCCGGAAAGACGCTGCTCTCCAAATCAAGGATATCTAAACCACGGACACAGGCATGTCAACCTGTGGCATATGCTATGAGCCAAAAGATTGGACGCCGTGAAAAACTTGGACGCGACTGCGCCTCTAACTGAGACGCCACGAGGACCAGTGCTGCCAAGATCCTGGTAGCACAGGAGAGAACGATGTAGTATAGTCGCTGACAGATTGTGGTCGCACGAAGGAGGCTACTGCCACCAGCAGATGATCAATGCGTCGCTGACCATGATTCATCGCCAGTTTGTCAGTCCATCCGTCCTCGAAGCTTTCCGCCGCCGCCGAGGATATCGGCGTGGCCGCGTTCCTATCCGGCTCATGAAGTCCTTGCGCAATGCCGATACGTATAAAGTCGCTGCACAAGTCGTGAGAGCAACTTCGTTTAAGGCTGCTCCTGGCGTTAGGCCATCCCGGTGTGCACTGCTCGAGAGACCGAAGGCAGATGTTCGCGTCATCAATATCTGTCTTCGCAGTCATTGACCGGTTCACGGTAATCAGAGTCAATACTGATCCGGCTACCTGACTGGAATTTAGCTGCCGGATTACAGCGGGTACAAGACAGAATCGCACACGAGGAAGATGTCTTCATTGGAATTGCATTGGTAGCAATGCTTGTACCAGAGTCACACAGCGACAATATTATTGTTTCAGGCACCGAAGCTCAGACATGCTGCATTCGAGTCTACACAGTTCACATTAAGCATGCCTGGTTCCGAGCATGAATCAGAACTGGGGAGCCGGACAAGTACTATCCCCAGGCTTGCTCTACACTAGCTCATCTGCCCAGCGGTCTCTCGCAGCAGCATCAGGTGAACACGCCTGAGGAACTGCAAAATATGTCAGCTGCAAGTACGGAGATACATGTCTAGTGGCGTACCCCGTCTCTGAGTTTCGAAGACCTTCCTCTGTGGGGTTCATCATAGGCGGACCACTCGAGGCAGTGGAGTCCTCGGGCCTTACAGGTAATCTTGGCTGTTTTGCTACGGGCATTGCTTGAACAAAGGAAAGTAGCAGGGCAATGACACAGAGAAAGCCGAAAACGGCATTCCTGAACGCAGTGGCAGAGGCATGCATGGTTGCTGAAGTATCCTGCGTGTCATGTCAGGGTTGGTATATGCGAGAGCGCGCCTTCAGGCAGGGCGTACCTAATCGTGCACAAGAGACCAGCTCTGGGAAGACATGGTGGATTCCTTGCGAGGTTATATAACCGAAAAGACGCAACTTTCCGAATCAAAGATATTCGAACTACGAGCACAGGCATACGCACTCCAAGGAAGAATATAAATAGCGGCATCCTATCAGATTGAGATGCAACATGACAGTTGCTAACACGTCGGGGTCGCACGAAGGTGACTACCACCAAATGATCAATGCACCGCTGACCACAGCTCGTCGTATTTTTGGTCCAAGATATCTGTGTGGCTGCGGTTCAGGAAGTCGTCGTCCGAAGCCGGCGCGGACGGAAGGCGCACGGGTGCGTTAGGCCATCCGAGCCGCGGACTTAGCAGATTAATCCGACCTGATACAAGCGCTCAGGCGCAAAGCGCCGAAGAGCGCGGCGGCAAGGCTGGGTACGAGGCTAGCGAAAAAGAGGGAGCTGATTCCTCGCGCCGCGAAGGACGGTGCAAACTGCGCTTGGCTGCAGAGGACTGAGTAAGCTGAAGGGGAGAAGGAAATCCGGTAGTGATACCCTGTACGGGCAGCGGGTTCTTCGTTTCGAGATTTTCTTTACTCGCCGCAAAGATCCAGTTTGTCACGTCTTGACTGTACAGTGGCAGCTGCTGGTATGTTCGAGGGAAGCGGTAAGGGTGCCTAGAAGTAGAGCAGCCTTTTCGCCGAACTCTTAGTATCAAACGACCGACGAGGCCAGTGAAGCACGTACAAACGCGGATAAGGTATCAGCGTCCTAGGACATTCCTTTGTTCGCTCGGTGTCACTCTCCGCTACGCACGACCGTATGCTGGCCCATTTGGATAATTCAACGTTGTCCTATCGAGAGTCGAAAAGAATTACAATGTCAGCAGTCGCAGCCCAAGGAAAATGAGTCTTCTTGCGCCGCACGTGTCCTTGATGCATGATTGTGATGGGCAGTCATAGAGAGCCGTCGTGACTAGAGCCAAGCAGCATCTGTCCGCCATTCTGTACATCCGCGGCTTGATGTACAGCGTGCCATACGATAAGAGGAGATACAGAAGGGAAAGCGGTACGTCTGGTACAGGGTAAGTGAAGGCAGAGCGGGAAATGGCAGTGCACTCGCCGAATGCCAGCTCAGTTACTCGCCGTACAGCATGGCTTCAAATCCAAAGGATATTAGCCATCTCCCGCTTGTGTCTCGCTCCGCTAGAGGGCCCGACAGAATACGGCTAGAGCTATCGTTTACGAGTTAATACGCGGACAGAGTCATGCTTCAGATGTACGCACTTTCTGCAGGCCTGAGGCAGCAGGGTCGCGCGTAGGTGTCCTCCGAGTTCGTTTGATATTCGTTCCCTAGAGTCTCTTCGAGGCTCGAGCTGCCTATCCGCATGCATTGCCACCTGACCCAGCTGTCAGTGCTACAGAACCCCACCCCCATGCTGGAGCCGACGGGGTTCTAGCGGCGCCGTGAGTAGAGAGTTGCACAGAGGAACGAGCTAGAGCAGACCTTTGCTTCGCCGTCACTGCGCACGCTCCGTGCTGGTGGATCTCGCCCTGTGGTCGAAGCTTGGTAGCGTAGATACTGTCTTGCCAGGAACAGAAGGGAGAATACGTGTTACAGGCCAGGCAGCGACCATGAGGAACTCGTAAAATCATTCGTCGAAGCCAGTCATCGGGGCTTTGATCGAGTGCCGCGTAACGTACAGAGTATGCGCGGTGAATGTCCAGCCCGTGTTTGCAATTCCCGCGAGGTTATGTGTGCGACGTCCTGAGAAGTGTCGGGGTTGAGTTTCAGGCACGAGTCTTCGAAGATTGAACTTGGAAGCAAACAGGGACAGACCTGATTTTCTCTTCCACCGCTCAACGGCCACTTGCCGCGAATCGCGAACGCAGTCAGGCACAAAGTAGAGACGATAATGTGCGGCGATAAAGTGGCAGAGTCCTGAGGTTCACCTGCGTTGAATGCGCAACCAAATGAGAACGATGCGTACCAACCGTGGCGTACGTGTCGGACAACGGTGAGGTAGAGGTTCCGCTATGCGCCCAAGGCTTTTTCGCGAGCGTTGCACTCGGTCAGCTGGCATGCTCGCATTCGTTGTTCTTTTATTGGTGCGGCGCAGTGGTTTAGGCAGAGGGATGAGCGTAACGTAGGACGCAAGTGTGCCACGGTGAACTCGACCATACTACGACGCGAGTAACCTGGTCAGTATGTTGTACGCAGATGAAAAGTAGTGGAGGCGCACCCACACCTGGCATACCGCCGCATCCCTAGCTCACGCGCAGGCTCTGTACCCTGAGGTTCTCACCAGATGCATCGTGACGACGGAAAAGTGTATTTCATTATGGCGAGGTTCGGGTCTAGGGTATGGCGTGCTACACACAACAGAGATGCATACAAGAGCCTGGTGGCGGCAAGAGCTGAGCGAAGGTTGGTCCAAGAAACAGCGGCGCACTTACCAAGCGTCCAACTCAACAATCAACCATGACACAATGCCAGCTCCGAAACATACTTCCACACATCCGCATCCCGATTCGGTCGCAACCTCGACGGCACGCGGCCAGAGCTATCGCCGAGAACAAATGGCCGGGCTTATGCTCTCGGCTTACGCGCCATCAGCGAGCCCGAGACAGGTTTGTATCCAGACGGGAGAAGCGGCGCACGTGAGATGACAACTATCAGACCAAGGATGGAAACAAATGACTGAGAAGAGAAGGGAGGATGCAGGGCGTCCGCCATCGCCAAGGGAGGCAAGCCCGATGATGCCTTGGGGATATGCCGTTGCTCACACGAGCGCTACGATACCGCGGCTTCCGGCCCCGAGGGTCCGACATCATCTTCTTCGCTTGCACTTCACGTCTGGGCTGCTTGGCACGCTGGGCCGTCAGCACTCAACACGAGCCACAAGGCAGCCAAGAGCTGCGCTACGCGATATGTCGATCTCTACATGCTTTTCTGTGCGCCAAGAGCAGATGCTCGGAGCAATGCACTCACAGCTGGCACGGGTTCTGCGTGTAAGACGCATCTACTGTCTTTGTCTGACCGTAGCTGTAGTTCAAGGAGCCGAGGGGAGGAGGTGAGCGAATTGGAACTCTGCACAAGGGCCAATGAGCGAGATGAAGCCGAAGTCCGCGCGAGGAAATCAGAGCCGGTGCAGACATGAGGAAGTGAAAGCGGCGATCTTGTGCAACGAAAGACGCACGTACGAAGGGTTCGCGAAGAGCTTGGGGTGACGACACAAGCGAAAGCCTCCGCGTCGCAGATACCGTTGATCCTGTGCTACGTTGCTTGCACATGGTCTGCGATGCGCTCTGTGGTTACTGGTGTGGCGAAAGCGCCCGCTCACGGCACGCACGCTTCGCCGGGACCTCACAACGAAGCTCTTCGCGAAACTCGCAAAAATATCATCTTAGCAACCCATGCCAAGGTCATCCGAAGCGCGTGCCATGCAATTTCAACAGTTCCAAAATCAATGAGGGCTAGCTTTGGCTGTAGAACACGTCAATGTGCAGTTCTATCGAGCGTTCGTACTCCTGTGCCAAGGGCCAAGAGGTACGACCAACCCGCCGTCATACATTTCATTTTCGTGCTGAGGACGGCTCCGGATCGGAGCGCGAGCGCAGGCCGATCCTCGAAAGACGGAGCGGATGCAAAAATTGAAGAAAAAAAAGAAGGCCGCGGCCGGGCGCGCCGATCCACGAAACAGCGTTACTGCAGCGGCGTGGCGCAACGTCCCGCCGCGCGCGTTACTGCACTGTCAGCAGAAACAGCGGGGGCTGACATGAGCTCACAAGCTGACGAGCAGCCGAGGCCCGTACCGGTGTCTCACCCGAAGGTGAAACTTGGGGTGGCGCACAGACCTTACCAGCGACGGGCTGCGACACCGTACCCCAGCACAAACAGGCCCGCCACAAACGTGTCCCGCCGCAAAAAGGCCGCTGACGGACCAAAAAAAGGCCTCTTGTCAGAAAACAGTAACAGGTCCCCGCCTGGACAGATATAGACGTGACGAACTCGAGTCCAAGGTCGCCTCAGGCCGGCGCGCTGGCGCATTCAGTCATATGTGCTGTCAGAACTTGTTTAGACGTAGAATAGACATTGAGATCTACGTGACGTATTGCCTCCTGGTATTCGGCCAGGCCAAAAATGCGGGGTAGAGTCCATGATTTTCGGAGACGCGGTCTGGGAGCTGTGGGGGCGGTGGGTCGAGCTAGAGGTCGCAGGCGGCATTGGTGACGGTTGCGCCGTCAGGTCTCACTGCGTTAGACAGACGTGAGGGTGAAGAGCGCAGCTGCGCAACGCGCTTGAAACGAACGCGTCGGTGATGCGGTCGAAACGGATGATGAAGAGATATCCAAGAATAACTACCCCTATTTTTGCCTTCCTTCGAACGTAGAATGACGTCTGTCAGCACACCATTTGGGCTTCGTGTGCAGGCGCAGCTCGAGTGCCTGTCTCAACGTAATCCAAGAGTCAGCACAAGGATGTAGAATGGAGTCGTTGAGCCCCCGTGAAGACCACATCTTCACAAGCCTGCATGATTGACCCAGCTTCGATAGCTCAGCAACGTCGCGTCCCCACAGCAGCCGGATGGTGTATGCTTCCGAGCTCGAGTTATTCATCCAGCGACATGTCCCCGACATTACCGTCCGTCTTAGCTCATCCCGCCAAGCTCATGAGCTAGTTCTGCATGCCTGGCACCGCGTCGAATCCTCACGATTGTGCTGACCTATCAATGCGCAGGCACGGTTTATAGTTCTGGCTAAACAATTATGGGAGAGAAAATGAGATTATCACGACGCACTGCCTGATTGACTGCTGCGAACGTACCCAGCTAGCGTAAGGCTTGTCCGTCCTTGATGTGCGGCGTGCAATTGTGACCGAAGATGGGCGGGGCCGAGTGACAATAGATCAGCGCGCCTGACAACGGGAGTTGAATATTGACGTCAATGTTAGGCTCACGAGCGAGGCTAGAAGAGTGCATACTGTTGACAGGTTAATACACCGTCCGCTGGATAGATCACCTATCTGCTCAAAGCGTGATTCGCATCGCGAGATGGGAGACGGCCCCATCTCGAGTGGCGAGCCGCGCATACGAACAGAGCGTGTTTGCAGCATCTGCGCAGGTTGTTCGGCGTGTCTGAGGAAGCTGGCGAGCAGGGGACGAGGGTAATGCGGGTTGCACACGCGCACCTGCATGGCGCTCAGATATACGGCTTGCGACGTGGTCTAGACACCGCACTCTATCTACCGCCTCGCACAATCCGCGCATTTGGCAATGGTAGCAGAGTGGCACGCGCCCGACGAAGTCGAGAGGACCGGGAAGGCGCGGATTATTGCGGCCGCGACATCATGTCATTAGTGGCATGATATCATGATATGCAGATGGATGGCACGACGAATCCGAAGAAGAGCTCTGCCGATGTTCTCGCGTTCTCCTTATGCGGACAGGGAGCAGGCCACATGCCAAAGAAGACCGAGATCCCGTAAAGCTACGTCTGCACAGCCCTGCGATACGCGCGCGTCGCGAGAACAAGAAGGGCTTGTTGGGATGCGCGTTTGGTGTATCATGTCGTCAGCGGGGGGGCCGGGGTGGGGGCTGACACAGAATCGTGTGCGGAATGCTCTGGGCCCGTCACCGCCACCGCCGTCGGACGTGCTCGTGGGCGTGCGATGAGGTCAGCGTGTCGTCCGTATCAGAGATCCCGAGGAAGGCAGCCCTCTTGCGTGTCCGGATGCGACGGCCAGCAGCTGGGAATAGAACACGGGTAGTGGAGCCAATCGCGGGAGGCGGCGTTCGAGATTGGGCTGCTATACTTGCCCACGGACAATGAGAGCGGTCTCTGGGCGGAGACCGGCTGTGAGCGCCGCATGCACGAGGCCGACGGTGCAGACATTCGCAGGGGCGGCGCGGACGAAATCGTCCTGCGCGCTTTGGCCTTTGCATCACGCCCGACGGCCGACCGACCGACCGACCGACGGCTCGCATGCGACATTTGCGCGAGTGGGAGGCGTGAGGCACGCGTGAAGCCGGTCGGACGATGTGACGAGGGGCTGCTTATGGCCCGCGCCCCGGACGATCAGCCTCGTCCGGTCTTCTTTCTGGGCTCTAATGACGATCGCGCGGGGCATTCCCCTTTGTCCGCCAATAGCCGTCCGTGGATGCTCCCCTTTTTTTTGTCCGCGTTGCGCACAAATCGGGGGACATTTGTCCCTGTCGGCACGGTCAGGCCGCAACTAATAAAACGTAAGGTTGCCAGACGTCAACTAATTTTGCCAGCCAACGAGATCGTGTCGGGGATCAATCTGAGTTTCATATCGCTCCGCATATGATATGACTGGCTGGAGTAAAGCACAGGCTCAGATCACACAAAACACCTAACTAGAGTTCCCTACATAGCGTAGATGCAGATTTCACCGGGCAGGCCAGAAATTCGAGCCAAGCACCTCTGGAATTGTCGAAGCATGTGAGATGTCCGCCAGATATCTATCGAGGTCGTGCCGCGGCTCGGCATGTAGTCGCTCTCCAGAAATAAAACCCAATGAGCCGGCGCGTCACTGCGCCGTCTCGCTGGGCGCCTGCGAGCTGGTTTGCTCATCGAGCCTTGGCATCCGGGACGGGCGGGAACGCGGGACATTTCGTGCGAGCTCGTCGGAACCCGACTGCTAACGTCGCTCGCTTCATGCAATGCTCATACTGGGGCCGCTATGTGCTTCCCCCGACGTTCCGACAGAGAGACCAGGGGTGCCGACGCTTCCCGTGTGGAATACATGTGGTGCCACTTACGGCCGTATGGTGTGCAGGCACTTACCGACGCGCCGTTGACCCGCCGCGTCTGCCGTCGTCTCCGCGTGAACGGGCGGTCGCGCGTTTTGCATTTTATGGGCCATCAGCGGGGGCTCTTTTTTTGTTGCGACCGGACGCATCTGCACCTAAGCGAAGGAAGGCACGACAGAGACGTCAGACGATGGGAAGCTAGACCTGCGCAGGAGTGCGTTCACGGGGATCGCATTACTAGAGATTACTGGCGCGTGCCACGATTCGGTCCGAAGTGACGGAAGGCGGCTATGGTTACAAGGTCTGACAACTGCGTGCGATGCGTGTGGCTGGAGGGACGAGTGTGCCTTGCAGCCGCCAATGGAGACCGAAGGGGGTGGTCATTGGCCGATGCGCAGGCGGCCCCCGAGCGAGAGCGGGCGAAAGTGAGGCTGACTTCTTTGCCCACACGCAGATGCATCTACGGGCACGCCTGACGGAGAATGATCTCCCATGGGAGCAAACTGCAAACATGATGGTCGCTAGCCACGCTCTCTGATTGGCTGTTTTTCTTGTAATCGCGCACACGACCCTCCTCTGGTGGCTGGTTGGAAGTCGGACGTTGCGAACAGACAAAGCGGTAGTTGTCAAGCTTCGCGCGTCGCAAATTGCAGGACTCGCTCTGATCCGCACGGAGGATGCGGTCTATTTGCCATGCGCTCTAACACCGGGGCGCAACGAGCGGGGGGATGTGCTTTTGCCAGGAAGTAGCAGATTATCCCGGGAGTCGGCCAAAGCGGGCAGGCGGGGATGACATCGGATATTCGACCGAGACGAATTTCGGATCGAATTTTTCGAGGGAGGCGGCTGGGGTTGTTTACAGCTGTTTGCCGCCGATTGATCTTCCGCACGAGCGGGTTGGGATTATTTAAAGGTGCGGGCGTCGTCGAAGTTGCCCAGCCGCTTCTCCCCAACCACCATAATTGCTGTCGTCGTCCCCCTCCTCGCTCTTCTGAGCACCTCCGCATAGAAAGCCCCCTTACAGGGTCTTCTTCTCCACCTCTTACATCGCGACTTCTGCTTGCGCCTTCTCCAGACATGTCCGCTAACGTCGAGAAGGAGGCGGGTCCAACCGAGCCCGTCGGAGACAGCAACCAGCCTCCAACTCCCACTGACGCTCCGGAGCCTGAGAAGAAGAAAAAGAGAGAGTACAAGGACTTCGGTCACGAGGAGGCAAAAGCTACGCGTACGTCTACGATCGGTCTTTCTCCCACTCGAGAGGGGCTAATCCGGCCTTTTCCTCCATGTAGACGCGAAGGTCGATATGTCTCAAATTCAACTTCGCGCGGAGGATCTCTACGACAAAGACAAGGTTGACCTGGAGACCATCGTCGTGGACGATGTGTTCAAGCTTCTCCAGTGTACGGAAGCGGGTCTCGATACTGCTGAGGCCCAACGCCGTTTGGAGTTGTTCGGCCCCAACAAGCTCGAATCAGAGGAACAGAACGCATTCCTCCAGGTACGCATCCCGTCGACGTCATTTTGTTCGTCTTCGGGAGATTGACGCCCGCTTTCCTTAGTTCCTGGGCTTCATGTGGAATCCGCTTTCGTGGGTCATGGAAGCTGCTGCCCTTGTCGCCATTGTTCTCTCCAACGGAGAGGGTCAGCCTCCGGATTGGGAAGATTTTGTCGGCATCGTCTGTCTGCTATTCGTCAACTCTCTCATCGGTTTCTACGAGGAGCGCAACGCCGGTAACGCCGTCAAGGCGCTCATGGAATCGCTCGCTCCCAAGGCTAGGGTAAAGCGTGACGGCCAGTGGAAAGACGTCGAGTCCGCCGAGCTCGTTCCCGGTGACATGATCGCGTTCAAGATTGGTGACATCGTCCCTGCGGACTGTCGTCTTGTTGAGGCCGTCAACGTCTCGATCGACCAGGCTGCCCTCACGGGTGAGTCGCTTCCTCAGAGCAAGAAGGTTGCCGACCAGTGCTTCTCGTAAGATTTCCCTTTTACTTCGTATCTCATTGTGCTTATACTTTTGCAGCGGCTCTACTTGCAAGAATGGCGAGGCTGAGGGCGTCGTCATCTCCACCGGTGCCAACACCTTCTTCGGTCGCGCGGCCTCGCTCGTCGGCCAAGATGACGATACCACCGGACATTTGCAGAAGATTCTCGCTCAGATCGGGTCTTTCTGCCTTGTCGTGATCGGTATCTTCATCATTGCCGAGATTTTCTGCTTGTACGCCGGCTTCCGCTACAACTACCGTCGCGGTATCAACGACATCCTCGTCCTTTTGATCGGTGGTATCCCCATTGCCATGCCCACTGTCTTGTCCGTCACGCTCGCTGTCGGTGCTCAGCAGCTCGCCAAGTACAAAGCCATCGTCACTCGTATCACGGCCATCGAGGAACTTGCCGCCGTCACAATCCTCTGCTCTGATAAGACCGGTACGCTTACGACCAACAAGCTCACCATCGACAAGACCACTCTGAAGACGTACGGCCCCTTCTCCGCTGACGATGTTATCCTACTCTCCGCCTACGCTTCTCGTACCGAGAACCAGGACGCCATCGACGCCTGTGTTGTCGGTACCCTCGGCGATCCCGCGCGCGCGCGTGCCGGCATCAAGCTCCTGGACTTCAAGCCCTTCAACCCTGTCGACAAGCGTACCGAAATCACCTACCTCGAGGAATCGTCTGGCAAGCTCAAGCGTGTCACTAAGGGCATGACCGGTATCATTATCGAGCTCTGCACGCGCAACAAGACTTCCGAGCTCGAGGATCGTCTCGAGGCCGATGTCGAGGAGTTCGCCGCCCGTGGTCTCCGTGCCCTTGCTGTTGCATACGAAGAGGTTGAGGGCACCGACCCCGAGGCTGAAGGCAACGGCTTCGAGCTCATTGGTCTCCTGTCCATTTTCGACCCCCCTCGTGAGGACACTAAGCAGACTATCGACGACGCCATCGGTCTCGGTGTCAGGGTCAAGATGGTCACCGGTGACCAGCTCGCTATCGCGAAGGAGACTGGCCGTCGTCTTGGTCTCGGCGACCACATGTATCCTGCCAAGGTTCTCAAAGAAGGTCCCGATCCTAGCTCCCGCTTCCGTACCCTCGACGAGATGATTCTCGACGCAGACGGTTTCGCCGGCGTCTTCCCAGAGCACAAGTACGAGATCGTCAAGCGTCTCCAGGGTCTCGGCCATCTCTGCGCCATGACCGGTGACGGCGCCAACGACGCCCCTGCTCTCTCTCGTGCCAACGTCGGTATCGCCGTCGAGGGCGCCACCGACGCGGCTCGTGGTGCCGCCGATATCGTCTTGACTGAGCCCGGTCTGTCCACCATCGTCCATGCCATTCGCGGCTCTCGTGTCATCTTCCAGCGTATGCGCAACTACTCGATCTACGCCTGCGCCGTCACGATCCGTATCGTCGTCTGCTTCGCGGTTCTCTCATTCGCCTTCCAGTTCGACTTCCCACCGTTCATGGTCCTGATCATTGCCCTGCTTAACGACGGTACCATCATGACCCTCTCTGTCGACCGTGTCCTGCCTTCCAATACGCCCGATAGTTGGAACTTGGCTGAGATTTTCGCGTACGCCTTTGCTTACGGTATCTATCTCACGCTCTCGACGTAAGTGTTTATCGTCGTCGTTGCTGTCTGCCATAGCTAACATCTCTGTAGGATCGCCCTGGTCGCTGTATGCATTCGTACCACATTCTTCTTCGACAAGTTCGGCGCGACCTTCACGGACGGCGCGACTACCGCTCGTCACCACCATAACGACCCTAAGCTCCACACCGTCGTCTATCTCCAGGTCGCCATCATCTCGCAGGCGCTCATTTTCATCACGCGTTCGCACGGCTTCTTCTTCATGGAACGTCCCTCGGCAGCCCTCTTCTTCGCTTTCTGTCTTGCGCAGCTCATCTCGTCGATCATCGCTTCGTACGGCGACTGGGGCTTCACCGAGGTTGCGGCTATCGAGGGTTCTTGGATTGGTATCATCTGGGTTTGGGTATGTATACCATCACCCTTTAGTGCTACGCGGTATATTGACCTCAATTTCAGGACATCTGCTGGTTCTTGCCTATGGATTTCATCAAGTTCGCGATGAAGGCTACTATCATCAAGTATCTGCGTAACCGTCATGCGGCTAGCGTCCGTGAGGAGACTTCGCAAGCAGCCGCGGGCATTCCCATCACTCGTACCCAGTCGCGTGCCGCGTCGATCCACGAGTCGCTTTACTCGAATCGCGTTGGCTTCCTCCGCCGCGCCGCCCACAGGGTTGGCTTCCGGCAAAAGGTCTCGGTCAAGCCCGACGAGCTTCGCCGCTTCTCAAGTATTCAGGCCGCACAGACCGGCTCCGTCCTCGCTCGCCACCCTTCGCGTGCTCAGGCATAGACGTGGAGTCGGAGCATCGCTTGTCGCTAGCCATCCTTGTGTTACACGCCCCATAATTATCGTCGTCGAAGGTCAACGCAGCAGCTCCTGGTGTCATTATTCTTTTCCTGTCTTATTACATTTTTTCTCCTACCGCCGCGCTGTTCGCGCATGGATGTTGACATCGGATACCCGACCACTCCGTGCTCGTTGACGTTTCTCGTCGAAGGCTGTGTAGCCCTCGTGTGCGGGCTCTGGTTCTGCCTGCGCGACTCTGTCTTGGTCTGGCCTGTGCCTCGTGGTCCTCTTTCACCCCGCCTATCGCCCTCAACAGACAATGATTTGCATACATAGCCTTGACACGTCGTTTCTCGTTCACGATTTCTGTCGCGCAATTTTCCGCCTTCATGACTTGACATGTGGTGTCGGTAGTAATTCTTCTACGTCGCCCTCATTGACACATCGACGACAACTTTTCTTTATCATTAGTTAATGTACAAAGGAAGACGACAAGTAATATAGAGATGTGATATCAGCTCGTCGCGTGATACCTTGAACAATTTGTTGCGTGAAAGATGAGAATCATGGGATGCGTTGATTCCGGCGACGACCAGGTGAAGCTCGCGCGCTTCAACGACTTCTTTGCCTTTCACTGCGACCGCGGACTGGCCTGTGCAGTGCAGAGCTCACAATTCTCCCCACCCTGCAATTCCCTATTCCTGCCCGGACGCGACTGTCCCACGAGCCAAGACGGGTGTTCTCCCCAAGCGCGTTAACGCAAGCAAATTGGCACTATTAATTTGAACAGAATTTGCAACTCGTTCGGGGCGAGGACGGACGCATGGCTGCGACCGGGCTGCGATAGGCCGATGGCGGAGCTGCTCACTTAGGGCGGGCGACACGCTGACCGTTCGCCGCTAGGGTTTACGGGTGCACGGCGGCGCAGAAGAGTCGTGGTGTCATGCGGGTGTTGTGCTTCTAGACGGTGTGTTCGTGCTGGTGAGATGTTAGGTTCAAGGTACGATATCTGCATCTGCGGGCGCACTATCTGGGCTTACGAGAGCAACAGGCAGTGGCGGGCACAGCAGTTGGCCTCGTGAACGTCCGCACTGGGCCCGGTGGAGCGTATGCGTGGGTATCTTTTTACGGACGAGACGCAGATGGACGTCTGGGAGACACAGCTGGCGTCGGATCGCCCGTCGAAGGGCACAGGGCGGACGCGGGCACGCAAGGTGGCATGGGAAGCGTCCAGGAATAGTGTGGACGCAGGAAGGTTCAATTGTACGAGGTCTCATCTGGCGTACGCGTACGCCCTAGCGGTGTGTCCATTCCCTGTGGGGGCTCTGTCTGCTGACATCTCGTGCGCAGGTAGGACGTCCAGAAGCCCCGCCCGCGCTCCGCAAATGCAAGTATTTTGGATTATCGAGTACACACGCTCCCTTTGCCCGGTGGGCAGTGATCGCTCGGCGGCGTCGGGAGCGACATAGCCTCATACAATCAGTCATTCTGCCCGATTGTGCAAAAGTATGCAAGCAAGCAGATTTTGGAACGGAAAGCGCAACAAGAGGGGCCAACCTCGAACGCGGGAAGAGCGGCATGACGCCAGTGGCGGCTGTCCCACCCGAGACATGCACTTGCGGTGCGACCCGGTCATGCGCACGCCGTGGGCGGGGAGCGACGGTACGAGGACGTGCGTCATCGCCATCAGCTTCGTTCTCACCACTTTCCTACTCGCCGTGCCTCGAACGTATTCGCCCCAACAAATGCGTCTTCCGTGACGTCGTGCGGAAAGGGACCGTACCTGTCCATGGAGTGCAGGAGATCTGCGACGGGACGCATTCCCAGGCGTGTGGCGCGAAGAGGGGCCGCTCGCTATGCTATTGGACATCTCCCAAGGTGCGTGCCTGGCCATCCTTTGCACGACATAAATTCATCACATCGTTGCAGCCTACGTTCGTCCGGAGACAAGATTCTAGGCTCTAAGGCCTCTTAGTGACTGCTTTCTCGGTGTACGTTGAGACCACGAGATCGCATTATGGTATGACGCCACTGGCGTGTTGCTCAGAGCAAAATCTCCGGACTCCGCGGTGCTAATCTACAGAGCTTTTCTGTCGACATAACATACGCTAAACGGAACGTCAAGATGCCGAGTAAATACAGTGCCGAGCGCCTCGTAATACAAGTGAGCGTTGCCTTCGCAGCCTGCGTTATTCGCCAGTTGGATGACATGGCCTGCCCTGTATATGCGACTACCAGCATCACTATCTGCCAACGTTCAGACTCGAGTCAACCGATGTCCTCTCTTTGAGCTGTTCTTTATTCCTCATTCGAAAGCCAACTTCTCGCCTGCTTCGGTCGTCTCGGCCGGCGGCTACTCAGACTCTGATCTGGCGACCACCTTTTCCTCGCTTTACCACCCTCCGGTCGCCTGGTTGTACTGGAAGGGCCATGTTCGTCATCTTTACGCACGATGGCTCTGTTGGCGCAGCGAAATCGGGCGTCGGACACGATCTGGTCAATTTCTGTCAGCTCGGGATTTGGGGACCATGTGCCCACCACTCGCGCATCGCACATATCTTGCCTCAGCCCCGGCCGCCTAGTCGTCCCTAGTCTATCAGCTGTGCATACCACTCGCCCAGCTCGTCTTATGGCTTCATTTCATCCCCATCCAGCGCTTGACACTCCCGGCGCAGCGGGCATGGCGATTGCAGTTGAGACACTCCTCACTCTAACGCCTACGAGCCGATATGACACGTAGGCTGTATCTAAATAGACTTGCGTCCAATCACATTTTATCCAACGTTCCAAAGTTTAACTGCTGAAGCTCGACAACCGGTTCACTGCAAGCGAACCTTGCCATGGAAATGTGTGTGATATGGCCTTACGGCCTTGTGGCGTTTGCAGACGCCGAACCAGGAATTATCGGGATAATATTCGACCGTCCGACCATGACGATGCCACTGTTCCAGCTGATATCTAAGTAGTAGTTTGAAAAGTTGCGTTCCCACAATGGACCAGCATCGCGGTGAGCGTGTTCCCCCAACTTTGAAGGATTGTTGCTGCTGCTATGACGTAGATCCGGAAGCTCGCCGAGAAAGAATAATTTCCCTGGCAGAATGCCTACTAGTAGGCATGCACCACAGCTAGGGTATAACGATACAACGGTCCTGGGCAGAGTGTGGATGGACGTGGATGCTATACAGCGCCGTGGAACCGAGCTCTGCCGCTTCCATGCCGGCGCTCTTGCGCAAACCAGACCTACGCAAGTTGCTGCAAGGAGTGAGGAACGTTTGAAGGTCTTCGACGTGAGAAAAGATCGTTAAGACATCCGGCTGTCCGCAATCTCCGTTTTCGGCCAGGATCCCTTGTCTCCCCGATCACCTGCCGGTATCGTCTCTGCCTCAGTCACCGCCTTCACCCTTCTCTGCAAATGAATTATATATTTGCGTATGGAGAACGGCGTCGGCACTACTCACAGCGAAATGCCAGTCAAGGATGCACGCGCCGAGGTGCGTAATTAGAAGCTTTGCTGGAATCCGCGCTAATAGTAGGACAACTCAGGTCTTTCCGCCTGCCAGTGGGCCGGTATAGAAGCACATGTGGCGGAGGACGACGAGGAGAAGATGAAGCAATCATCTGACGATATCAGCACTCTACTCGTTCTCGTAAGCTGTTCGCCTCGTGCTTATTTTCTGGTCGATCTAACGCTTGGCAAGGCCGGTCTGTTCTCTGCTAGTATTTTGACCGCCTTCGTCGTCTAGACATACCGAATACTACAACCATCCAGCACCGATGTGACAAATCAGCTCCTCGCCGCGAACAACCGAATGCTTGTCCGGGGCTTCTCTGCAGCCCTGACCCAAACCCCCTTCTCGCCTCCACCTATGCTGGCTCTCGACGATCCGACGCCGTTCCTCAACCGTAGCGCCGGGCGCCACCAGGCTCACACCACCACCCTGATAAGGCAACCAGTGTTCGACATAAGGGCGGCGGGCGGTTTGCAACCAATAGAATCTGCTTTCCTATTCGCACCTACGTTTAAGCTACGGGACGATCACAATCTCACGCCTTGTCTCGTCCCCACAGGCTCGATAGCATCCTGCGTCGTCTCCGTGTCTCCGCGGCGTGGGACAGCGCGACAGCCGCCTCGACGTAGCCAGCTCTGAGGCTTGGTAGGAAGTGCATGGCAGTGTGCTTGAAGGCGTGAGACCTGCCCCATCGGCATAGCGAGGAATGGGCGTGAAAGAACGACATACGGTCTCTAGTCTGACGAGCTTGTCCGCCAGTTGAGACACTGCATGCTGCGCAGTTAGATGCACAAGATTTGTACGATGCGACACGAAGGTGATCCTGAGGCAGATCAGAGTGTAAGTGGAAGACGGTCGGATTCATCGAGCGAAGTGAACCTCACGGCAGGGGCTGTGGCCGCCAACATCAGCAGCAACAGGCGCGACCGGTACAGAAGAGCTCTTTGGTGTGAGATCACAGCTAAGATATTTACGCTTGTTAGTATCAGCGCGATACGCAAAGATGAGAAAGCATACATCCGCATATGCCCACTTGCAAGTCCGTCGCGCGTTTAAAGACCTAGGACGAGACACAGGCGGTGTAGCGGCGCCAGTGGAAGACCATTTGTACGCTTCCATCGCACTCCGCATCGTCTCTCGTAGCTAACTAGCTCTTCCAAGATACGTGTCCGGCCGACTTCGAGTTACCCTACGTCAGCGTGCACAAGCGCTTTTCTGCACGAGTGACGTCGTCCTTCGTGATCAGACACGAGGTGTAGAAGGCGCGAACTGGCAGTGAACTTGATGTCGGGTCGGTAGCCAAGCTGTAGGGAAGTACCCGTGCGAGGACTTCGGACGTGGCGTGTAGCATGGATTAGTTCTGCGCGAAGGAATATGAGCTGTCGCTACGTAAATTTCGCTACATATCAAAACGTACCTGCATATACGCTTCTTGTTCGATCAGACACAGACTCTTCTGCTAAGGCCTTCAGGGCTTCGTGCCTGATCTCGAACAACATCACCTACAGCAGCTGAATTGTAGTTAGATTAAGGAATGCCAGGATCTAGATAACACAGAGATCTGTTCGTCAGGAAGCGGACACGGGATTGAAAATAAGAATAAAAATTGCAGCTCACGTCATATACATGCTGCCGGGTCAGTGCCTGGGAGCCGACGAACAAGTCGTTGATGCAGACGTTGGAACAATGGTACGGGCCACGTTGAGTAAGGTGCGCATCTGAGGCATTTGGAATGGCGCAATCTGGCTTTGAGGTGAATATGGCAGGAGCCATGCGACCAAAGGTGTGCGCACCAACCTCAAACTTTCATGAACGTGCCCTGCTGACGATGTTTGCTCTCCAGCTAGTAGGGGAAGGGACCGTCGTGGAATCACCGTCTGCGCCAAAGAACGAGCGGATTGAGCACAAGCTGGTTATTGCAGCGCATGAGTAGCATTGCGTAGGCCGTCTAAGTGTTATTGCAAGGATAGAGGGGGACCGTCTATGGTGGCAATGCACACGAAGCACAGCGGAATGGCAATACTGCTTGTGTCCCAGTCGTGGTGTGTGTTATGAGAGCTGGGAGCATCTTGTACGGGACGGCGCGGGCTGTAGCTATCATGAGAATCGTAGCGGTCGAGTGACGAGAGGGTTTGCGAACCATGGCCAGGCTCTTGTAGTCGCATGTGGGGGGCTACGGCCAATGCCCAGCGAAGGGGAGGAGTGGCCTCCGAATTTCCATCTTCCCGGAGGCGGGATGAGCAGGCCTAGGCCGTCGAGACTCGGGAGCGCCGCGGGCTAATTATATGGCGCGTATGGTACAAGGCAGAGTGCGATGTGGTACCGCGAGGCCAATGTCCGGGATCGAAGCTGTGTGAAAGACTAAAAGGCTGTGATTGGAAGAAAAAGCCCAAGACTCCAAGCGAGCAAGACGCAGAAAGCTGGTAAGCGATGTCTTATAAGCGCCTTGGTCCAGAGGGTCCCGGGGTTGGGGTTTCTGTGCCATCTATGTTGTCGGCGCTCTCTGCACCTTCCGTGTTAGGTCAGACGTGATGTTTTGTAACGCGCGCGTCGGACTGGTGTGTTACATCTCGTGACAGAGTGTCACAAGCAGAGTCCCGCTTCGCTCATGCGTCTTGCTCACTCTGTCTCTGCTGTCTATGTTGTGAAAGACTTCGCGCAGGCGGGGGATTCACGAGTAATCAAGGATAAATTCCAAGAATAATACTACATGTTCTTATATAGGTTATCTACTTCCTAATCTGGTCAGACCAATAAAATGTACCTTAGGAAGCTGAGACTAAGAGGAAGCATAACGAGGGTGCAGAGCTGAGAGTGCTCTGCGCGGGTCATCTCTAAAACGGGCATGACAGATCCATATTGGGCATGACGGCCTAAGCGCGTCATGTCGGTATCCCTCCCGGCGCGGCTGATGCGCATCCGGCGCCTCAGATACCACAACACTCCCCCTCAACGAGCAGTCATGTTCGCGAGGGAGAGCTGCCAGGTGTGAGTAGGGCGAGCGAGCGCCTTGGTAAACATGTCGGCGGCGTTGTTTTCGGAGGCGCAGTGAATGACGGAGATAGTACCGGCGTCGATGAGATCGCGGAGGAAATGATGCCAGATGTCGATGTGTTTTGAGCGGGCGTGGAATTGGTGGTCGTGTGCGTATGCGATAGCGGATTGATTGTCCGTATGAACAGTCGTGGGAGAGTCCAAGGAAGTGCCGAGCTCGTCGAGAAGGCGGCGGAGCCAGACAGCTTCCTTGGTGGCATGCGCAAGAGCGATGTATTCGGCTTCCATCGTGGAAAGGGCGACGGTGGTCTGCTTCTTCAAGCTCCAGCTGACGATGCCGCCGGCGAGCTGGAAAGCATAGCCGGAGACGGAGCGGTGGTCAGCGAGGGACTGGGCCCAATCGGCGTCTGAGTACCCGATCAAACCCTTGATGTCAGGACCATAAGTGAGACCGAGGGCGGCGGTGCCCTTGAGATAGCGGAGGACATGCTTGACGGCTGTCCAATGCGTGGGAGAGGGGCGCGTGGTGAATTGAGATAGCGTCTGGATGGAGAATGCGATGTCCGGACGGATGCCAACAGCGGCGTACATAAGGGAGCCGATGGCGGCAGCATAGGGCGCATCAACAGGCGCCTCGCCGTCAGAGAGCGGCGCGAGCTTGACATTCGGGTCAAGCGGTGTAGCGACGGGATTGGAGTCCTGCATCCCAAAACGTTCGAGGATGGTCTGGACATAGCGTGTCTGATGGAGGGTGAAAGTGCGGGCAGCGCGATTGCGATCAATCTGAAGACCGATGAAAGTTCTGAGACCTCCCGAGGAGGTGATAGTAAAATGCTTGGCGATCTCGGCTTTGAGATCGTTGAGTGCCTTGCGCTTTCCGTACAGTGTGGTGTCGTCTACATGGAGTAATGCCATTGTTAGCGACGTGGCAGGTTTGTAGTATACACACGGGTCTGCAGTTGAACGCGTGAAGCCCAGGAGGGCGACCAGGACATGATTTAGCAAATCATTCCAGACGCGGCCGGCCTGTTTCAGGCCATAAATCGCTTTGATCATGATATAGATGCGCCCGGAGCTGTCATCGTAGCCGGGCGCTTGGCGCATGTAGATGGGTTCCTCGAGTGTGCCGTTGAGGTAGGCGCCTTCGTAGTCTATGGTGTCGTCGTCCAGATCAGAGACGGTGGCGATAGCGGTGCAAACGCGGTAAGACTCAAGTCGCACGACTGGTGTGTAGGTCGCGAAATAATCCTGTCCGGGGATTTGTGAGTAGCCTTGCGCGACAAGACGCGCCTTGTATTTGATGATCGAGCTGTCAGTGTCGCGCTTGATCGCGTACACCCAGCGGCATCCGACCACCTTTCGTCCCTCTGGCAAGTCCCCCAGCTTCCAAGACCCTCGGGCCTTGAGCTGTGTCATCTCCGCATCCATGGCCGCATCCCATTGTGGCCAGTCCTCCCACTGCCGCACCTCCTCGATATTCCGCAGATTGTCGAAATTGGCAGCGGCGAAGGCCATGTGTGCCTGGGCGGTAGGAGACGGATCAGCGGGGACTTGTTTACCGGTCTCGTGAAGTTGCCGGTAATCGATGCGCTTTGTGGCACGGGTTGATGCGCGGACGGGCGCCGGCACAGAGGCTGGTTCCTGGAGTGATTTCGCAGGTGTCTGGGTCTGCGGTGACGTTTTGGTGATGGCAGGAGCTTTGGGCTTGGTAGTAACTGATGTAGGCGTACCAGTAGAACTCTCTCCCTCAAGCGCGGAGCTTCCGTCAACGAGGGGAATAGGTGCCGCGCGCTGCCACTGAAAGATTACATTGCGCGAGACCAAAATCTGACGCATACCTGGAGCATAATAGCGCCAACCTGCACTATTATCACTGATTCCAGTGAAGTGGTATTTCTCAGACTTGGCGTCAAGTTTCCCAGTGCGTCTGTTGTCCAGGACGAGCACCCAGCAGGGTATACCAAACTCCTGAGCATTCTGGAGGTCGGGACGCTTGTCCCAAAATAGCTCGTATGGCGTCACACCTCGGAGTGATCAGGTCGGGAACCGGTTCTTAAGATAACAGGCGTAAGCGAAAGCCTCCTGCCACAAGAACTTAGAGGATTCGTGCGCGATAAGCATCGCGCGTGTGTGTTCAGCAAGCGTGCAGTTCAGACGTTCAGCAACGCCGTTCTGCGGAGGCGAGTAGGGTGCCGTGGTGCAACAGATGATGCCGCGAGATTTGAGGTAGGCCTTGAATTGGCCTTCCGTGTACTCCTTGGCATTGTCCACGTGTATGGTTTTGATGCACCGGGAGCGCTGTGTTTCAAGAAGTTGCTCGAATTTCTTGAAACGATCAAGGGCGGCGTTGCGTGTTTTCATGAATGCGATCATCACATACCGGGAGGCAGCATCAGTGAAACTGATAAGATAAAGGTTGCCCTGCAGTGATGCAATCTGCGCAGGGCCCCAGATATCAGAGAAGATTAGATCGCCAAGCTGATGAATGCAGGTAGTGGCAATTTCGGGGAACGGAGCGCGCGCGTGCTTCGCCTGAATGCATGTCTCGCATTCGAATTCAGGGTCTGATGCGGTGTCAACCGTCATCCCATCAACCAGGCCCAGTCTCTGCATCTCTTGCAGCTGGCCTCGGTTAATGTGACCCAGTGCGCAATGCCACTCGTACCAAGTACGAGTGGTGCACACTGCGAGTGCTCGTGACACAGAGGTCGTGGGGGACGGTGCCAGGCAGCGGATTCTCAAATCCATATGATACAGCTGATCACTGACCTTCTGCCCGGTACCGATGATTCGGGTACCGTCGACTAGAGACAGCCCGTCCCCTTCACCAATAAATTTGATGCTGGCGCTGGTCATGCGACCCAGTGACAACAAATTATAGTGCATAGACAGTGCGTGCAGGACGTCCTTCAAAGTAACAGGCACGGTCCCGGCCTTGGTGGCGAACAATACGCGCACATCACCACGGCCCGATGCGGCACAAGCGCCGCCAACATCTGTGATGGTGCTGCCTGGTGTCACGACGTAAGTCACGAACGCTGTGCGATCACGTACGATATGATGCTCGGCGGCGGTGTCTCCGAGCCGGGTCTCGCCTTTGGCGACAAAAGCGGGTGTACTTTCATGCGATGCGAAGGTGTACGAGTCGGATTTGTCCGTGAGTTCGACCACATGCGCGTTTGATGTGCTAGACTGGCCGTTGTTACCGGAAGTCTGGGTCTTGGCTGATCGGCATTCAGCCTTGATGTGTCCTTCTTTCTGACAGTTGTGACACATGACGCCCTTCCGGAACTTTGATTTCCGCTTCGGCTTGGTGGTGCCCTTCACGATAAGGGCTGTAGAGGTTGTAGCTGATGCCGCATGCTCGGCGCGACGGGCTTCTTCAGATAGAATACATCCCGTGACCTCAGCTGTGGTAGCTGTGATAGGGGTGGAGTTAACGAGGGGGTCCCAGGACTGGGGAAGTGCGGCTAGAATATTCTGAGCGAATTCCAGATCACTCATCGTGCCTCCCATCTGACTATTCTGGGACCTGTATTGCTTCATTTGGCAAATCTCTGATTCCATATTTGCCTCCTCCCCTATCTGCATCTTCTGCAGTCTCCTCATCACCGTGACCCTCGACATCATACCGGAGTTGGCGAACGTATTCGTGAGTGTTTCCCACGCGTCCTTCGAGGTGGTACAGTTGGCGATGTGAACGACGACGGCGGGGGCGCACCAGAGGCAGATGGCGCTTAATGCCTTCCAGTCTTTCGTCTGCCAATTGGCTGCCAGAGCCGCATCAGCAGGTAGGGTCTTCGTACCCTTGGGATATTCTAACAGCGAAGCGAGTGTGAGAACGTCTTGGATTTGAATGTTCCAGGAAAAGTAGTTCTCCGTGCCCTTCAGAGCTTCGATCTTTGGGGAACCGTCCATACTCTCGAGAACAACAGTCTACGGCGGCGCCTAGATAGAGTTCGTTCTGGACGTGGCATCACAGGGTCGATTAAGGTTTGATCAACAGTGGGAAAGGGTCGCGTTGACCCTGCAGGTGATGTCGGTGACCAATGATTAGAGCGCAGGACTCATAACCTGTTGTGAAAGACTTCGCGCAGGCGGGGGATTCACGAGTAATCAAGGATAAATTCCAAGAATAATACTACATGTTCTTATATAGGTTATCTACTTCCTAATCTGGTCAGACCAATAAAATGTACCTTAGGAAGCTGAGACTAAGAGGAAGCATAATGAGGGCGCAGAGCCGAGAGTGCTCTGCGCGGGTCATCTCTAAAACGGGCATGACAGATCCATATTGGGCATGACGGCCTAAGCGCGTCATGTCGGTATCCCTCCCGGCGCGGCTGATGCGCATCCGGCGCCTCAGATACCACAACAGTCTATAGCATCCATGTTCTCTCGTAGGCTCTATGCTGTCTATACCATCTCTCTAATTTATTTTATTCTCAAGACACCGCTCTGCGGTGCGGAAAACGCTGGACTCCAACTTAGGCGCCTATTTTGCCCATATAGGACGAGCACTTGTCTGATTACACAATGTCTAGCCGTGTCGCGATATGTGATAATAAACACTTCAAATACAGCATATATATGCTTCTGGTATATTGCAATTTTAATTTTAATTTTAGTGCTTACTTCTGATCCCATAAATGAGTATCAAAAGCAGAGCACTTAGTTTACTGCAGAAAGGGAGCCAGTGACTCCATGCTACGCCTGTCGGCCCATTAAGACACTCTAACTACAGGATAATAACCTCGTGTATCCTAGGTCTCTCTTGTTGTGCGCAGTGTGAGGCATGGCCGTACAGTGTGCTTGATCACCATCCCAGGTCTGAGGCTTGTGACATGTGACGGAGCGCTTACATGGGCGGCATGGACAGAGCGGACAGCGTAGACGCCCTAGACGGCACAGAATTCCCAACTCCTGGACGTTCTCCCTAGGTCGCGTCTTCGCGTCTCTATTCTTCCTCTGCGCCCGTCGTACACCTGCTCCTTGGTCTCCCTCTCATACCCTAGGAGTCACAATATCACATACAGCTGGTTCCTAGGGCATATGGACACCTCCCCACGGTTCGGTACGGAGCGTGTTGTTAGGGATTTGCTAAGCTGGGTGCTTGGTGAGTGCGTCCTTGTTCCTTGCCCCAGCTTTGGTTGAACATGCCTGCTGGCGGACTATGCATTCAGTCTATAGTCAATAATTCGTCGCCCGATACTTGGCCATCTGCTTCCCGCCTTCAACTATAAGTTGCATGCATCACAAACCTGGCCGCTGCGGCGCAGACTTTGAACAGGCATTCGTTAGGTGAGTTTTGCGTACCGCATCTGCTCCGTCCACGTAATGTTCTAACAGAAGGTTGCAGAAAACCGCCATACGAGTTCCTCAAGCTATCGCAAGACATATCTCACGCGTTGCCGCTTCTCTTTGAACCCCTGCAAGCTGGCCCGATGCGGCATCTACCGCGACCTCCTTCCCGGTCAAATCGTTTACGATCAACCTACAACTACGGAGTAATGTTCCTCGGCGAAGAGCTCAAGCTACAATGAATCGAAGGTCCGTCGCCCCCTGTTTATTTGCTAAGCACTTGCTCATGAGCTGCTAGAGTGCAGGCTTCGCCAATCAAGCTGGAATTGAAGACCAATTATTCGCGGCGCGATGGCGAACGCCGGGCTATTTGGAGGACGTCGAAACACCGCTTTTCGTTGTACGTGTGTTGGCGAGGTTGTTCTGCTATTGACGCTCATTTAATTCTGCAATTTTAGGCAATTCTACTTCCTGCGATCCCCACCGCCATCGTCGTGTAGATGCACCAGCTCCTGCAATAAGATAAATCAGACGCGACCAACCAATTGCTCGTATCTACGAATTAGCCCCCGAACCAGGACCTTCATCTTCACGGCACTGGTCTTGTATACCCCCGGCAGGGAACACCACGATCCGCGATATTCTGCGCGCACTGCACTTCGTGCCCCAGGTATCCACACAGTAGATCAGCGTGATATTCGTGGGCCTCGTCCTTAGCTCCACCTCTTCGCTATTAATTGTTCTCGCCAAGCAGCGGCTCCGTGGGTACACGCGCCGAGGCTTGTTGCCTGCAGCATCACGCAAGAACGTGCCTGCGCACCAGTTACGCTTCGAACTGTGGGTAGTGCAGAACGGGAGGCGACAATCGATGCGTCTCTCGAAATCACGACCTTTTTTCCTCGCGGGCACGGTCGTTCTCCTGTGAACCCTCGACGACATCGTCGTCATCGCGATCGCAGCCGTCGCCTCTGCCTTCGCCGTTCTATCCATCGCTTTCCGTCGCCGCCCTCCTCGACCTTCGTGGGCCCGCCCGCCCGCACTTCGAACTCGAGTGCCCCATGGTGCTCGTCGATGAATGGCGAGTCATGGACAGCATGCCCTCGTTCCAGCAGCAGCATCGTCTGAAGCTGCTCGTCGTCGTCTTCTACGCGCGCACCGCAGATACGGACACGTTCAGTGCGAAACAGTGGTGCCCGTGCACCCTCAAGGCAGTCCTGCATGTTCACTCCCACCCTGCGTCCGGTTTCAGAATCAGAACCCCCGAGCTTGCGTGGGCCCGTGCGAACGTGGTTATGTTTTGATTAAAGACCATTCGTTCGTATCATCCGGGGTTGCGTTCACGAGACGACTGCTAATATTGTACTTAGCCGTTTGTCCAAGACCCTACGACCACGCATGACGGAACGTCACCCTGGACCGATCCAACGCCTCAATCTGGAGCGAAGACGGACACGGAATGAATGTCTCTGCCTTCTACGCTTTCCGAATAGCCCTCGCGACACGGCGTCGTGAATATGCTGCTACGGATCGCTGACACTATGCGCTGGAAGATATTCGAGGCTGCGGGCGCGAGGACCAGCAGAGCATCGGCGACTGCGAGGATTGCGAGGACAGGCAGCGGACGCACCAGCTCTAGCTTCAGGGCGGCGGCCTCTTCTGCCCTCAACCATACGTGCTTCGCCACTTTCCTCCACCATTTCGAGCAAGCGCTCTACAGCGGCGTGCGTTTGCCGCCACGCTGCCCAAGCCGCGCGTGCTCCACCTCCCGCAGCACTTGCCCGGCAACAAAGTCCAGCCATCTTTCCCGTTCTACACGCAGGTCGTCGCGAAAGACAGCCTGAATGGGCTCAGGATCTTGAGCTAGTATTCGAGCGTGGACGGCACTGGTTCTGAAGGTCGTCGATGTGATCGAAAGCCTCGTGCTCGTCCTCGCGGGCCCTAAAACGTTTGCAACGACATGTGCAAAGGGCATGAAGCTCCTCATGGAGAGCAGCAGGCTCTCCTCGATGTTTGACGAGAGGGATAGGTGAGTTTTTCATGTTCGAAGCCGGAGTCGGAGGCTGATGACGGTGCGCCGTCAGGCCTGCGTGGAACTGGAGGTGGGCCGCACACGCGATGTTATCAGGGGGCAGGGAGTGCGCGCAAACCTACAGACGCACCGCTGAAAGCCTCATCAAGGACTACTCGTACGCTATTGACGACATCCCAGGCGCGCGCGTCGACATCGTTGGTAGCGTCATAAGCCTGATAATTGTGTGGTGGAGCGTAGACTGTCTGGTCAGTTGTCGTTCACTCTCATCTGGGTATGCGGTTCTGACGCGCCTGGCTGTGCAGATGAGAATCCCGCCGAAGACGCAGGCGAACCCGAGGGGCCTGTTCAAGATGGAGCAGGAGGTGCTCAACATGTCCGCGCTGATTTTCACCTGACCAGGCGTAGAAATGTGACAGCTATTCCTCTCTCAACTCGTCCTGAATCGTATCAAGCATCCTGCGTCCTCCCGGTTGTTAACCAAGGTGTACACGTACGTTTTGTGTCAATACAGGATCAAATTCTTGACAGTGAGGCGTCTATGTAAGTGTACTCTTTGCGTGTTAGCAATGTCTGCTTATGTACCGTGTACTTAGCACTCGAGCAACCCAGCGTAAGGAGCCCAGCTGCGAGTTGTTCATGGGTCCTGGCTAATTACCTCCCGTTCGACTTCGGACATACCAACGAATGGGCCCTGCAGCAAACATGATGTCACTCGGGAAAAGCTATCACGCAAAACCTACCATACGCGAGGCTCGTGGCTGTCCCTGGATCGGTCACGGCACCTGTGGCGACTTTGCGTCGCAACATCCCGAATGATATCCGCTCTCGAAGCCCGGTCCCGAGCTTACCCAGTGGGGAGCTCAAGTAGTAGCGGACCAAAGGCCCGTCGTCCTCTGTTCATCTACCAAGCGTCTGCTCACGAAACCGCCAGGGGTCTGCAGATCTCACTGGCCAGGCCGACATTAAAGACTGCCTGCTCGCGCATAGCGGCCAAAGGGTGCGTGATTGCGCAGAGGATGTTGGCACGCTATTTATTTGTGCGTATCCCAGTAAGATTGTTCTGCTCTTGCCGCTCATTGAGTCCCGCGAATCCAAGTAGGTCTCTCCTCCTTGACCCTCAACGGCTTCGTCAGGCAGACATATCAGCTATTCCGGATTGACAAGTTGCCCATGCCGATGATTGCTCGCGCCCGCGAACCAGTTTCTGGCACTGAACGTCTAGCTCCACAGTGCAGAGCCTCTGGTCCTCTGGCGATGGACATCACAAGCCGCGCCTTCTCGTCCATGCCGCCCTTTGTGCCCCAGACAACGTGGTCTCCTTCATGAGCTTTCAGCTACACTTTTCGGCATCTTCGCCCAGCAGTACGTCACGTACATGCGGTGCAACTTGCTACTTCCGTCGCCGTGCGGCAACGCGCTCGTACGCTAGATGCTCCTCAAGACGTGAGAAGCGCACATGGGACTCTGCAGCCGCTTCTGCTTTTTTTTTTTTTTCATGTCCATGCTACACAAGCTTGTCCACACGACGTCTGCTTGTAGAGCACTCGCATAGGTTGGATAATGACACCATATTTTCGCTTAGACTTTTCCTCGCATGACTGTAGATACTGCCTCGGCCCGGCAGTGCCCAACGAATCGAAGTTGCCGTCTCGGACAGCCTCGGACCCGACGTTCTGCATGCATGCTGTGTCTACACGAGGCGATGGTGTCGACCATCCAGCCGCCCTGATATCCGATTGCCATCTCATTTCATGCACCGGTGATCAGCGCTCAGCGAAGGCTGTTGTCTTTTGACAGCTCAAATGCAGGGCTAGGGCTGGTGAGAACGATGAAGGCGCGGCAGACAAGCACCGCAGGCCCGTCCGCCCGCGGCCCAGATCGCGATAATGCGAGTTTCTCAAGCGAGCGTCGCTCTCTCGTTCGCAGTGACATATCTAGTCTCCATTCTCCAGCAATGGTTCGGGGGTTGCAGAGGGAACGGCAGATACCTGAGAGGGCATCGAGGGTATGACGGATACCACGCAGCGTTGGCCCGGCGGGCTCCTGGGTCCATTCTGGCTCTCAACAGCCAACGTCAACACGAGGCGGTTACAAGGCACTCCCAGACCAGGCCTCCCTCCCTCGCCCCATCCCCAGTCCAACACCCTTCCTGTTGACCCGCTACCATCTCTCTTTCACCCTTTCTGTCCACCAGTCATCGCTGTCATCTTTGCAGAGTGCACTATACACCCACATGAACACTTCACGAGGCAAGAATCGGGCAGCTGGGGTTCCGGATGCCAAGGTACGCATACCAGACCTAAGCCAAGTCCTGTATCGACGGCTCATCGTCGCGACTCTCTGCGCCAGGACACATCAGGTCTCTCCGGGTGGGCAGGAATAGAGGCGACTGTGGCGAAGGACGATGATGGGAAGATGAACGGATATTCTGAAGATGTCGACACTCTGCTTGTCTTCGTATGTCCCTCATCTGCGTTTTCATGCTCGAGCAACCTGATGCCCGTCAAGGCTGGTCTATTCTCTGCCATCCTCACCGCATTCGTCGTCTCGACCTATACAATGCTGCAGCCATCGAGCGCTGACCTGACGAACCAGCTCATTACCACCAATAACCAAATACTCGTCCAAGGCTTCTCTGCCGTCCTCACCGGGTCCTCGTTCTCTCCCCCTCAGCTTATGTCTCTCGCTGATCTGCCACCATTCCGGCCGTCGACCCCGGCACGGTGGATCAACACTCTGTTCTTCATCAGCCTCGTCCTCAGTATCGCCGCCGCCCTGCTGGGAATCCTGGTCAAGCAGTGGGTGCGCGAGTACATGCAGTGGAACTCGCCCCTGGCAACTCCGCGAGAAAATATCATGGTGCGGCAATTCCGGCTGGAGGCGTGGGATGCGTGGAATGTCTCGGCGATCGTCTCGACGGTGCCAGCACTACTCGAGGTCGCGATGATCCTGTTCCTCATCGGCATGGTCATCCTGCTGTGGACCCTGGACGATGTTGTGGCAATCTGTTTGACAGCATTCACGGCGATGTTCCTGCTCGTTATCGCCGTGTCCACCATCCTTCCCGTGTTCTCTCGCCGGTGCCCGTACAAGTCACCGACGGCATGGGCTGTCATGGCGGCTTGCAAGCTCACGCTGCATTTGGTGCCATTCTGTGTGAGATGGGGCAGAGCATATGCTGCTCTGCAGCATCGTCGATGGCGGCAGTTCATTCGCGGTAAGCCATGCAAGTGTCTAGCATGCCATCTGCAGCCTTATGCTCTCCGTCAGAATGCAGTGTGGACCTGCGCTGTGGGTTGTATACTGAAATATACCGCGATTTCATTTCAATAGTCTTGGTCGGTAGCGGCGATGATTCCTTGGGGCCGCAAGAGCGGGTCAAGTGGAAGCAACTACCGCTCAGCTGGCGCGACGTCGACCTCAGCAGCTGCAGATCCATGCTGCCGCGCTTCGGATCCCGACAGCTCAACGATGAAACTATGCGCGCCGCGGCACAGCAAACCCTTTTGGCCGAGACTTCAGATGGCTCGGAGCGAAAAGACGAGTTGTTCGGCAAGGTCAAGGAGACTGCCCTGCTCCTGCGAGCATTGTCCTGGGTAGCAAAGTCATCCCAGAACTCTCACGTCGTCATGTACATCGAGCAATGCCATGACGAGGAGCAGGGTCTACACGAGCGTACCCTGGATTTCCTCCTTCGTGCGGCCGATTCAGGACCCGGTTTTGAAGAGCGGCGGCTCCTTCTGCAGTTCGTCCTTAATCAATCCAAGCAGTGCAATATCTCTGCGCTGCTGCGTAGGGCGTACATTTATGCTCAGCGGGACTACAGGGTCATGCTATCTGTAGCTGACAGACACCTGGGTAAGCGCACACATAGCCTAGAAGAGGGAACATTTGCTAACATGTCAGGCGTGTTTCTCCAGTGCTTGAGCAGGGGTACACCACAGCCGCTGACTGCGAGCTGCTCCTGGCGAACTACATCCCATCCGAGTTCACACATGCCTACCAGGACCGCCTCGAGATGTTCATCACCACAGCAACGGTGTGGCTCTTTCGCTGTGACATGGAAGTGGCGTCTCGAGAGGTTGTGGTCGACGTACTGGGGAGGATGATCAGGGTGGCGGACGTCTTGTCTGTTGAGTCCGCCGCACCGGCTGATACCGCGGCAGGCATCTCGCAGGGCGGCAACGCCGTTGACGTCCGAGCTAACCATCGGGAGTGGATCCGGAAACTGTATCGGACGAGAGCGACGCTGACGGAGCGATATGGCGCACTGTTCAGGCGACTCCTGCATGCACTTGAGAAGGCGTACAAGCTGGACAAGCTCCGCGGCGACGAGGATCCGATCCGGGATGATCTGCACGACGCGCTCGAGACGTCACACAACACGTACGGGTCCACATGTGAGGTCGACGGCTGCCCCTGGATCGGGCACGCCAAGAGCCGGCAGGACGAAGGCTACTGTTATGTCGAGTGCGATCTGCTTTCGAAGGGCGTCAGGCCCGCCTCCGCCGCGGACGCGCACGGCAAGGAACAGCCGGCCGAACCGCGGCCATCGTCATCGTCTGGACCACAGCCATCGCCGCCATCCGAACCGGTCATTTCATCCGGCCCGCCCCAAGGGCTCGCCCACGCCGAACCGCATTGCACGACGTCACACGACGCTCCTCCAGTGCCAGCAATCCGAAGCTCGCCCGATTGTCCGAGCTCGCGGTCTTCGTTGTCTGCCACTAAGCACAAGCCGCGGCGTCATGCGATGAGAAGGGTAGGGGAAGCAAGGTCGATGGATGAGCTGACGAGACCAGAGGCAGCGCGGGTAGAAGCGGGACGGCGGAGGTCCTGGGGTTGACAGTCCGGACTCGCGTTGTACATGTATACTCCACCAGAGCATATAGCAGTAAATTATGATGGTAGAGTTGTTATTCATACGTGCAATAATGAGTGCGCGAACGCGAGGCTCGGGGAGTATATGCCCAAGACTCCTGAGTAAGATAATAAATTATTCAATTAGCGGGCTATACAGTGATATTCGAAGGTAATACATGGAATAAAGCCTGTCCGCCACCGGTCGAAGATCTCTGAAAGGTTGCTTGGCGCCACCTCGACACCTGTAGGATTATCGACAGGATGCCATTTCGTTTGTGCAGGAGCATGCACTTAGCGCAAACTGGAGCATAGAGAATAAGCCGCGAGCAAGGTGCGGAGACATATAAGGCATACACCCACGGATTCTAACTTGAATGTCCACCACGGACCGGGCAAACCGGAGTGGGGGGGGGGGGGGGGGGGGCAGACTACGCACGCAGCACGAACTCGTGACCTGCTTGTCCGTCTACGTGGCGCTCTGCATCGGCCCTACATAGCTGATCAGCTTCTCAAATACGTGTCTGGACGTCCACGAGTTTGACCTACGTCAGCGCACGAAAGTGCGTTTCGGTGCGAGTGAAGCTGTGCTTCGTCGCCGGTTACGAGGCGTAGAAGACGTAGGCTTGCGACGTTCTCGGTGCTAGATCGGTGGCCAAGCGGCGAAATGCTTGCGCAAAGGCAGCGCCACAAATTTCAGGCGCACAGGGTCCATCTGGCTACTTTGTGGCTGGAGGAGCGGTCGCGTGAGTGATTTGGAGGCAATCCTAGGGTAGATCAGGTGGGAGGCGGTCGGGATCGTCAAGCGAAGTGGAACTCACGGCGGAGTGTTGGCCATCTGGAAGCGCCGATATCAACAGTGACAGATATGGCCAATACGGCCAGCTTCGTGAAGAGCTTGTTAGCCTGCGAGCGTAAGTTTCTAGCTAGAATATTCACGCTCGTTAGGAACGGCGCGATATGTAAGGACGAGAGGGCGTACATCCACACGTGCCGACTTGCAAGTCCGTCGCACGCCCAATCAGCTAGGACGGGACACAGATGGCATAGGCGTCGCTAACTGAAGATCCAATTTCCCGCTCACATCGCACTCGGAACCATCCCCGCATAGCTGACCAACTCCTCCAACATACGTGTCTGGCCGATCTCAAGCTTGACCTACGTCAGCGCGCGAAAATGCAGTTCGGCGCGAGTGAAGTCGTATTTCGTGATCGGGTACGGGGCGTAGATGGCGTGAGCCGGCGATGAACTCGATGCCGGGTCGATAGCCGTGCAAGCGCGAGGACGCCGAGCGTGACGTGCAGTATGGACTGGTTCAAATACCGTGAGTTGTGTGACCTGCGCGAACAAAGATGAGCTGCCGTTACATAAACCTTGTTGGACACAGAGACGCACCTGTAGACACGCTCCATGGTCGGTCAGATGCATGGCCCTTCTGCTAGGGCTTTTAGGGCAACATGCCTGATCTCCGTCTACGTCGTCAAGACTAGCTGGACTTCGGTGTGGTATGGCGCAGTAAAACCTAGGTGGCATACAGATACGTTTGTCAGCATGTGGGGATTTAGTAAAGAAAATTGCAGCTTACATTGTATATATGCAGCTGAATCAGTGCCCGAGAGCCGACGAACAAATCGTTACTGCAGTCGCCGACGGCCTCTGAGACAACGACGTAGACTGCGTTAAGCGAGATGGATGCCTGAGGCATTCCGAATGGTGCAGTCCAGGTTTAAGATGAGTATAGCAGTCGCTAGGTAACTCAAAGTTTGCGCACCGCGATGGCTGGCGTTCAGCCAGAAGAAGGGAACGTCTTCGGATCTCCAACTCTGCCGAAGAGCATCCTTTAATCGATCGTAAGCTAAGCGCTGATTATGGCAGCACGCGATTAGCGTTGCGCGGGCCGTCTGAGAGTTGTAGCAGGGCCAGAGGTGCGCCGTCCATGGTGCAAACGCGTGCAAAGCGAGACATGTCGTCGTGGAAGTACACGCACAGAACGTTTCGTGCGAGAAGCGGGAAGGAGACGGAGTCATGAGCACAGCGGGGCAACGGAGCTGCTCGTGCTCCGGTCGTGGTGTGAAGACAAGGATGGGCAGACAGAGGCAAGCAGATCCAACGTTTCGGCCCAGTCCAAACTCCAAAGTTCAAACGCGCTTGGCGCAGGTCACGTGAAGCGCCTCAGCGGCGCGTTGAGCTCGCAGCCCGCGTTCTCCTCCACCTGCTTGCTACACACCCTCTCTTGCCCCTAGAATCACCGTCATGCACGTGTCTCTACCTTGACGCAAATTCCTTCCTCTTCGAATTTGCATTTACTTCCCTTCACGCCTCGGGCTCGCCGCTGGTGCACATATATCCACTTCATGCTGCGAGCACGAGACCAGCCGTTTATTCCCTCTCCAGGTAGCATGTCGCCGAGGACTCTAGATGAGGAAGATTCAGGTGAAAGATGGGCAGTTTGCTTTCGTGTCACCGACGGACGGTTGTATTGGATGCATGGTGCGCATATTCATGTTACTCCATCTGGCTTGTACTGACCAGGTCTACTAGTCACAGTCGCAATACGGTACCTCCCATGTCACCAGACATTCTGTACATCGTCTTTGAACTATTTATATCGAGTGGCACATCCCTCTCCTAGTCATGAACGCGTGGCGTGTGTGAACGTCTGAGTTAGAGACACGGCCCAATCACAAGGCTTTGGGTTTGCATCAACTCAGGGAGAATGCTTTGCAACGCTTACGAACGAGACAAAGGTACAATGTTGGAGGGATCTAGGTAACATTCAGATGCGTCTCCTCGCCTTCTCAGCCGCGGGTAACGCTTGGCTCAGTTGCTGGACTTCAAGCATGCTCCCTATCTCCGTTCCCTTCGCGCCTCAGGCGTCCGCACAATCGACCAGCGAGCTCATCAACGCTCCCTTCGTCACGGGCCTCTTCGTTAGGTTTGCAGCCGCGCTGTTAGACGTTCTCCTCAAGCAGCAACTTCACCGGACACATGCAGTGGAACTCGTCGCCTCCAGTACCGCACGATGGCGTGCTCGCGCATTAGCGGGTGTCTCGGGTCGCGAAAGACGTGGGGTGTGGACGCGATATTCGTGGCAGCACTCGGCCGATTAATTTCGCGACAATCCTCCTCTTCGCGCGCATGCTTCCTCACCTGTGAACCTCGACATCGTCACAGCTGTGGCCACCGTTCTCGCCTCAGCCTTTCTGCCGGTCATCTCTACCTTCACTTCCCCATCCATTATCCTTTGTTGCTGTCCTAAATTTACTTTCGGCCGCATGAGTATGTCCCGTGCGCTGCTCTCCGACGAGCAAGCCTTCGCACGTCTGTTGACTCTCGCGGCACAACGTTGCAACCGCGCCGCTGTAGGCTTTCGGCGCCCTCGACTGTAAGGTGTTTGAAGCCATAAACGCGACCTCGCGGTGGTAGGACCGGCGCAACGTCCACGTCCACAATTGTACAGTTCGCAATGACGAGGAGCGTGCGCACCGACACCGGCCGCAGAACAGCAGCTTTCTCAAGGTGAGCCACGCGCGCTATACCACCCTCCTCCAACGTGTTCAAGCAGGGGTTTCCGTCAGGTCAAGCTGACGTTCTGCAGCAGCGTGCTGATGGGCGTTAGGACTCTGTCCGCTACGGCCTTCATTGCAGCGTCGCCGTGGCACAAGCGCGTGCTGGACCGAGCGAGCATCTTCAACTGTTCATGGTGTGGAGACGCTATTCAGATGTTCCTTTCAATGGGGAATGCAACGCCCAGAAGCGCGGCCTTCCGTGTCCGCGCTTACGACGGAGAGCGCGATTTGTCGCCCGCCATCCGATTAGAGAGGCTACCTGTTTGAAAGCCCCTCCGCCGTCGCTGCACCGACGGAGAACTGCCCGCATCGCCATAGCCAGCGCTCGGTCGCGTCCTGGCTTGCAGACTAACCCAGAGATCCCATGCGCCTCTCTCCCCACAGACAGGGCTCCTTGCTCCTCCAGCCTGTCATCTCTCACCGTCTCAAAGCCGCCTCGCATCGACCTACCCGTGGCCAGCTATCCACTTTGGTCAAGTCTGCTGCACCTGTCGCGCCGGTGACAACAACAGTTCTTAGCTAGCACAAAGTCGAGACCGGGGCCTGGACCGAGCATGCCCGAGGGCGACGAAGCGTCACGATCTCCTTCTTCTACCTACTTGTCGGCGTCGCGCTCTATGTTCCTGACACCTCTCACATCTCGTAGAGATCATCCGGCTGCGACAAGCGCCTCCGTAGGCGGGTACCGACTGCGCTCCTTTCTTGAGGACGAAGAGCGACGGCGCAGGCCGCATCGTGAGCGGAAAGTACGGACGGGCTGAAGAGACGAGAGACAACAGCAGCGACGCACCAAGCGATGCGCAGGAAGCGCCATCATACGAGTAGCGGAAGAGGCCGACACCACTGCTCTAGAGGTGGACCTTGCCGACTCGGACACAAGAAGTGACATACGGCCTGACCGACGAGCTTAGCTTCCCAAATGACTATGCGAACTCTCGCCTGTGATCGCCGCCGACGGTATGTCCGATGCTTGCACAATGCGGTTGACTCCTCGGAGGCAGCTGGTACTAGCGACGTGCTGAACATTGTCTCTGGAATTCGCACAGGGCACGAGACGATGACTTGGAAGATCATTCCCAGGGCTACGCAGTGCCTGCACCAGCTGCGATTTCCAGAGCACACCCCAAGACACTCGAACTAGTAAACGTGGCGCCATACACGATCTCCGACAAGCCGCATGCGATGTTCTCCGGCTCCAACCCCGGCTCGCATAGCTTTCAAATAGGCGGTCCGGGAGCAAGAAGAGCAAGAGGCTCATTTCTCTGGCCGTCCGATTCTCGACCCCGCACGCTTATGCCACACCAGACGAGGCAGTAGCTATGCGGGCACGTCGCGGCGGGAAGCACCTACTTTGTCAGGTCAACGGGCTGACAGCGCGACATTCTGGACCACTGCGGATCATCCGCGAGGACGAAAGTAAGAGCAGCAACTTTGCGCGTCAGTAAGCAAAGCTGATCACCCACAGACACGCGGAGCTGGCCTAAACGGAGACTCTATGAGGCGCACAGTATTCATGGCAGGACATCACACGGAGGAAACGGCAGGACACCACCGGCGAGAAATACGCTCGCTATTTCTGGAACCGAAGGTTTCATTGGTATGTGTGCAGGAAGATGTGCGCACAAGGCTCTGCAGTCGCCTGTGTCTTCTCCTTTCCATGTCCGTGCTACCCGCGCTTGCTTGTGTCGTAGTTTCGTGTTTGGTACACCCGACAAACGAGAGGCTCACGCCTTGACGTTTGTGGTTTTGTGGTGTGCTTTGGCGCCACCGCCTTTGTCTGCGACGCAGTGGCACATGCCTCCAAACATATTGTCCATGTCTCGCACCTTTGTATTCATCATGTATATATACGCGCCGTACGCCTCGTGCAATCAACCATCGTACTCCCCTCATTCTCTCGTGTGCTCAAATTCCTCTACAAGAGCTTGTCCATACGTCGTTGCAAAGTATTTCTATGTTCCGTCAGAGCACGATTCGGGCCGCCATGATACTCGTATATCACTGCCAGGGTTTCACTCAGGGCTTCCTTTGTATGACTGTAGACATCACTGAGGCTCTGCAGCATCGAAAAACGAGGACACTGCCTATTTGTCCGTGCGAGGCGGCGGTGCTGAACAGTGCACACCGCCCAGCTGCCAGATGTTGATTGCAAGTCAGTGTAGCAGCCAACTATTGGCCACAGATGTCACGATTTGACCGATAGCTGTCCTCCGTTGACGACTTGAGCACAGGTTGGCGGTGTACTAGTAGGCGCTCTGCCAGTGACATGCATCTCAGTCACGGTTCTGGTTGCATTCCAGCTTTCAACAGCCAACGTGAGGTGGCTTCGAAGGTACACGCGCCACACATGCTTCCAGTACTTGTCAGGCACTCTTAGTGTTGCCGCGGTCTCGTCCCGGATCGCGGTTTAGACCTGCCGCACTCTTAGACCTGGTCTCCCTCCTTCGCCCCGTACCCAGTCTGATACCCTTCCTGTTGGGCTGCTACCATCTCTCTCTTCACTCTCTCTCTATTCCCCTGTCACCGTTTCCATCGTCGCAGAGTACGCTGTAAATCCGCATGAAGACTTCACGACGCAGAAATCGGGCGGGCGGTCCAAATGCCAAGGTACGCAGACCGAATATAAGTCAAACTCTGTCTCAGCGGCTCGTCTTCATATCTCTCTGCCCCAGGAAAATTCAGGTCTCTCCGGCTGGGCCGGTATAGAGGATACTGTCGCGAAGGATGACGAAGGGAAGATGGAAGGATATTCTGAAGATATCGACACTTTACTCGTCTTCGTACGTTTCCTGTTCGCGTCTTCATGCTTGGTCGACCTGACGCCCATTAAGGCTGGTCTATTCTCTGCCATCCTGTCTGCATTCGTCGTCCAGACCTACCAGATGCTCCAGCCATCAAGCGCAGACCTGACGAACCAACTGCTTACCACGAATAATCAGATGATCGCTCAGAATAATCAGATTCTCGCTCAAAATAATCAGATCCTTAATCAGATCCTCGTCCAAGGATCTTCTGCAACCCTCACCGTATCCACATTCTCCCCTCCTCAGTTGCTATCTCCCACCGATCCACCGCCGTTCCAGCCCTCGACCCCGGCACGATGGATCAACACCCTGTTCTTTACCAGCCTCGTCCTCAGTCTCGCTGCCGCCCTGCTGGGCATCCTGGTCAAACAGTGGGTGCGCGAGTACATGCAGTGGAACTCACCTCTTGCAACACCGCGGGAGAACGTCATGGTGCGGCAGTTTCGGCTCGAGGCATGGGAGGCCTGGAACGTCTCGGCGGTCGTCTCGACGGTGCCGGCATTGCTCGAGGTCGCAATGATCCTCTTCCTGATAGGCATGGTCATCTTGCTCTGGACCCTGGACGACGTTGTGGCGATCTGTTTAACGGCTATGACGGCGATGTTCCTGCTGGTGGTCGCCGTGTTCACTGTCCTGCCTGTGTTCTCTCGCCGGTGCCCATACAAGTCTCCGACGGCATGGGCAGTCATGGCAGCTTGTAAATTTACGTTCTATTCGGTGCTCTTCTATCTTAAGCGGGGTCGAGCATACGCTGCTCTGCTGCATCGTCGATGGCGCTATTTCATTGATGGTAAGTCATGCAAGACTGAACATGCTGCTCGCAGCCTAATATTCTCTGTCAGAATTCCTAGAAGCCTTTACTGACGGTTCCATTCAGGAACGCGTCATTTTCATATTACCTTTCCTTCTCGCCGGTATTGCAGTAGTCTTATTCGGCATAGACGACGACAAATTGGAATCGCAAGAACGTGTCGAATGGCAGCGACTACCGCTCAGCTGGCGCGACGTCGACCTCCTCAGCTGCAGAACCATGCTGCCACGCTTCGGATCCCGACAGCTCAAGGAGGAAACTATGCGCGCCGCAGCACAGGAAGCCCTTTCGGCCGGGACATCAGATGGCTCGGAGCGAAAAGAGGAGCTGTTCGGCGAGGTCAAGGAGACCGTCCTGCTCCTGCGAGCATTGTCCTGGGTGGCGAAGTCATCTCAGAACTCTCACGTCGTCACGTACATCGAGCAATGCCGTGATGAAGAGCAGCTTCCACACGAGCGTACCTTGGATCTCCTTCTTCGTGCGGCCACTTCAAGACCCGGTTCTGAGGTGCGGCGGCTCCTTCTCCAATTTGTCCTTGATTATTCCAAGTACTGCAATACTTCTGCTCTGCTACATAGGGCATACATTGAAGCTATGCAGACTCGGAGCTACAGGGTCATGCTATCCATGGCTGACAAACATCCAGGTAAGTGCACACCTGGCTTAGGGGGGAGCATCTGCTAACGTGTAAGGTGCATTTGCCCAGTGCTCACCGAGCAGGGGCGCACTACAGCCGCCGACTGCGATCTACTCCTGGCGGAGTATATCCCATCCGAGTTCACTCATGCCAACCAGGATCACCTCGAGATGTTTATTGCCACAACATCAGTGTGGCTTGATCGCTGTAACATGCGAGTGGCGCCTCGAGAGGTTGTGGTCGACATACTGGAGAGGATGGTCAGGGTGGCGAACATCTTGTCTGTTGAGTCCGCTGCACCGGCTGAGGCCGTGGCAGGCATCTCGCAGGACGGCAACGGCATTGAGGTCCGAGCTGACCTTCAGGAGTGGATCCAGCGACTGTATTGGAAGAGCACGATGCTGACGGAGCGGTATGGCGCACTGTTCAGGCGGCTCCTGCATGTACTCGAGAAGGCGTACAAGCTGGACAAGCTCCGCGGCGACCAAGGTTTGATCCTGTATTATCTACACGTCGCACTCTGGGAGTCACACAACGAGTACGGGTCCACATGCGAGGTCGACGGCTGCCCCTGGATCGGGCACATCAAGAACTGGGACGAAGAAGGCAACGATTATGTAGAGTGCAATCTGCTCTCGAAGAGCGTCAGACCCGCCTCCGCCGTAGGTGAGCGCGGCGAGGAACAGCTGGCCGAATCGCAGCCGTCATCATCGTCTGGACCACAGCCATCATCGTCACCCGAATTGGCCATCTTATCCGATCCGCCACAAGGGCTCACCCAAGCTGAACCATGCTCCACGATACCGCACGAGGGTTCTCCAATACCAGCTGTCGACACGCCCGAACATCGGAGTTCGCGCTCTCCGTTGTCGGCCACCAAGCACAAGGCGCGGCGTCATGCGCTGGGAAGGGTCACGGTAGCGAGGTCAACGGACGAGCTGACAAGGCTGGAGGCAGCGCGGACAGAGCAGGGACGGCGGAGGTCCTGGGGCTGACGGTGCAGACTCCGAAGGCTGAACATGTATATTTACCAGTACACTGAGTACTAGATTGCGCTGTCGAATTTGTCGTTCATGCATGTGATAATGATGGCTCGAGTGAAGAGACTGTTGCACAGACGCCTTGGACAATTAAACACGACAATATAATTGTTTGTTCGATGAGCTATACGGTGACGCTCAAAGACAAAACGTGTTAATAAAGACTGCCCAGTAACTGGCTGAACACTTTTTCTCGCACACTTGAGCATAGGTAATAAGCGATATCATGCAGAAAGACTCGCCGCTTGACGCACCTTTTCGACACTGATCAGCTCGTCTGAGTACGATGGTCATAATTGACACTGCTGGATTGAGCTGATTCAGTTCGGCGGCCTAGACACGGGAACTTATTAAGTTACACCGGACTAGCCACTCAGAAGCGCCCATGAGCGGCTAAGACACGCTCAAGAATTTATGAAAAGCCCAAAAAATGGCATAAGCAGGAATCGAACCTGAGACCTAGAAGTAACCTCAACGCGCCACGCCACTAGGGCATAAGCTCTTGGAAGTGTAGAAACGGAATTACAATATATTACCATTTTTCCACCTTGTCTTAGCTGCTCAAGTCTTATGTTCTACCACCCATACACTATCTTCCTGATATAAGGCATTTACTGGTGAATTACCCCTCATAGTGTTTCATTAGCTAAGACCACGGCACGGCTAAGACACCGGCGTGGCTCAGACGTTGGCGTGGCTCAGACACCGGCGTGGCTCAGACATTACTGTGGCTCAGATACTGGCGTGGCTCAGACGTTACCGTGGCTCAGACACCGGTGTGGCTCAGACGTTACTGTGGCTCAGATACTGGCATGGCTCAGACGTTACCGTGGCTCAGACATTGGCGTGGCTCAAACGTTATCGTGGCTGGCTGTGGCTAAGACATACCATGTACAATACTACAATCTTACTGTAATTACAATAATTTCCAAGCAGCGCAACCGAGCATGAAACTCAGCGATAGAGTAGCGGGGCCCCTCGCTGAAACACCTGAAAAGAGAGGCTTCCTGCTTGAGGGGCCAACGGCGGAACCAGCCGACAGCAGGGCGTGCCGCTCTTATGCACACAATGTATAAGAGACCGATTCGGGGTTGTAGATGTACTTGATCCAGCAACCCGTTTCATCTTCTACGTAGTGGTGTATCTTGGACTGTCGAGAGAATAAGAGATGAGGTCATGGGAAAACGCGCTGATACTCACCACCTTGATTTCCAGAATATCTTTAAATACCGAGGAGCATCTGCCTACAAGTCGCTCATACATGTATGCTTACCTGGAGGACATCAGGGCCTCTCGTGAACAAACGCAATATTAAATACTGACTTTTGTGCATACGCGCCGTGCCCCCTCATCTCTGATTCATCATGCTTCTCGCCAACATCGAGCCAGAAGTGTTGGTGAAACTTGAAGAAGCGGACCGTACGGGCCATCTCTTCATGGACGACTGCTACCTCTTCTTCCCACCTCGCCTTTAGTGCACTCATCCGGAACCAATGAATCTTGATGACTGCCCGAGATTGTCAGCATTACAAAATGATACAATACACCCTCCTGTACTTGCCTTCCTCTGCATATGATTCAAAGTTCTCTGACACCTTGGTAGTGTCAAGGAACTCGAGCTCGTCCCAGATCCAAGATGGCTGCCTCTTGCTCTGGCCCAGTTCTTGATTGTCCATGCTGATGTCGAAGGGCCTAACATTCTTGTTCTCAAGAGGCTTCAACCGCTGTTCCTTGTTATCGTACCCGAGGGTGACCAGTGCTTGATAGGCCCACCAGTATTTGTTTGCCACATTGCGAACACTTTGCTCCTTGCTGTAAATCTCCGACTTTGACCTCGTCGCCATAACGTGTCCTTCTGCCACCCGCTTGTCACGTTTCGCCACCCGATTCCGGAAAGTATAGCTCGTGATCAGCTGCGTCTGCAGCGTATTCAAAGCGTCGTTAGCTTGCCCCACACGGAGGGTGATCTCAATCTCCACCGCCGAGGCCATGCAAGGTCTTTTGCGCATGGACGCTGGGCAGGAAGAGGGCAGGATGACCGAGATACCATCCGCTGTCTGCCAGCGGGGTGACTGGCGTTCTCAAAGGGGCTGGAGAGATCCACGCCACCACTTGCCCGTGACTCGAGAGCTCGTCAAAGTCGTCCGCGGGGTCATTCTTCCTGTCACCGTCGCCATCAGAGTCAGAGCTGTTACCCAGACCATTCTCCAAGTCATCGTCCAAGCCCCTGGTATCCTCATCTGGCTCGAAATCCGGATCATCATCAAAGTCCTCATCCAACCGATCAGCCTCTTAGTCTCCCAGGTTGTTTGCGACCTCAAATTTCCCCTCGTTTGAGGCTCGTGCGATCAGAGGCCCCATGGTCGTTCCGTGCCGATTACACCATAACATCCAGTGATTCTCGAACTTCTTCTGCATGTCAGCAACATGATCTTTGCCATCGTGTCGCGCGATCACATCAAAGATTGAGGCCCTAAGCAACTCGTAGTTAGTGAAGTTTTGTTATCTATCATCAGCACACGAACTTAGTCTCTTGCAAGGCGATCCCTTCTTGGATAACTCTCGCGAGATCTACTCCGTACTGAGCATCTGCAAACTTCTGTTTGATTTCTTCTTCTATCTCTTTCATAGATTTTGCTGTGCCGCTCTCAGTATAATGCAATCACTGACCACATTGGTCTGCACGTACCGGACGGCTGCACAAGATCATAAAGGTTCGGCAGGTTTTTCTTCTCTTCCACAATCACAACCTTCTCCAGCCACTCTTTCTCCTCTTTCCTCCAGCCATCCAGCAACTGCTGCCCGCGAAACTTCACGAGAGCCCCCTCCAAACTGTCAAGAGCCTTCGTGATCCTTGGAAGATGGAGCCTCCCCTCCTTGAGTTTCTTGACCAGCGACGCAGCTATAAGATATCCTTGATTAGTCCTACTCTGTGTCGCAGGAAAAGGCCACATGTATGCATTTTCTGAACCCGTCAGATGTTCTGATCACTGTATTGCTCATTCATGTGGTCGTGGCGGTTCCCCGGGTTCATTTCTTGCACCCAATCTCCCAAGGCGTTGATGGACAGCCACACTCGTTCAGGTGCTTTGCTGTCAACCTGGTTACCCCCCGGTTGTAGGCTGATACCCCACTTTGCTCTGCAGTCTTTGTTATGGCCCAACGCATGGAATTTCCTGATGCCTGCTACTGTCTTGAGGAACGGCTTTTCTGATATGACTTTCATGGCGTCAATCTGCTCTCGCATCTCCCATAGCTCCTTCATCCGCTTTTCAAAGTACAGCTGATACTGACAGTTGATATCATAGGCGGAGTAGTGAAGCAACAGGTCCATTCATCGCTGTAGCCCAGAAGCGGAAGCAAAATCGACGTTGACAAACCTGTGCACGGCGTTTTAGCATACTGGACGTCTTCACTTGCTGTTCAACTCTCACCGTTCACCCTTCTGCAAGTCCACATGCCCTCCTGGTAACACCATCATGTGTCGCGCGCAGAAGAGGCCCACCATTCCAGAGACTTTCCCCCAATAAGGGCCGTATCCCATGGCCTTGAACTTGTGACAAGTGCTGGGCTAGATACAGGATCAGCCAATTCAGTCGCCAGCCTTGACCGAGTGCCGTCACGCACCTCTGGCCCCAGTGGGGGCAGCTTGGCACTGAAACCTGCGAACGCATCTTCGTCGGCGAAGTAAGCCGCTCCTTTCGAAAGCGGAAAGTCTTCTATGTCCATGCGTTTATCTTTCAGGTTCACGTGGAAGTTCCCGTCAATGGCATAGAAAAGCGCGTCCAAGAATTTAAGTTTCGTTAGTGCAGTAGTGTACAGCTGGTATGTTGTGCTCGCACCTCAGGTCCTCCGCTCTCGATCGCCACCCTGGTTCCATGTTAATGTCTGGCTGAGAGCATGCGGGACATAGAATAGCGAGCGACGCGTACACAAGCTTGCGAACCTTTCTCCCATGACGCTTAAGGTTGGTGATGTGGTCAAAAGTCTGTGCCGCAGTCATAAATTCACGGTATCAATCCTGTTCCTGCTTATCAGCAATTTGACATATCTCCAAACTGTTATAATTCTATACCGTTACTTCGTGCGGCTCTATGTTGTCCGTCTTGCGGCGCATGACTTTGTAGAAATCATACGCACTGACATTGGCTTGGTGGCATAGCAGTGCAAATGATCTCAGTAGAGGAATCGTGAAGGCAGTATGCGGTTTGTCCCATGAAGCCGGCCAGAACCCATGGCGAAGTAGCTGAGTAGCCTTGGGGGCAGGCTTGTCGCTGATATGGTCCCTGCATGCGCAGAACCGGACAGCCACGTCGTGAACACCATGCTCGGAGATAATACACATTGGTCTGGGTGGAGTGGTTGAGTAACTGCAACTGTAGCCCCCGTGTCCAAATTCGAGCACCAGTCCCGCGACGGCTGTGAGTGATTTCTGCAACCAGAACCGCTGTCTCGTCTCCCATTCTTGGACGAAATGGAAAGGGTTGTGGCGGTGTGAATGGATGATGCAGCCCTCGCAGACAACTGGTGGCATGAAGCACTCGAAGCAGTGGTACATTACCGACCCTTCCTCCAGCTCTGTCTTGCATTCTTGACATACCAAATTGAACGGCCCCTTCTTGTCCGCAAGCAGATCATCAAGCGCGGCCTCTGTGTGGCGGTCCAGAAAGTCCTGCATGTAGACGGAAGGTTTCTAAACACACCAGGTGAGAAACAGGTGACGGAGGCCAGATACAGAGCACATACAGTTGTATTGTTCACCTTTGCAGACTTTCCGCGTTTGCTTTCTCCTGCCTCTGCTTCCAGAGATCTTCCAACCTCTGGACCGACCACTTCCGGTGACGAGCAGCTCCCCTCCAAACCATTGGGAGACTTGTTAGCTTTGCCAGCCTCTGCGGGCGGGGGGGGGGAATGATATTTCCTCCCAAGGCAATTCAGTCTACCCGCGAATGCTTTCCACTTGCTGAGCAACGTTGAGAGGGAAGATGTCCTGTTCAACACATTCTCTATGGTGAATCCCTGCAGACCATCCCTCCCTTTCGACTTCTTCCACCCCTTCAGTAGCCCCTTCATTTACGGGAGGGATGTTGGGTAGGTGCCAGGGAGAAGTGTTGGCTGATGCCCTTGACAAATGACTGCTTGCTCTATACAGCTTATGTAAGAAACAGACCGGTGTTGCTAATTAAAGCGAGACAACAATACCTGTTCAGGAACCATACGAGAACATTTCGTGTCGTGGTTGAAATGTTTTGCACTGTCCCGATACTGCTGGAAGGGGCAATACGCGGGAAAGCAGTACTCCCGTTGCTCAAACATGTCAGATTCACGAAGTCCCAGGGACATGCATACTCACATGTGTGATCTCCCAACTTCTTCTCTTTGAGTACTCGTGCAGTGCTGCTCTTCGTCCCATAGAAGATCTCTTCACGACCTTCTCATTGAGCGATGAGCGATCACCGGAGAAGAAAAGAGGGCAGTCGGAGAATGATGTATCAGAACCTCGAGAACTGTTGAGTTTTGGCAAAGCAGCTGTCCTAACATCTCACTTAAAGTGCAGAGCATGAGTAAAGATCCACCAGACTGCTCACCTTTGACATAATCCTTATGCTGCGTCCCAGAAGCACGATCACGGTCTGCAAAGCCACCTAACGCCAGTTATTCAGTATTAGATGGCAGCATGTACACCATGTACTCAATGAAACTGATCTTATGACATCGCACAGCGTATAGGCTGGAGGTGTCAGGGCAATCAAAACGTTCTCTTCATGTTGAGTGTGAAGATCAATACAGAGGAATTGGCCTATGTTCAAAGAGACAGGGTGCCAGGGATGCGCTATCCACAACTGGTCTTGCAGTTTGAACAGAAGGTGCTGACCTCGGCGAGGCAAGTGATGGCCTTGAGAGACATTGGATGATCGAAGACAATATGCACACTCCTCACTTCGTGTCTCAAGGGACTGGAGGTGGAGGACAGGTCTCGGTCGAAAGCAACCAGAGGCCAGACACACGACATTCTCGGGGCACTGAGGGATGTTGGGAAGAGACGTTGGGATGATTGGGGACAATATGCATGCTCCTCACTTCGTGTCTCAAGGAACCAGAAGTAGAGGAAAGGCCGTCAGTTGAAAGCAACCGGAGGCCAGACACGCAATGTTGCCGAGGTACATTGGGATGATCAAAGACGATATGCACGCTCTTCACTTCATGTCTCAAGGGACCGGAACTGGAGGAGAGGCTTCGGTCGAAAGCAACCAGAGGCCAGTCACGCGCTGTTGTCGAGGCATTGAGGGCATTGGGAGAATCAAGGCAGAATGATGAATGTTGAATGGAGAGGAGTCAGAGAACACGTGTTGCAAAGGTGCCTCCTGTGAGAAGCGCCTCGTGAGAGGGATCACTGGCCAATGAGAGTCCATCTTTGTCTCTAGGTTTCGATGCCCTAGGTGATTTATTACATTAAATACTACTCACAATTAAAATATACCTGTGTATATTGCATGACACAAACAGGACTATATCAGCTTATAGCGAGAGAAGACTCAGACCTGAGAAATAACGACAACCGCGCATTCACAAACAGGAGTCAAACAAACTCGCCAAAAGGAGATATCGAAGGGAACTCCATGCAATCTGTTGTAATTTTCCACCAAACAGCAGCGTGTCACACCGTCCCACCTCTCAATAAACAACATTGCAACTTCTCGCTGACTTATGAGTGAGGCATACTGGACATGTATCTAACAAACCGGCCAGACTGTACAAAATTAAGATTAATGGACGCGTCGCAAGATGTGCAAAATGCGAGGGACATCTGCTGATCATCTCCAACCCGTGCTGGATCAGAGTGTCTTGATGCCTTTGCATACCGCTCTTGCTGGCTCTCAGTAGGAATTGTCTCAAATCATTTGTCCTCCTACTCTCTCATACCGCTGACCCTTACTCATGTTGGCTCGCAATCTGCTCAAACGACGAGTGGAAGAACCCCTTCTTCCCCTATATCATCTGAAACACGCACGAACAACTCCACCCCAGTCTGAGTTCTCCAACCTGACCGCCCGCTAGATGACACTCGGTGGGAAAGCCGTTGAACTCATTCACGACATGAACATCTTTATGTTCTCCGATCTCACAACCGCTGTCTCTGTCTTTGTCTCGCAAATTGTCTCCAACCTCATCTACGGTCTCCACGGTCACGACCTTACAGAATTTGCAAGCAACGTGCGCAACGGCGAGCCAAGCCACAAGCCCCAGAACGCCATTTGCCATACTCTGTCTCTTCGCCCCCATCCATACTGCCATCGCCCCCTAAAGTGACTCGCAGTTTGAAGAGTGCCTTGAAATTCTCAGATAGGACTGTGAATGAATTTCAAAGTTTCCTACTTTTGCCCCCACTGCCGTCCACGTTGGTGAGTAAAACGTCCACCAGCAAGACCGATCAAATCAAGCGACGTGTCATCAGGTTCAAGTGTCCACCTTCGCAGCCTAAAAACGCGTCAGCGCCAAGTCAGGTACCTCACCCGTTGCTGCCCACCATGGAAGACGTGTTGACATCAAAACAGCCCCTCCATCCACCGCTACCCGACCAGGTTATGACAGCAGCAATCTACCACCTGGACAAGGCCAAGATCAAGGCCGCCAACACCAAGGCACTGTGGAAAGCCAAGCAACGCGAGCATATACTTCAGAGTCAGTTCAGATTAGAAGTGAAAGGGCAGCTTAGCAAAATGAGGGATCATCTGGAGCAAGAGTATACGCTGTTCAGCAAATGAACAAGTGAGTAGCTATCCAAACTGGCTTCGACAATCTTAACAAACAAACTTTGAGGGTTACACCGGCGAGAACGCTCGACAACAGTCGAGTGTAATGCAGACGCAGTAGACACAGTAAAACGACTGTTGCGAAGCCAACTGAAGCCTACTGCGTCTCCAAGTAGCACCGCCAAGTCTGCTGCCACCATCCGCACATATGCTACACACAATACTGCTGCCGCCGCAGCCTGCGGCAGAGCCTCCAGCGCGCCAGCTGGTTGAAGAAGCAGCGACGCACATTCACCACCCCTCCCGGGATTTGAAACAGCCCCCTACATGTACGCCGCACACTCTTCTGCTGCCGCTGCCTCCCGCAGCGCAGTCCCCAGCATGCCAGCAGGCTGATGAACTGGCAGCGCAAACCCACCATCCCCCCTGGGATGAGAGACACCCGCCTTTAACACCCCAGCCTACCATGTCCCGGTCATTGCCCACCCATGCAAAGGTCTCTCGGCAAGTTGATCCCTTCGACCAGTCATCACTTTCTTGCCTGCGTCTGTCACTTCTCCCAGAACACGATGCCAAGGTAGGCAAGTTGCTTCAGAAGTGGGGCGTGATCAGCCGATGCGGGCACCAAAGGGTCTGTGATAAAGACCTCAGGCTGCTCTGTCTAGGCCAGTGGCTCAACGACAAAATTATCAATTTTTATGGAGAGATGAGTATGCGGCATGCAGAGGAGGCCAAAAAGAACAAGCAAGGGAATGTTCTTGATGTCCAATACTTCAGTTCGTTCTTCTGGACGAAGCTCAGTGAGCAGGGATACCATGCGGGCGGCCTAGCGAGCTGGACGCAGACTGTACATCCTCCTGATTCTGAAATGAGTAACTGGGCAGCTGACCTGGCACAGCACAACATGTTCTCGAAGGATATTGTCCTGATTTCTGTGCATCACAGCAACCGGCACTGGACTGCCGCTGCAATAAACTTCCGGAAGAAGCGGATCAAAAGCTACGACAGCTTGAATCATGACCGAACGCAGGTGTTCACCCTCCTGCGAGGGTATCTCAACAATGAACACCGACATCAAAAAGGCTGGCCTTTTGATTTCACCAGCTGGGTTGACTGGACGCCCAAAGACACACTGCAGCAGGAGAACACCAGTGACTGCGGTGTCTTCACATGCCAATTCCTCCAGACACTGTCTCGCAGCGAAGAGGAGTTTGCTTTCACGCAGGCAGACATGCCCTACCTCCGGAGATGAATGATCTGGAAAATTGGACATGTCCGGCTGCTCACCGACACCGAAAATAGTGCGAATGCATCTTCTCCCTCCGCACCCTCCCCTTAGCGACCTCGCCATCACCCGTACCGCTGGTGCCTGCCCGCATGCAGAACCATGCCACACAGTGCACCTTGGACAGTCACCCTGTTCCGAGCTCGGTCTCCAGTGCAACTCAGGTCAGCGGTAGCACCCACTTCATAACTTGCAGGTCACGAGGAGGAGACAATCTCCAATCTCTGCAGTTCGGTGAGTGTTGCACATCCGGACTGTGTGCATCTGCTAACCTCGACGACACCCATAGAAGTGCCATTTCGCTTGACTCGTCCTAAGTCTGTGAAATTTGATATGGCGTGTCAGCGGGCATCGTGTACACAATGTACTCACCGGGACTTGTCTGGTCTTTGCACAGTAGCTTGACCACAGCATAAGCGAATCAAAATGGACTTGCGTGCTACCCAATGGGAGTGTACTGAGTTTGGAAGGGAAAACCTCTGGCAAAAGGGAAAGAGACCGTAAATGCGCCATTGGCAGGAGTGTTGAGAGACATCTGAAAGATTGAAAGTATCACACTTTGTGTCTGAATAGACCAGAAGTGGAAAAAGAGCCTTGGTCTGATGAGACAGGAGGCCAGGATCGCGCTGTCGGAGACCGCAAATGCGCCATTGGCAGGAGCATTGAGAGACGTCCGGGAGATCGAAAGTATTGCGCGCTCCTCATTTCGTGTCTGAATAGACCAGAAATGGAGGAAGAGCCTCGGTCTGAGGAGACCGGAGGCTAGGGATGCGCTGTCGGTTGTGTTGAGAGAGTTAAGAAATGGAGCACGTAGCTGTAGCCCGAAGGTGACCATGTGACCTTTGTTGTTGGCCTTACTGCGTGCTTCTACTTCCCTGTCCACCCTTCAACACAGCCCCTCACTTGCTCTCCCTTCCCTTCTCATCTTTCACCACAACAGCGTCAACAACGGTGGTAAGTAATCTCGCTGTTCATGGTCATTGACAGCTATTACAACGATTCAGGGCCTCTGTCTCCGGATCCCAACTCGAGGTTAGCCCCTTGTGGCCACCTCTGCCTGGTAGCTGCGCTTTCGCTGTCTACCCATGTGTCGCACCTTCTACTGGACCTTCGGACTCAAGGTTCAGGCTACAAGACGTTCTATCCTCGTGACGGTAAGTACTGCCACTCCTCATGGTTGTTGACAACTAATGCAACAATCCAGGGCCTCCGTCTTCGAATCGCAACTTGAGGTTAGTCCCTTGTGACCACCTCCGCCTGGTAGCTGCGCTTTCGCTGTCTACCAACGCATCTCACCTTCCACTGGACCTTCGGGCTCAAGACTGAGCACACAAGTCCGTCTATCCTCCCTCGGCATCAGTTTTGAGAGGTTCGTCACCTTTGGCCACCTCTGCTTGGCTGCACGTTTGCTGTCCACCAACCCATACTCAAGACTCTGGATTCAAGATCTGCTACCTACCTTTGGCCAATGTCCTCCTCACGTCACTCGCGAAGTTCGTCTCCTCTTTGACCAGGCCCGTCAAAACTCAGTGGCCTTCATTTCAAAAAAAGACCTTGCCCAAATGATGACCAAGTGGAGGCGCCTGCTGCGCATTGTGCACAGCCTGCTACTGTGGTCAGCCCGACCGCCATGGACATTGACGACAAACAGCAAAATCCCAGGCCTGCTTCGCGGCTGGAGGTTGTGTATCTGGAGTTAGACGAGGATTTTGAGGACGAAGAGGACGACGGGCACGTTTCTAGCACTGACCTCGAAAGCATGACACAAGGAGAGCGTCACAATTATTTGGCCCATCGGGATAAGGTCCGTTGCAAATACGAAGCCCAGAAGAAACAGCCTCCACCCAAGGCAAAAACAGAATGGAGCTGCTGCGTCCGCAACGCTCGAATGACGCAGCGTTTACTCAAGCGGAACATTGATGGTGCATATCGGGGCGTGCCGCGCCCCCCACAATATGGTGCCAGAGAATAGGCATTCATGGAGTGGGGCTACTATGCCAACGCTCACCTCGAGCACCTTTGGCGCCAATGCGAAGCGGTCGAGGCAGGTCGTGTGCGCGCCCCGGCACCCTGGGATTGGCGGGCCATCCAGCCCTTTTGCCTACCAGCGCGACCAGGCCAAGCACCCAATGGGCCTCATGCGCTTGCTCCAGCCCAACCCACGACCTTGCCATCTCTTGACGTGGCGATGGCGGACTCAACAGACGCGGCGAGCATGCGAATTTCAGCAACTGAGGAGCAGCCTCTCGGACGCAAGAACTCGTCATTCGCGCGGACGACACAGCGCAAAATGGTGCCAGCCGCTGACCGCCAATCTCGTCTGGGGACCTCACGAACGATAGCTTCCCTCGCTCCCACGCCACCTGCCCTTCCACCTTACATGGTTCCTGCTATGTTGTCTACAACACTTCAAGATATGTGATGCTTCCGCTGTTGATGTCTCAAATTGCCCTGAGTGATTAATTTAGTAGATTATCAGATTGAGGGGCGAAACTTCTCCTGGGCTCGCAGTTGCGCCCATGCGAACACTGACAGTGGAACTCACATTGTGGTCGCTCTGAACAAGCTGTGGGTACCTCAGCTGGTTGTTGGCCGTGTGGACATTATTTTTTGGCCTGATGGAAGATTTGGCATCGAGGATCCCCTCAACTGGCCGCAGCTGTACTCTAAAAGCAAGCCCTATCTGGCCCTAATCCCCAAGGCTCCCAGGGCGACCTCCAATGCTGCTCCTCTGTGGCAAACACCCGCTTCCAAGGACTTCATCCAGGCCAACAATGATGCGTCTGGGAGGGCGTTTGGCTACCTGAGCCAGGTTCAACTGGTTGCCTTGGGCAAGATCGTCGATAAGCTGGACAGAGAGGTTCAAGCTTTCAAGCGATCGTCAAGTGCAGTGCAACTGGCGGTGATCGACGACTTGCGGCGTCTTCAGGCTGCAATGCACAACGCCATGACAATGTTCGGGATCCCTTTGACTTATCGTGACATTGTTGGTCGATGTGGCTGTCTTCTTCGATGCTGGGCAGAATGCTGGGCATTTTTGCAGTGGCATGGGGTCATATTACCTTGTGCAGAAAAGACTGTCGCGAATGATGACAGTCTGATTCCTCCCGAGCCTGGAGTGGATGATGGTGGCGTGATGGGGGCCGTGTGTTCCGACCCAGGTATTGCTCGCAAGCTATTCATCGCCAGGGTTCCAGTATGGTTGTTGCAGCGTTCTCACACTGTCGGTACTCCCCAAATTGAAGGGCGACCAGCGATCCAATTTACTAGGCCTGAGGGGGTTGAGATGACTCAGACAGTCGCTATGGGAGGCGTGCGATGTACGGAGCAGGCCGGAGAACCTCACTTGATTGCTATCTCTCGCGAGTCTGAGGCTGTGTTAGACATCGAGGACATGCCTCTGCCAGCTGTGTTCAGCTTGACGCAATACGAGGATAAACCAGGTCTAAGCTCAGGGCGTACGACAGGTCAAACTCAGGGTAAGCAGTCATGGTATGTCAGCTTGTGTGCAGCTACTGAGCCTACTTCTCCAGCACCTCAGCGTGTTCGTGCTACAGCCCAATTCGTGCCTGAAGCGCATGATCTATTGCCTCGTAGGATGGGTGCGTGGGGGGAAAGTCTGGAGGCTCTGGACATGACCAAGCTGTGCAAATCTCGGGTCAGGCTGTAGCTCCCTGAGCCTGAGCTCCTAATTACACCCACAAGCCTGCTTCGGCTCATGGTATACATCTCGAACTGGATCACCATCCGCCTGGCTATATTTAGCAAGCTCGGCTGACGCATGTTGTACAAGACGCTGACCTCGCACTATTGGCGATTGATCCTGGAGCGGTTCCCCAAAATGACCGAGGAGAAGAAAAAGGCCTGGGAGCAGAAGAAATTGATGGGATGGAATTCTAGCAGGAAAGCAGGACTGCTGACTGCACCGCGAGGTTGCGGAAGTGATGCCACAGTGTTATCTGGCAGCAGAGCTCGACGACACAATGACCGCAATGCCACACCCAGACCTAGCTCACAGGCCCAATGCAAGCTCACAAAGGAGAGGTCTAATGAGAGGCAAAGCGTGTGCGACTATTTCACCGCTTTCCTTGATTTCGAGCACCATCCGTTCACATTGCGTACGGCTCCAATTTGATCTTTCACGTGGAGGGGCTGGAAAGTACCGCTCATTTGTCCTGCGGAGGAGGCCGAGACACTTCCGTTGCCTGCTGACGTTGCGCGCAAGGTGGCCTGGGAATTAGGAGAAGTGGCATTTCAGGTGGAGCTTCACAAACTTGACCACCACATGGCGCCCCAGGATTATGCCACGGATGTCCAACGCAGCACCGAGCTGCTCTCCCAAATTTTCTCTGGAACACATTGGTTGCGACTGGACCTCCCGCCGCTACAAGAAGGTTTAAGTGCTTCGAATATTTGAGACCAGTGTACGAGCCTCGAGGGGCTGCGCCAGCTCCTTGTCCGCTGGGACGGCTGTCCTGCTACCTTCCGGGAACAATGTCTTAATACTGGCGTGTCTCAGAAGGCACTCGAGGACTTTGAACACGCTGCGACAGTCTTTTACTGTGAAACTGCATACAAAAAGTTCGGGAGAGCCGCTGCCGTCCCCCGCGAAGTGCCGCAATCATTTTACTGCGACCTGGACCTCGAACGTATCACGCTATAAGCTTAAAATTTTTCTTGATTAATTGCCATTTGTCTTGTTCTCATATCCTGATGCACACCTGTATATTTCTTGTTGATGTAATCTACTTTTATGTCTCGCTCTAGTTACCTGCTGACGCTAGGCCCGAAGAGAGGTAAGTGGAAACTGTTTCACCTGATCTTTCTCAAAGGTCTGTCAAGCAACATTCCTGGAGGCCAGTCCGTTCGAAGCGGTCCATCTAAGGACCTGAAGAATTGGTTTGTTCAGCACGCGCCTTTCCCAGGGCTCTCAACACTTCTCTAAGGAACGATGGCTGGGCACCCTAAGCAAAGGTAAATAATTTTGAGCTGTCGTAGACCAGTTGACTGACATCGAGTACAAGGCGGGACTTCACACAGAAAGAAAAGCAGTTGCTCACATCTTCCTTAAGCGATCCTCAAGTGCAAGCCATACTCAGCGAGGGTTGGCAAGAGAAGACCAAGAAACACAACAAGGGGTACAAGGATGGGACGCTGAAGGACGCAGCCGTGTGTCTGCAGAGACTCGTTGAAGAGCAGGCAGGAGTCGAGCAGGGAGAGGACAAAACGGTAGAGGAGTATCAACAGTGTATCTGGGCTTGCGCTGAGGCAGAGAATTGCGTGTGGCTCCCGGCGGAAGCTGACAAGGACCGCGAGGCGTACTTGGACCGTTTTCAAATGACAGGTAGGGTAAGTTACCCTCTTTGTTGCTCAGTAAAGTCGGCTGGTAACTGGCTTGAACCAGCGAATCCACAAGTGGGTCAAGAACAATGCGAACAGACGCAGTGTCATCACATTGCCTCCGTGGCCTGTCACTCGGAAGTTGCATACACTTCGCGGCATCGGCGTTTTCTCCAAGTCAGACCACTCATCCTGTCTTTGGACAAAGAGTGAGCTGCTGGAGGTGAATTCCAATGCAGCTAAATCCTGGCATGTTTCAACCTGGAACAAAGTGGTAAAGGCTGCTTGGGAGCTTCTTCCTGAAGCAGAGAAGGCTCACTATGACAGTCTTGCCGCTGAAGAGGAAATGAAGAGGAATGAAGAGGGTATAGATGGTGCAACAATCGAGACCAAACGAATTCGTCGAGAGTAAGTCTGACATTTGTGATATGGACAGCATGGCATGCTGAAGCGTGTGCTATAGGGCCATAGAACACATCGGCAACCACATTCGGGACTGCGCCAAACAGTGGAATGAGAGGACAGGATGTCTTTCTCTCACTTTTGTTAGGGGCCTTGACAAGCTGGGCCAGCACCGTTGCTGGGTGTATGTTGATCACTTCACTCTTTACTTGCTTATTAATGTAATCTGCACGTACAAAAAACCTTTCGGCACTGACAAATTGGGGCAGAACTTCCTGCAGAGGCTGGCGGCATGAGTGGGTTGGCTGGAGGAGAAGCTGGAGACAGTATTTTACGAGTGGATTCTAGATGCGATGCATGGCGGTACATATGTGTTAACCCCGTCGCATATGACGCTCTGACACGCCCGCAGATGAGACCCCTGCGGTGGGTGACAAGATGGGGTCTCAAGGTGGCAATATACCCATGACGATGGAGGCAGCTTCTACAACGACCAACGGTATGCGATCTCACTTGCACCTAGTGCTCTGGGTTACTGATCTTCCTATCGTAGAACCTGCTGAGTTGGATTTACCGATCCCCCAAGACTTGGACGCGGGTCATGGCTCCGACTCACCCGGCAGCATTTCGTCAAGAGAGGGAGCAGGTGAAGAATCCACTGTAGAGAACGAGCTGGATATCACCGCAATGACTTTGGAATCTGAGTCTATTGCAACTGTTGAGGAAGAGGGTTTGACTCCATCTGGCAATATCGGTGAAATGAGAGATGATGTACTCACCGTCTCCGACGAGAGAGGTGAGAGGCACAATCTTGCTTATATCCTGTACCGAGCATGTCGAGCTATAGGTCTGGATTCATCCTACCCGGCACCAGTATCTGATGCATCAAACGAAGAGACTGGTAACACCGATAATGATGAAGCCGAGATACCTGCGGGTTGTGCTAACAAGAGGCTGGCCTCCTTCACTGCGGGAGGTCGCCGTCCATAGCAGCCTACACTTATACCAGCCGGATGCACAGTGAAGTTAGCGTCAGTCAAGAGGATAGGTTGAGGATCTTTGCAATGCGCTCAAGGCAAGAAGGTAGACTCAGCGGGACCGAGAACAAGTTTCATAAGCACTACACTCTCTGGCGTTCACACCAATAGTTCCTTGGAGAAAGGTGGCCTCATGGGCGTAGACGGTGCTCAGACAAGTGTGATTGGAGACGTCAGCCGTCGTTCAAGCCGGGTGCGAAAACCTAGTGAGAAGGCCCGTGAAGTGTAAGATCTGTTTTTGGCTGGCTCATCCTCGCGTTACTGACCTGGTTCTCACACTACACTCTCTAGTGTTCACGCCAATAGTTCCTTGGAGAAAGGTGGCCCCATGGGCACAGACGGTGCTCAGACAAGTGTGATTGGAGATGTCAGCCGTCGTTCAAGCCAGGTGCGAAAACCTAGTGAGAAGGCCCGTGAAGTGTAAGATCTGTTTTCGGCTGGCTCATCCTCGTGTTACTAACCTGTTTCCATAGTCCTATGCATTAAACATGAACAAAGATCGGCCCACCCAAAGGTGGCTGGTCAGAGACCAAGCGACCTACTTAGTTGATTTTACGTGTTCAAACCTATCTTTTTCTTGTCTTTCATATTGCCTTTCTGAGAATCGTGGGTCAGCCCATGGGTTGGCCTGTCGAGCTATATACTTGGTTCGAATAATTGGACTCAGAGGCCATTCTGTTTGACCGACGAGAGATCTTGAGAACGCGGGTCAATAAAAATAGTTGAGATCTCTTGAATTATCAAGGTGGCAACAAGATCACAACTCAGGCACACTCACAGCGAAGCAATGTCTCCGCAGGTTTGTCAAAGTGTTTTACCAAAGAGAGCCATCTGGTGCCTCTGACCAAGGCAACCAAACGAAGTCTTTAAAAGTGAACATATTTTCTGGCAAGTACTTTGTCCAGCCCGCTTTTGCTCTTGTTCTAACTTCTGAGAGACATACTCCGTTCAACTGTCAACATATTCCTTGCCCGTGCAGAGAGACAACCACTGTTTTCGTGGCATGGCATCCCAGAGTATAATTGTGCCTGCAACGCTTCCATCGCCATTGCCGCTGCCAACATACTGCTGGTATTGCAATCAGAATACAAACGAGTGGTGGGGTCCGGTGCTGACTCAGAGTGGCCAGAACCCCGGGAAATGGCAATATAATGTGAGTCATCTAGTGTCCATTGAGGGTACGTATGGCTTGACAGTATTCAGGCAATCTGTAGTGCAAGAAGTGCCACAAGGCTACCCATCCGCCTCAGGAGATAATTGAAGGCCTAGAAGAAGCTCTGGCGGAAGCCTCCAAGGAGAGAATGGAGATAATGATGACGCGTATGGAAGTACAGCTAGCAAATAAGATGGAACATTAAGATGAGGCCAAGCGGGAGTGGAAGTCGGCTGCCAACGCACTGGTGAGAACAAGTCAGCTGATTTATTGTGCTCTCAATGATGGTATTGTCAGGCAATTTTTGAATCAAAGCACCAGAACAACGGGGACCTAAGCTCGAAGGACATGGAAAAGCTCACTAAGCTGCAGTCCATGGTAGCTGACAAACATGCCAAATATCAAGATAAAGTCAGGATTGCTAACTCCTATAGGAACCAATTGGTGAGCATCCCTTAGGGATATGAAGCCTGCTATGGCTGACGAATACCCTCAGCAAGATAAGCGGAGAGAAATTGGCTGGCCAGCGGATCTAGACTTTCCCCAGGTGTCACAAACAATCAGAGCCGGCGGATCAGGTTCAGTCGCAGCATCAGCGGACGCAAATGCCTTGATGACGCCGGTTGGGACACAGGCCCAGAACAGCATACAGTCTTTTGTCTCTCGTGCAGCGCTTCCATCATCGTCGGAAGCTGAGAGGAGCCAAGAGGAGCCGGACAGGTTGCCTTACCTCGACAGTGACAGCAGCCCAGACAGCTCAGTACGTGCCGAAGCCCTTCACTCCCTTGTTCTGTCAGCTGAGAATGAATAGCCTACACCAGGGGCTCGCAAAGATCTGTCTAGTGAAAGAGGTGCAACGTCAACAAGCACAAGCACCACGGCAGTGGTGTCGGGCCTCAGGCCAAAGTCTGGGCTTTGTATGTCATTTGGCCCCAAGCCACCGCGAGCCATGAGGGGACAGAGCAAGGTCCTTGCGGAATTAGATAAGCTGGGCAATCAAGGGCTGGAGATGGTACGCTGGGTTCTACAAACTCATGGTATATGTAATGATTGAGTCATCGACAGACGGTGGAGGGCAAAGCAGACAAGAAAGGGGCGACTGCAGAGGCTGAGACCTCGGACAAGACAATCTTCTCGAAGGTAAGTCCGATGATCTGGACTCACGAATCGGGCCTGATCTCGTCTTCCTGTGGTCCGGCGGCCTTGAAGTCCCTGACCGCCTTCAGCCCCTTGTCATCACTTCTGCCTTCGAGTCCTCCGAAGCCATCCTCTGGCGCATTCTCGAGTCCGGCATTAGCGCAGGCACAGAACCTGACTTTGTCAGCTGACCAGGTAGGTAAAGGGTGAATCTCAGGTCTGGGTATCTTCTTACACTTGTACACAGGCTATGTCTACTGTTCTCGCTGACGGGTCGTCAATTGGGGACACGACCAATATGGAGAGAGATGACTTGGAGAACCTCTACTATCCGAACGCGGGTGACATCGCCAAAAGGTCCACATCGGAGCCCAGTCAAGCAGGGCCCAGTCAAGCAGCGAGTGACAGAGTCTCTGGTCAGCCTGGTGAGAACAACGCGGAAATGCCTAGGACACCACGCGCAGAGATCTCGGCGAAGGGGAAAGAAGCTGGGACTTCCCACCAATCTTTCCTTGATAGCATACGAGAAGTCCTGGGAAAGAAGACTGTAAGTCTCAGGCTTGTTAGCAGAAATTTGGAGTTGCGCTGACATTTGCTACAGCCTGACTTTGAGCATAGCAGCTCTTTGGATTCTGACGCGGCCAGATTCTTAAAGCGCAGGGCCTCCAGTGTTGAGGAGGAACAGGTGGCCAAACGGCGCCGCAATGAAGTATGTCCATCTGATTTTTTTGAGGACTGTGATTATAAACGTGCTAATATGCCTCCATTAACATTAAGGACGAGAAATGTGACGACGATATTGAGGGCCACAAAAGCGAGAACAGCGGCAATGGCAACAAACGCGATAACGACGGCAATGAATGCGGCAACGATTGCAACAGTGACGAATGCGGCAACGACGGCAACAGCAACGAATGCAGCACCGACGGCAACGGCAGCAACAAAGGCGGTAACGAGCGTGGAAAACCCAGAAAAAATGGGGATGCGACTGAGAAGTCTCGGAGCCCTGGGACTGTTGGCAATCCAATTGTCGTGGATGACAGAGAGATTGTATATATTGCTTATTGGTCAAAGGTGAGTAGAATTGTGTTAAATCTAATCTACAGTACAGCTGACTTGTTGTGTGCACTAGACAAACGAGAATCCAGAGGTTTACAAGATCAAGACAACAGTTCCATTTTCCATCTCTACATACGACTTACTTGTCGACTCGCTTGGGTTCGTCTCACCTGAGGTTGACCGGCTTGGGTTCGGCTATCGGGAGGTCTGGACTTGGCAGGACCATACCTGGCGCAAGGTCAAGCCCCAAGACGTGCTACCAATGGGGAATGACACGGTCATCATGTTAAGGAGCCCTAAGGTAGGCTTTTGTCGGTACTTCGAGATCTGCAGCAGCCTTCGGGGAGATGGGAAGCGTTTGCCGTTAGCTGTTCAAGAAATGGCGACAGAGATACTTATCGACTAAGTCTAGTAAGGAGGACCTGTAGTATCCAGTAGCTCGAAGGCGAGGTTATATCCGAGATTAGTAGTAGAGTGATCATCCGTAAATAAAAGTTGTGGTGAAAAACTAGGTCTGAGGAGCAACATGCAAAGTAAGTCTAGTTGTCACTTTGTAAGGCCTGAACTGATTGTTCTGTGGTGTAAGCTTCCTACCGGCCACCCTGCCCGAATCAGCCCGGCGCAAGCCTCGGGCGAGAGGCTGGAAGAAGAGCTATAGCCGGCTGTCCTGTGAGCTCTGTAACCGTCCCTCTACATCTTCGGCTGCTGTTGAGCAGCAAGCCAATCATCTACATCCAGGTGAAGGGCATGATTGCAGTCCGCAAATGAGTGCCGCGCTGTCTTTCGATGATAGCCAGTGGGCTGAGTGACTGGCTGCATAACAGGCGAGAGAAGTCGTTCAAGTGGTAGACGAGGCTGTTGTGGTTGCATCCTCAGCTGACTGACCAGCTCAACACCATCGACTTTGAGGCCATCATGCTCGCACACGAGATTGACATCTCCAAGGTCCGGCATGACTTCCACAAGACCTGGACTAGTGGCTTCGTAGAGACGCTTCGCCGCTCGCACACCAGCACCGCCACCCGCCCCACCTGCCCCACCACCACCATCACCGAGACAACAACGACTGAAACCACCGTCAGCGGCCAGATCACTGCTGAGATGTGGACAAAACCATCACGGTGTATGCTGTTCATTTCATGCACTTCATCTTGAACCTCAAGAGTATGTCTTCATCTTGGGCTTTCAATGTCTTCTGCTGCTGACGCCATGACTCACAGGTGTACGCTACGTTGAGGAACTTTGGATTGGCACCGACCTCAGCACTAACGACACCTCGCTCGAGAAGGTCGACACCATCAGGCCAGTACATCCCTGAGTGCCTCGTCACCCTCACCCACTGCGGCCACAACATTCTGCACACCGTCCCGATCTGGAAGCTTCTCTGCACCGACAAGCCCTTGGATCTGTTCGCGTTCACCGATGTCAACCACCGCATTCTTACTAAGAAGGAGATCACCATTGACTCCTGCCTCAACTTTGAGACCTTGAGACCTCGATCCCGCCCACCATCATGTACGGCATCACCAGTGGTGCCAGGATGCCGACACTCAGTGATAAGTGGGCCGCCGGTTGGGAGGCTGTCAGTTGAGATTCAGTGGACATGCTGGGCCTGTCGTGCGAGGTCTTCATGAAACGATGCATCCTCGAGCAGCTCAACAACATCAATGGGAATGCGATGACGACGACTGTCGTGAAGAACGTCGATGTCGTCAACAATATTTGGGAGGTCGACCTCACAACATGGTACCTGTACCCGACGAGGAGAGCCACCAGTGCCGCTGTGACCAAGAGTGCCGGCAGTACACGGCAGGATTGCATCGGTTTGAGGGCTGGCAGAGCCGCGGTGGGCTGGTCAAAGCAAAGCTTCGCCAAGTCGAGCACAGTGTGGAGCTCTCGTACAGGTCTCTGAAACACAGTGTTATGATTAGGTGTAAGTAGGGATATAGACATTCATTCAAGAAGGTAGTAATCGAAGAGAAAGTGGTTGATATCAAAGCAAAGAGCCGAGGTCAATAGGTATGTGTTTAACATCGGAACGTCGGTAATAATGTTGTTGGAACATACACAGGCACACCTGGACATGCCAGGTGTGATCATGACTTTGTGCTGGACGCCTCGAATCCCCACCACGGTGTAGCGGTGAGCTGCAAACAGCTAAATGAATAGTCCTAGTAATAACGCGAGCGACTTACGTTATGTTAATTTGCCTTGTCCTGTTCGCACGCGCACGCTGCCCAACGATCGACTTTGCTACTTCTTCGAGGATGCGTTCCCGCTGTAACAGCTGTGCAGAATACCAGCTGGGATCGAGGAACAAGACACGCCAATCATTTCTATATATAAAACCATGTAAGTCTCATTAGTCTAATTGCGGGGCAACGGCACTTATGAAGTGGCATGCTTCGCCTTGGTCTCCATCAGCCTCCTTACTGCCTCCCATCGAACCTTCGCCCTGTATTGCGCAAAGGATTGATACCAGCCAATCGTACAGTTTGTGTTCCGTTGCCCCGAGTTCTTCTGGTTGCCAGACATGTTGAGCTTTCAGACTGACGGCTGTGGCGGTTCAAAAGCGTACAGTAAATATGAGGAATCAGTCGAGAATCTGGCACTCACCTTCAACCAATTAGCTCCCACCTCCTCAACTGCTTTCGTACGGTCGAGCGCTGAGGGCGAATGCGACAGCGGTCAGAACTGGGCACAAGACGCGAAGGAGTTGAGCTTGAGGGCTGAGGGCCGTGGCAGTTCGAGAGCATATGGTAAGTATGAGCTACAACGGCAGTTGGCGCAGGGCACCAGATGCGAGGTAGTCAAGGATAGAGGGGTGTGAAGGAGGGAGTTGTATGGTGAGCAACAAGACTGAACCGAGAATGAAGACTCACCTGGGATAACGGCTCTGAACCGCCTTCCAGACAATCGGAGATGGCAGGTGAACCAAATGACAGCGTGTACAGGGTACGAGGTGTGGGATAGTCGAGGATAGAGGGTGTGGAGGCAGAAGACAGCGGGTTGTATGGTGAGTGAGCAACGACACTGAACCGAGAACTAAAGACTTACCTGGGAGAAACCATGCTAAACCTCCTTCCAGACGAACGGAGAGGGCTTCTGAGTCAAAGGACGGTGCACAGAGGGTTGGAAGTGCGAGGTTGTGGGGATAGAGGAGTGGGCAGTGGGCAGCAGACAGCGCGGTCCATGGTGAGTAACAACACGGAAACAAGAACTGGAGGCTTACCTGGGAGCACACAGAAGACCAAGCGATGAGCCAATGTAAGTGAAGAAGGTGCAAGGTGGCTGAGGATGGGGGTGGGAGGCAGTCAAAGAGGGGACGGTGCGAGAGCGAGCGCGGGAGCAATAAGCGTCGAAGTACGTCGGGGAGAGCGTGAGGCGTGTAGGATCACGACGCTGTGTTGGCAGACTGTATACTGAGCCAGTGAGAAAGCTCAGGCGGGTTTTTGCAGATGCAAGTAAGCTGCTCTGACGCCATTGTAGAGCAAGTGGCAGGCGGTACGCGCCCAGTTGTACGGCGTGGCGGGACCGAACCGAATGAGCTAGAGGACGCCACAATGGCGATGGTGAGTGGGCCGGTTTCTGCGTGGCTAAGCCCTTGGACCATGGCTTAGACGTTGGCCACGTGAGTGGCTGGAGAAAGGTTGTTAGGTCAATACCTAACGGTTACAGTGTAGGGCCTGGTGGTGCAGGTGTTAGTGCTCATTGGGCAATCGGTGGGTTCGATTCACGCTTCCTGTGCAATTGTTTTATTGTAATTACGCTAATTACATGTCTTAGACACACGGTGTCTTAGCCAGGGCCGTGTCTCAGCCAGGTCCCAAGGTGCTTAGTGGATCCGGGTGCTTATGAACGTCTAAGCCGGTGTGGCTAGTCCGGTGTAACATAATAAGTTCCCGTGTCTAGGCCACCAAACTGAAACTCTTGCTGGATTGCAGACACTGGGTGGTAAGCGCACTTTTTTCCGGCATAAAATTAGCCAAAAACTGATCCAACAAGGCCCCAACTTTATCTGGTTTTCACCTGAAAAAAACTGAAGGCAAAACTCATTTTTCTGCCAGTTTTACTGTGTTTCAGACCCTTTTGGCTGGTTTTGCACTGGTTTCTCCTCAGTTTGCATTGGCGTAGAATCAGGGAATAACGGGGCCTTGTTTAGCCGCTTTTGTCTGAGTTTTCTTGAGAAAAAAACTGCGCTTACCACCCTGTGAGACACACTACGGATATGAGCTGATTTCAAATCACCTGAAATGTCCAGGTCAAGCCATCAGAACTATATCATTTTCGGAGACTTGACCGTGGCTTTCTGGCACCCCAAAATGATAAATTTGCTACCACTTTTGTAGCCATTTGCAGTGCAGGAAAATGATAAATTTTGTGTAGCCTGAAATGAACCTGAAATGACTGAATATAGTTACATTTCAGTACAACAAAGAGTTGATATTTCAGGAGACTTTGTGGCGCATTTCAGGACATCTGAAAGAACATATGGAGAGATCATTTCTGCCTCATGTTTGCAATGAGGAAAGGTCCAGGCAAGGAAAGCTTTTGATGGTCCTGAAATTATCATTTACAGCAAATTTATAGTACCTTTCTGGGACATTTCTGTCTTATCTCAAGTAAAAACCTTCTAGCTCATGAAACAGCTTCAAAAGCCATCAGAAATGGTAATTTTAGGACCATCAAAAGCTTTTCTTGCCTGGACCTGAGATTGACACTGCCACGTGACTATTTGATCTCAACAAGGATATATGCGCCTGCCTTGCAGAGTTCACCTTCTCAGCTCTCCTGCCACAACCCCTCGAATGCTCCAACTGTCTGATATATTTCCCTCACATCTGCTGTGTAATGATCTTCGACAGACGCTGATGCTTGTTGGCTGCACCTCTTATCAACAGCATCATTGAATACACTCGAGAGTCAGGACCCATGCTGAGCCGGAAATTGAAAGAGAGTGCGTACTGCCTTATTTCTCTACTATCGCACCGCTTTATGACAGCGATTTTGTACAGACTTGTTCCCTCAGCACTACACAATCTCTTGTCGCACTACACCGCGCTCCTCTTCACGTACATTGCTGCTAGGAAGGCCAGCATGAGAACGAACAGCACCCGACGGTACCACACGCTACATCCCGGCAGTGCAGCGTCGACCTGGGATGGCACATGCGCAAGACGCTTGGTAGGCTGTAGGGAGCTGAAGGTGAGGAGTTGTGGAGCCAGGCGGTTTGGCAGGACCTCACCAGTGGTCAGGGATGATGGGGAGGTTGGGCCGGAGACAGACTATTCAGCAATGGTATGTGGCACATTTTCGTGTGTTTGTAGCTGTCATCCTTACGGTACTCAAGATTCCGTCACGGCTGACGGCTGAAGGCCCTTCATGAAGCGTTGAAGTTCCATCTCTGCCATCCTACACATACGACTCGAAAAATTCTCAAGCGTCCTCTCATCCCCTCGTCCTCTTGTCACTCTCGCTTGCACAGACAGAATATGCTAACGGCGGCCCCAGACCTTCTGCGCAACATCACCATCTTGGCCTGTCCCACAATCATCGCCACCTGCTCGCTCTGTCTGACCTCAAGGCCGCGAACGTCTCATTTACTCTGTATCCTGTGGCTTAACACTCGTGTGCAAGGTCATACATTTGCCCGATATCTCCTGATGCTCTTCTTCATGGCCAAGGTTGCTTCGCCGTAGATCGACGACATCTCCAATACCGTGCACACCTCTCAGACTGTTCGTAAAGTGGTCTATGCTGAGTCCGGACATACTATCTCTGCAATTCTCTGTCGTTGTGATTCCCACGAAAATGATGGTCGTAGACCTAGGTCTCGAGTCGGGACGTGTGTTAGCGAATGGCGTGCCATGGTCATTGGTCTGCGCGCTTCCGTTCCAAGGGCGCCATCGCTTGAAGCCGGTTGTCGCCCTCCACGCATTCACCACAGATGCAAATGCGCTTACCACAGGACAGTGATGACTGAACCTCTTCGTGTCCATCGTGCGCATTTGCCTTCCTCTGCATCCAACTTTGGCCTCGAGATCTTGGTGCTTGCGTGGGCTCGTGTAAACTTTGTTGCGCCTGAGCTCAATGCTATCCGTTCGTACCTTTCGTAGCCGTGTTCTTGAGGTATATGCTGACATGATACTTGTAGGCCATCGTGCAAGGAAGAATCTACAACCACGAATAACTGTTTGTCACTTCTCGTCCACTGGTTCAACACCTGAAAGCAAAGTGAAGACAAGGACAAAACAAACGTCCTCATCCTCTGCACCGTCCGCTGGCTTTCGTGATGCGATGTTGCGACCGCGCCTCTGGAGACCATCAACAGTATACCCGGAGTCTGTGACGCGATAGAGCGGCGCAACATTCACGGCTCCGGGGACTGCGAGGACGAGGAGTAAGTACACTATCTCTGGCTAGGACAACCTCTTCCGGTTGAGTCACATGCTCTCTGCGATCCTCCTCCCCAGACGCGGGCAGACAATCTGCAACAATGCTCGGACGGGGAACCAGGACATCCTTAGCTGCGCTCTTCACGGTAGCCCTACCCTCGCGCATACGCAACTCGGGCCGGACGAATGGGCACTTCCCAAGGCTAAAGACCCAGACCTTCCTATCCGGTCATTGAAGCACAGGGCAGCGCGCTGCCCAAGGGCTGTGGCGTGGGCGAGGGTTCATGACCGAATGGACTAGAGCTCGACAAAGCCGGGGGCAAGACGGGTGACCGGGGCAACATAGTCCTTCGGTATAGAATTGTGGAAGAGTATGTGTATTCGGCTGCTACATAACGGAATCAATATCGAGAGCAGACCTAACATTCACGAGTGAGATAATGAGTGGCGTGAACATGGAATTATATCCGCCGGTCCCTCAGACGTCCAGTTATGACGGCAGGCTGGTTGAACATAAATTTTGAGCCTTGTAATGTTTCACGTTGGGGCAGCGATGGAGTGGCATAAACAGAGAAATGGGTTCCGCATGCGCATATGCGAGTGCCAGCGATATCTTCAGATCTCAGACCTTGCGGATCAGGCCGGACGCCACCAGGCTCATACCACTGTCCTGATATGGCAATTGTTGTTCGATGAAACGGCGACAAGTGGCTTGTAGCCCATAACGTGTACTTCTCCGTTCACGCCTACGTCTCAGTTACAGTGCGATCAAAACTCTCTACTTTATTTTGCCTCTGCAAGCTCCACAGCATGTCGCCTCGCCCCGAAAGCGTCCCCCTAGATACCATCTTGCTTTTCTTCCGCGTCTGCATGATGCCAGCCAGCGCGACAGCAGCCCGAGCGCGGCCTGCATTGAGGGTGTCCGGCGCTGCGAGATGGCCTAGTACGGGACATAGAGCAACGGGCTGGATGATGCGAGAATTGACTTGTAAGCATAGTAAAGAGTAGGCATGAGAGAGTGACGTACAGATATACCTCTGACAAATTTGCCCGCCGTATGGGACGCCGCATGCTGCGCAGTCCGACGCACAAGGTCCGTCTAGCTGCTCCTCGGCTGGAGGAGTGGCCGTGGGTGACACGAAGGCAGTCTTGGGGAAGATGAGGTGGGGAACGGTCAGGGTTGTCGAGTGAAGCGGGACTTACGGCGGGGCGTTGGCCGTTGGGAAGCACCGACATCCGTAACGATGGACATAGCCAGTACGGTCAGCTTCACAAGGAGTTCGTTGATCTGTGGGCGTGAGCCCACAGCTTGAATCGTCGTGCTTGTCAGCAACAGCGCGATACGCAAAGACGAGAGGACATACACCCACATATGCCGACTTGTACGTCCGTCGCGCATCCAATGGGCTAAGGGGGACATAGACGGCATACGCAGTGCCAACAGAAGACACATTTGTCCGCTCACATTGCACTCTGCATCGTCTCTGCATAGCTGACCACAACCTCCAAGATACGTGTCTGGCCAGCGTCGCGCTTGACCCACATCAGCACGCGAAGATGCTATTTGGCACAAATGAAGTCACATCTAGTGGTGAGGTACGAGACATAGAGGGCGTGAGCCGGCGATGAACTCGATGTCAGGTTGATAGCCGTGTAAGAGCGAGGACGCCGGACGTGACGTGTGGCGTGAATTGGTTCGAGTACCGCGAGTTGTTGTACGGCCTGCGCGAATGAAGACGAGCTATGACTATAAAAGTATTGTTGGGCATCAAGACGCACCTGTAGACATGCTCCTTGTTCTGTCATATTCACAGCCCTTCCGCTAAGGCTTTCAGGCAGCATGCCTGGCCTTGACCGACGTCGCCAATAGTGGTTGGACTCCGACGGAGTAGGGCGCAGTAAGATCTAAACGGAATACGGATCTGTCTGTCAGCATGCGGGCACAACAAAGAAAATTGCAGTTTACGCCGTATGTATGCTACTGGATCGGTGCCAACGAGCTGACGAACAAGTCGCCGACCCAGTCGTTGACAGCTTACGAGACAGCGGTGTGGATTATGTTGAGCGAGGTAAGTTTCCGAGGCATTCTAAACAGCGCAGTCTGGGTTTCAGGTGAGCATAGCAGTCGCCAGGTAGCTCAAGGTTTGCGCACCGTGATGATTGATGTCCGGCCAGGAGAAGGGAACGTCCTTGAATCTTCATCTCCGCCGAAGAGTAAGCGAATTGAGCGTAATCTGAGCATTGATTATCGCAGCGAATGACTAGTGTTGCATGGTCCGTCTGAAAGTTGTTGCAGGGCCAGAGGTGCACCGTCCACGATGAAAACGCATGCAAAACGAGGCATGTCGCCGTAGAAGTGCACGCACGAAATGCCCAGAGCAAAAAGCGAGAAGAGGGCCTCAGGGTCAGGGAGCACAGCGGGGTGGCAACGTTCCTTGTGCTCCACTGGGCGTGGTGTGAAGACAAGGATGGGCGAGCAGAGATCCCGACTCCTGAGTTTCTAAACGCGCGCTTGGCGCGTATCACGTGGCAGCTTTGATCCGTAGGCGCATCGGGCACGTCCTGCCCTCTATTGCTCCCACAATCATGTTCACGCCCAGTCCTTGGCCCTGACGCAATTTTAGTCCCCCTACAAATATCTGCTTACCTTCCTTCACGTCTAGGGCCTGCTGATAGCACACATATCGCTTTCAGGCTGAAAGCACGAATCGGAGGGCAGCCGTTCATTCCCCCGAGTGGTGGCCGCTTCCGCATGTCTCCAAGGAATCTAGTGGAAGAGGTGGATTCAGGTAGAAGAAGGACAACTTGCTTCGATATCTACGATGGACCGTTATGTAGGACTCATGGTGCGCATGTTCATGTTGCTCAATCCGTCCTTGCTGAGCAGGTCTGCCAGTCGCAATAATATACCTTCTATGTCACCAGACACTCTGTACCTCGTCTTCGAACCATTTTTATGTCAATCATAAGCGGATTACTCCCCCTCTGGTCCTGACTGCGTCTCGCTTCTCCTTATCACATGTGAACATCTGAGCTAGAGACGCATCCCAAGTGCGAGGCTTTGGATTGACGTTAACGTAGGGAGAACGCCTTACAACGTTCATGGACGAGACAAAAGCGCGATGTTGGAGGGATCCGGATAAAATTCAGGTGCGCCCCCGTCTTTTCAGCTGCAGGCAACGTTTGGCTCAGTTGTTGGACCTCAAGCATGCTACCCATCGCCGTTTCGTCCGACGGCCACACTCCAAAGTGTTGATTTCCGGATCATATCGTAACCTACATGGCGAGCGTACAAAGCTGAACTCGTCTTGCGCGGAGTCGCGCCACCCCTCGCGCCTCAGGCGTCCACGCAATTGATCAATGAGTTCATCGACGCCCTCTTCTTCATGAGCCTGGTCCTCAACCTCGCGGCTGCACTGTTCGACGTTCTCCCCAAGATGCGACTCCGCGAGTACACGCAGTAGAACTTACCACTTCCAGTGTCGTGTGAGAGCATCCTCGTGCGCCAATGGTGTCTCGGGCCACGGAAGACGTGGGACAGGAGGCGGTGGTCGCGGCAACATTGACACTAATCAATCTCGCAACGATCGCCTCCTTCGGGGGCATGGTTCTTCTTCTGTGAGCCCTCGACATTGTCGCCACCGTGATCACGGTTCTCGTCTCGACAATCCTGCCGATCGTCTCCGCCATCTCTATCATACTCATTATCTTCCATTGCCGTCCCTACAAACTTTCGATCCTATGGGTTTGGTTGGCCGATTGCGCTCTGGCCAACGCGACTTCGCGCCGTTTGCTCACTACCACAATGCAGCGCTGTGGCCGCGCCGTGTTTGATGTCTCAACCGCGACCTCGCAGCACCAGGACCGGTGCAACATGTACGGTTTTACCGTTTTAAATGACAAGGAACGGGTGCGCCAACCCAGCTGCAGAACAGCAACTTTCTCGAGGCAAGCCATGCGGGCTTTACCGCCCTTCTCCACTACGCTCAAGCAGACGTGCTACAGCAGCACCCCGATGGACCCCAGGTCCTCGGCCACTACAGCCTCCGTCGCAGCCTCTCCGGGATGCCGGCGCGTATTGGACCGGGCGGGTATCTGCGGTGAGATGGTCCGCGGCGCAGGTACTGCTATATTCCTACGGAGATTACAACGTCCAGAAGCGCAGTTCCCTGAATCAACACCTACGACGGATGGCGCGGCTCATCACCAGCCATCCGATTAGGCCAGCTACCCGCTTGAAGGCCCCTTTGCCGTGGCTGCAACTGACGCAGAGCTGTGCTCATGGCCATGGCCAACGCTCGGCCGCGTCCCGGCTTGCCGACCGACCCGGGGGTCTCATGCACCTCTCCTCCCCAGATAGGGCTCCATGGCCTTCCATCCCGTCGCGTCTCACCATCTCAAAGCCGCCTCGCGTCGTCTTATCCGTGGCCAGCTTTCTTCTTCAGCGTAGTCTGCGACGCCTGTCGCACCGGCAGCAAATAACAGCAGTCAAGCAGCGCAAAGTCAAGACCGGCACCTGAAATGAGTGCGTCCGAGGGCGACAGAACGGCATGTTTCCGTCTTCTGCCTGGTCGTCGACGTTACGTCCTGTATTCTTGATACTGTTCAGCCACGTCTCGTGCAGATCGTTCGACAGCGACGAACACTTACGCCTACGTCTTTGCAGGTACCCGAACCGATCTCGCTCCTTTCCTGCGGCGAGAACGAAGAGCGATGTGACGGGCTGCCACACGGGCGATAATCGCTGTCAGACTGAGGAGACAGGAGGCGGCAGTTGCGGCGCACCTAGCGAGGCACAGGTAGTGCCATCATAAGAGCTACTGCTCCGGAGATGGACCTCGCCAACCACGGTTGCTCGAGCACAAGAAGCAAAATGCAGCTTAGCCAATGAGCGCTGCTTCCCGAGGAGCTGCTCAGTTTTTCGCCTACGACCGTCGCCGACGGTGTGGCCGGTGCTTGCCCGACGCAGCCAACTCTTCCGAGGCAGCCGGCACTGGCGACGTGCTAAACACTAACCACGGGGATTCGCGCAGGGCACGAGGCAATGATCTGGGACATCACACCTAGCGCGGCACGATGCCTGCCATGGCTGTGATTTCTAGCCTGAGCGTAAACCAGGACACCCAGACCTGCAAACCAACGGATTCACCCGCTGATGCCACACACGAGGTTCTTTGCGTGTCCGACGAGCTACATGCGACACCCCTTGGCTGTGACTGCGCCTCGCACCACTTTACAATGGGCGACCCGGGAGGGAGGAGAGCAAGAGGCTCGTTCACTAGCCGTCCAATCCTCGACTCTGCGCACTCAAGCCATGCCAGCCGATGCAGTAGCTGTACAGACTCGTCGTGGCAAGGTGCGCCTACGTCTTCAGGATAGAGTATTAGCAGCGCGATTTTCCAGACCGCTGCGGATCATCCGTGAAGATAGTATTTTGATTTTGGTATAAGTGCCTTTGCACGAAAGTAAGAACGGCACCTTCGCGCGTCAGTGAGCAAAGCTGATCATGCGCAGATATGTGGAGTTGGTTTAGATGGAGGGCGCTATGAAGCACTCCGCGCTCGTAGCGGGATGTCACGCGAAGGAGACGGCAGGATACTATCGGAGAGTTACACTCGCTGCTCCCAGGACCGAATATTTCATCTGTATGTGGACTCGGGAGATGCGCGCACAAGGCCCCGGAGTCGCCCGTACCTACTTCTGCTACTCGCGCTTGATTGTCTGTACGTCGTTGTAAAACATTTCCACGTACCGAGTCGGTCAAAGTGCTATCGGGGCCGCCATAATACTCACGCATGTTACCGCCGATTTGTCGCTCAAGACTTGCATTGTATGATTTGTAGACATCGCTATGGCTGTGCGGCATTGAAAACCGAGGACACCGCCTTGCACAGCTCTGAGCCCATCGCTTTGAACAATTTTTCCACGCGAAGCAGTGGTGTCAGACCACCCGGCTACCGTATTTTGGTCAGGAGTCCGTGCAATGGCAAATTGTCGGCAACAGCTGTCACAGCTTGACTGACAGCTGTCCTCTGGTAACGACTAGTGATGTGCGGGCCGGGCCTCAAAGCCTGCAAGCCCGCCAAGCCCGGCCCAAAAAGCCTGGCCCGAGTCAAGCCTGGCAGCGGGCTCAAGGCCGGGCTCGGAGCGTAGTCAAGCCCAAGCCCGGCCCGGAAGCCCAGGCTTGGGTGTGCTGGCTCCGTTACCGTTCCCTGAGTTCAGAATAAGGAGAGAGCGACCTAATATGCACATAGAAGACAAAATGTAGATATTCTAGACGTAACGGCTCCCGCCGAGCACGATTGTGCGTCGCCATCTGGTGCCTGCCGTAGGCGCACGCCCGTGGACTTCGCTGCAACTCGACTTGTTCCGCAGGTGTAGATCTTCTGGAGGTTATAATTTAGTGAGTACATGCAGTATTAATCCACTACACCCAAATACATTCCCTTCTGATAGCACCGGAACACTCGTTGTATTGTGAGCAAGCCCGGGCTTAAGCCCAAGGCTTGGGCCGGGCTCGGGCTCGGGTCGGGCTCAGGGCTCGGCTCGACGTCGTCACAAGCCCAAGCCCGGGCTTTGAGCCCAAGCCGGGCCCGCACATCACTAGACTAACGACTTGAACGCCCGTCGGCGGTGTAGGACCTCCACTAGCTGCCGCAACGACGAAAGCTAATTGGCAGATGTGCACTGCCCAGAATCATCCCCGAGCAGCCGCAGTCCAAAGCGCGAGGACGTCTGCTATTCGTCTTCTCGCATGAGTTGAGCAAAGGGAGAGACGCTTACCACACGCCATCGATGCCACACAGCATTCATCTCAGTTATGGTTCCATTCTGGCTGCAAACAGCCAACGTGGGGTGGCTGCGAAGGTACACGCACCACACATGCTTCCAGTGACAGGTGCTCTTAGACCTGGCCTGTCTCCTTCGTCCCGTACCCAGTCCGATGCCCTTCCTGTTGGGCTACTACCATCTTTCTCTTCGCTCTCCCTACTCCCCAGTCATTGCTTTCATCGTCGCCGAGTACACCGTCAACTCGCATGAAGACTTCACGACGCAGAAATCGGGCGGGTAGTCCGGATGCCAAGGTACGCATACTAGATCTAAGTCGAACCCCGTGTCGGCGTCTTATCTTCACATCTCTCTGCCCTAGGAGACGTCAGGTCTCTCTGGCTGGGCCGGTATAGAAGATACTGTGGCCAAGGACGATGAGGGGAAGATGGAAGGATACTCTGAAGATGTCGACACTTTACTCGTCTTCGTACGTTTCCTGTTCGCGTCTTCATGCTTGGTCAACCTGACGCCCACCGAGGCCGGTCTATTCTCCGCTATCCTCTCCGCGTTCGTCGTCCAGACCTACCAGATGCTCCAGCCGTCAAGCGCAGACCTGACGAACCAACTGCTTACCACGAATAATCAGATGATCGCTCAGAATAATCAGATTCTCGCTCAAAATAATCAGATCCTTAATCAGATCCTCGTCCAAGGATCTTCTGCAACCCTCACCGTATCCACATTTTCCCCTCCTCAGTTGCTATCTCCCACCGATCCACCGCCGTTCCAGCCCTCGACCCCTGCACGATGGATCAACATCCTGTTCTTCACCAGCCTCGTCCTCAGTCTCGCTGCCGCCCTGCTGGGCATCCTGGTCAAGCAGTGGGTGCGCGAGTACATGCAGTGGAACTCACCTCTTGCATCGCCGCGCGAGAATGTCATGGTGCGGCAGTTTCGGCTCGAGGCATGGGAGGCCTGGAACGTGTCGGCGGTCGTCTCGACGGTGCCGGCGCTGCTCGAGGTCGCGATGATCCTGTTCCTCATCGGCATGGTCATCCTGCTATGGACCCTGGACGACGTTGTGGCGATCTGTTTAACGGCTATGACGGCTATGTTCCTGCTGGTAATCGCCGTGTTCACTGTCCTGCCCGTGTTCTCTCGCCGATGTCCGTACAAGTCACCGACGGCATGGGCGGTCATGGCAGCTTGTAGATTTATGTCGATTTCGGCATTCTTCTTTCTGGAGCAGGGTCGAGCATACGCTGCTCTGCTACCTCGTCGATGGTGCTATCTCATTGATGGTAAGTCTTGCAGGATTGAGCATGTTATTCGTAGCCTAACACACACTGTCAGTATGGGCAGGTGACGTTACTAGCGGGTCCATTCAGCTCCGCATCACTCTTGTATTATTCTTCCCTCTCCTCATCATTCTAGCAGTCTTCTTCGGCGTATATGATGACAACTGGGATTTGGAACCGCAAAAACATGTCGAATGGAAGCAACTACCGCTCAGCTGGCGCGACGTTGACCTCCGCAGCTGCAGATCCATGCTGCCGCGCTTCGGATCCCGACAGCTCAACGATGAAACCATGCACACTGCAGCACAGGCAATCGTTTCGACCGAGGCTTCAGATGGCTCGGAGCGAAAAGACGAGCTGTTCGGCGAGGTCAAGGAGACCGTCCTGCTCCTGCGAGCATTGTCTTGGGTAGCAAAGTCGTCTCAGAACTCTCACGTCGTCGCGTACATCGAGCAATGCCATGACGAGGAGCAGCGCGTACACGAGCGTACCCTGGATTTCCTCCTTCGTGCGGCCGCTTCAGGGCCCGGTTCTGAAGTGCGGCGGCTCCTTCTGCAGTTCGTCCTTGATCAATCCAAGCACTGCACTACCCCTGCGCTGCTGTGTAGGGCATACATTGATGCTCGGTGGGACTACAGGGTCATGCTATCTGCAGCTGACAGACATCTGGGTAAGCACACACATAGCCTAGAAGAGGGAACATTTGCTAATATGTCAGGCGCGTTTCTCCAGTGCTCGAGCGAGGGCACACCACAGCCGCTGACTGCGAGCTGCTCCTGGCGAACTACATCCCATCCGAGTTCACACATGCCTACCAGGACCGCCTCGAGATGTTCATCACCACAGCAACGGTGTGGCTCTTTCACTGTGACATGCAAGTGGCGTCTCGAGAGGTTGTGTTCGACATACTGGGGAGGATGATCAGGGCGGCGGACGTCTTGTCTGTTGAGTCCGCCGCACCGGCTGATACCGCGGCAGGCATCTCGCAGGATGGCAACGCCGTTGACGTCCGAGCTAACCATCGGGAGTGGATCCGGGAACTGTATTGGACGAGAGCGACGCTGACGGAGCGATATGGCGCACTGTTCAGGCGACTCCTGCATGCACTTGAGAAGGCGTACAAGCTGGACAAGCTCCGCGGCGACGAGGATCCGATCCGGGATGATCTACACGACGCGCTCGAGACGTCACACAACACGTACGGGTCCACATGTGAGGTCGACGGCTGCCCCTGGATCGGGCACGCCAAGAGCCAGCAGGACGAAGGCCGCAATTATGTCGAGTGCGATCTGCTCTCGAAGAGCGTCAGACCCGCCTCCGCCGCAGATGCGCACAGCGAGGAACGGCCGTCCGAACTGCGGCCGCCGCCATCGTCTGGACCACAGCCATCACCGTCGTCCGAACCGGTCATTTCATCTGACCCGCCCCAAGGACTCGCCCACGCCGAACCACATTGCACGACGTCGCACGACGCCCCTCCAGCGCCAGCAATCCGAAGCGCGCCCAATTGTCTGAGCTCGCGGTCTTCGTTGTCGGCCACTAAGCACAAGCCGCGACGTCATGCGATGGGAAGGGTAAGGGAAGCAAGGTCGATGGATGAGCTGACGAGACCAGAGGCAGCACGGGTAGAAGCGGGACGGCGGAGGTCCTGGGGGTGACGGTCCAGACTCAGGTTGTATATGTATATTTCACCGGCGCATATAGTAGTAAATTGTATTGGTAGAGCGGTCGTTCATACGTGCAACAATGAGTGCGTGAACACGGAGCTCGGGGGATGTATGCCCAAGACTCTTAATTATGATAGTAAATTGTTCAGCTGGTGGATATAGTGATATTCAAAGACAATACACGTGAATGAAGACCGTCCACCGCCAGTCGACTGAAAGGCTGCTTGCCGCCACCTCAACACTTGCAGGATTATCGATAGGATGCTATATCATTCGGGCAGGGCATGCACTTGGCGCAGACTAAAGCACGGGAAATAAGCAGCGAGCAAAGTGCAGAGACGATGCCGTCCAACGCACCCTCGTAATTACAGCTGACTCGTCCAAGGACATCACAGAGTCTCATTCTGCAAGCCTCCCTATGCAGGACTCTTGCGCTTAGGCTGCCCTGCATACGACCAATACGCCGTGCCATCGCGCCTGCGGCTCTGCGAAGGATAGGTCATATGCGTCAACTACTTAAACATAAATTCGTGTGACGATAAAAATGATTGTGGTACCCACAGATCATGGCCTCGCGCGAGCAGCCGACCAATTGCGGACCCAGGGCCGTCTTGGAGGGTCAGAAGACGCGCCGCCTGGTGCACCCGTACAGCCCTGCGTAATACTGGTGTGCATCACACAGTGCTCGTCTCATCGTCGCGATGATCTCACCGACTTCAGCAAGAAATGTGACGCAAAATTTGAACTCGATCCAGACGGCGAGGAGTCAAAGACGACCCCGAAGACGCCGGTCGACGCAGGTGATGTCAGCTTCTTCGCGCCCCCACGAGCCAGTCGAGCTGGGAGCGGCCCGACTTGTGCGTTTCTGCACGTTGCGGATGGATAGGCCTGACCTCTTTCACGGACTGTTCCGTGGACTGGAGCACGATGGTGCTGCCAGGTCATCCAGTGCGTTCGCAGCTCAAGTTGCGACTCACCACCGGTCCCTTCCTGCAGAGTGAACGTCAAAGGCGTCAGAGAGGGCTTGGAGAGCAATTCTATGGAGCTGCCAGTGATAGGAAGTAAATAGGGTCGACTGCGCGACCTTCGGGCCTTCCCAGCTCGCAGAGTCTTGGCAGAGCAATCAGCAAATGCGGCTGTAAGGGCCACAAAGAGAAGCTTACTCCGAGTCTGGATATCGTGTGCCAAATAGTAGGTTCGACTACCCAGCATTGCGTAGGCTGCATGTATGCGGGTCGGTTAGTGATACAACCTGGGGCCTTCGTAAGGTGCCAAAGCGTGCCTTAGTACGTCCGTTGCCTGGCCCCTTGCGCAGCCCTTCTGCCGCGACATTCACAACGATGTGCATAGCTTCAGCTTGTGGCTCTTGTGGCTACTGGATTACGATTGGAGCGTCGGGCGCAACTCTGAATAGGGTACAGATACACGGGGTAGGATACAGCTGTAGGGCAGGAAATGCTGTGACTCACGCTGTCCGTATACTGCACGGCCAGAATCCGAGAGTGAAAGGGCTATATAACTGATGCAGCAGATGGCCGCTTTTGAGGAGACAGAGCATAAGGTGCCAAGTGTAGCCTGCATGTGTCAGCAACCTACAATCCAACTGGACTGGGCTACGACAAGGCTGAGGAGACATACAAGAGGAAAGTGGGTGAGTAAAGACCAGCTCGAGTCTGGCTTGTTATTGAGCAGTACGAGCTCCTTATATACATGTCAGGCTCAATATCTAGATTATACTACGAATATACAGAGGTGTATAGAAGGTGAAAGAATACTGTGGAATCTGGGAGAACCATCCGGAATATGTAATATTCATGACATTACCCCCCCTTTTAGAATCGTGTCCTTATGATTATTTACCAGTGGATCCAAAGCCTCCTGTTCCTCGCTGAGTTTTTGTTAAACTTGACACCTCGTCGATATCGCATGACGCAATGCGTTCCAAAATGACTTGTGCGATTTGATCACCGGCGCGTACCTGGAAATATTGATTAGTGGTATTGATCATCACCACGCGTACTTCTCCAGTGTAATCTTGATCTACGACTCCGGCGCCAATATCTATCCCTTTGACTGCTAACCCACTTCGTGGTGCGATCCGTGCATAGGTTCCGTGAGGGGCACGCATTGCTACGCCAGTGCCGACAATCTTACAACTTTGTGCCAGTATTTTCATGCTTTCGGCTGAGTAAAGGTTGAGACCAGCGGCTTCGTCCAATCCTTGCTTCGGGAGAATTCCACCCATCCGTTGCACTAAAAGAGTGGTATCGTGCGTGAGCATGTGAACAGATTGTGTTAATAGAGGTGGAATTCTAGTTGTCATAGGCGCGGATTTGTCGGGACGTCTCACATGGAATTTCTGAAGGAGTTCTTGACAATTGGTCAGGTTCGCCCGTGATTCCCAAGTACGGCGATCACCGTGGGGACTGTTTTCCAGAGAACCTGATACTCCAAGTTTCCATTTCGATCACGACAGGAGTCGAGAATTTCTTCGACTTCCCATTTTTCCTCACCATTTATGAGGTCAGGGACTACCGGTTCACCTTGCTGCGAAGGGTACGTAGGCTCTTTGAAGGGGCTAAGAAGGCTTTCATTGAAAACAGGATGTTGTTTCCATTGACGTGGGAGTTCCAACTCGTAGGCAGAAGCATCGATTTTGCGTTTGACCTTGAAAGGTCCGTATCGCTTATCGTCAAGCTTTTTCATTGGTCTATCGGTTCAGATGTTTATCCCTTCTAGCCAAACCTTATCCCCAACTTTGTACTCCAGTCCGCTCTTCCTTTTCCTATTGTAGAAGCGCTTCATAGATTCCTGTGCTAGGCTGATAGCCGCACTGGTGTCTTCATGTACTCGATCCATTCTATCGACAAATTGTTGGACGTTTTCACTTAGTCCTTCCCGTACTGGTTGAGTTCCTTCATAAGGGTGATATTCTTTATTGATAAAGAAAGGAGTATATCCGGTAGAGGAGTGGACTTTGTTATTGTACAAAAATGTTGCAAGTGGCAGCCATTTGGCCCAATCGGCCTGTCGGTAGTTGATGAATAATCGGAGATACTGTTCTATCTCACGATTGATGTGTTCCGTTTGTCCATCTGTCTGAGGGTAATACGTGGTTGATGGGTTGGCTTCGATTCTGAGTGATTGGTATAATTCAGAGATGAACTGATTCTTGAATTCAGTTCCTCTGTCGCTGATGATCTTTCGGGGTAGTCCATGATGTGCGACTACGTTATCTCGAAGTGCTTTCCCCCACCCTTTGGCATTAAGCTCAATGGTACTTGGTATCGCAATCATCTGTTTAGAGTACATGCAGACAATTACGAGGATGGCGTTGTATCCGAATGAGTCTGGTAATACGTCTATTTTGTCCACGAAGATTACTTCCCAGGGTCGCAAAGAAATTTTGTTTGGAAATAGAAGTCCGATAGGTCGTGTCGTGTGAACCTTGGTTTTCTGGCATTTCTCGCATCCGGCTACGTACTTCCGGATGTCTTCTCAAATTCGAGGCCACCAGTAGTTGCGCGTGATCATTTCATGCGTCTTGTACTGGCCAGGATGTCCAGCCAATGGGGTATCATGATGATGAGTGATAATCTGCTCATGGAGTTTCCCATTTACTGGTACGTAGATATGGTTCTTCTATGTCACAAGTCTGGTACTATCTTCATCTCAGTCCTTGTCCTTGTTCTGTAAAGCTACGATAACTAGCAAATCCCGATTCTTTTTGTATTTTTTAATTTCTGTGACCCAGTCCTGGTCGATTCCTTCTAAGCTAAATACAGTACTACAGATCAAAGCACGAAAATGTTCTGGTTTTAACAGTACAATATCAGAATTGTCCTCTTTTCCTGCATTGTGTCGCTTTTGACGAAAGAGTCTGTCCGCTTTGCCATTAGATTTTCCGGGCTTGTGATGCAGTGAGTATTGATATTCAGCTAACTCGGTTACCTATCGGGCCTGACGCTGATTGAGTATCTGTGGCTTTCGGAATTATTCTAGGTTCTTGTGATCCGTCCATATTTCAAATGGATGTATGGCGCCCATGAGATACTGACGCCATTCATCAAGGCTAGTCATGATTGCGAGAAGTTCCTTATCGTAAATCTCGTAATTTTTTTCGGCAGCTGTCATGGCTTTGGACAGATAAGCAACAGGCTTCCATTTGCCATCTTGCTTCTGGGCTAACTCTGCTCCTACGGCAAAGACTGGAGCATCGCATTCTACTCGGTAGGGATCATTGTCATTGGGTATAGCCAATACTGGCGCTGTGCATAGGGTGTTCTTTAAGTTTGTGAACGCTACTTTTTGTTCGATGGTCCATTCAAAGGTAGCGTTGCCTGTTAATAAACTGAGCGGCTTTGCTATCTTGCCGTAGTCTCGGATGAATCTTTGGTAAAAGTTGGTAAAGCCAAGGAATGCCTGAATGTCACGTTTGCATTCAGGTCTTGGCCAGTTGACTACTCCTTCTATTTTAACCGGGTCCATGCGGACCACACCTTTTCCTACTATCGTGCCGAGGTATTCTATTTCCGACTTCTCGAACTCGCACTTTTCTGGTTTCAGATAAAGTTTGTGTTCTCTTAAAATCTGAAGAACTTGTTGTGTGATCTGACAGTGTTCTTTCAAATCTTGAGTGAAGATCATGATGTCGTCTAAATGGACTACCACGTGTCCTTGACTGATGAGATCTTGGAATATGTCATTCATCATAGTCTGGAATGTAGCCAGGGAATTGGTAAGACCAAAAAACATGACTAATGGCTCGAATAGTCCTCGATTTGTTAGGAACGCTGCCTTCTCTTCATCGCCTTCTTTGATGTGGATGTTGTTGTATCCCCATCGGATGTCTAGTTTCATAAAGAACCGTGCCTGTTTCAACTTGTCTACTAGTTCCTGTATTAAAGGAAGTGGGTAGCGGTTCTTGATCGTCAGCTCATTCAGCTTTCGATAATCTTGTACGGGTCTAAGACGTCTATCTTTCTTTTTGACAAAGAAGAAGGGAGAAACCCACGGAGACTTTGAAGGTCGGATTCTTCCGGTTCTGAGGTTCTCTTCTATGAACTCCCCAAGTTCTTTTTGTTTGTTTACCGAGATTGGATAAACTTTGCAACTGATTGGTTGTGCACCTGGTGTGAGTTCGATCGCATGATCCCATGGTTGTCGTTGCAGTAGAGAGTCGAAGTCTTCTTTGCTAAATACATCGGAGTAATCATGATAGTGACTTGGGACAGTATTTTCAAACGTCTTAGTCTCGTGTTTCAGACTCTCTTTAATGGCTAGATCAGTGGCCGTGGTGCAAATGTGCGCTGCTCCCATAGCAAAGTAGGTTTCGTGGTCTAGAATAAAGATTCTATCCCCTTCTTCTAGGCGAGCCTCCGGATCACTGGGCTCTTCTTGATCAGCATCAATATCAATTAACCGGGCAGCACATTTGCAGGTAATCGAGCACCGATCAAACTGAATGACTTGTTCCTGCCAATCAATAGATGGATTATGAATCTGAAGCCACTCATGTCCTAGGAAGATCGGAGTCTTTCCTAGATTGGTAACAGCAAAAAGAAGCCGTTCAACATAGTCCTGAATTTCCACCCTTAACTTGACATAGTCGGTGATTGTGCTGCCGGCATTATGCGTGCTGTCCGTGTTATAGATGGGGATCAGTGATGGCAATTTCTTTGTAGCGATGTTGTTATCACAAACAAACTGTGCATCAATTGATGATCCGGTGCATCCTGTGTCTAACAGCGCTTTGACTGATAAGCGATATTGCGTGTCCAGGGTAGTAATGATCATTGGAACGTCCATCTGTGTCCCCTTCCTTCCTCGGATAAACCAAGGTTGCTTTCATAATTTGTTCAAGAAGTCTATTGCTTCTTTTTCTTTCATTTGCCTGATTTGGTTCATACAGGCTTCGGAGGCATTAACACTCTTCTTGGAGTGTACCCATTCAGTCAGCAATCTAAGCGCCGTGGCTTCCTTGCTGATTATCCATTGGCGGATCCAGGCCACCATCCATGGGGTGTGGCGCTGCCACTGCATAGATTCTGTTTGTTTTTCTGGAGTGGAAGATAATTTTTTATTGGGGGGAATTAAGCAAAAGGGTTGAGCCTCTCTGCACCGCTCTATGGACGCCCCTTTTTCTGGTATATACATGGCTACTCCAAACCAAGAACACGGATAGTTTGTAAAATTACGTTTGGTCAACTCGGCTACGCGTCCGGCTGACCACTTGCAAAACCCTTCATGGCTGCGTGAATTTCTTCGCAGATTGCCGTCTTCCAGTCAAATGGTTCTGCCGTCGTGGCAGGAGCTTCTGTGAGTAGTGCGAGGGATGTGAAAGTATTGGAGATGGGGGTTTCCAATGTCTCTGCAACCTGCACTTGTTGGGCTTGTTGCCTATTGGGGCAATTTCATGAGAGATGGCTCTTTTGGCCACATCGGAAACAGAGACCGAGGTGTCACGCCTGATCTAACTCCATCGGCTGTCCCCTTCCTCCGAAGGTAACACCGGTCCCGTCGCGCCGTGTCTGGACTGGCGCGGTAGTAGCTGCTGGCATGGCTGTACTAGTCTGTGCTCGTGGTGCATTTTGTGCTGGTTGCTGTCAAGGCTGGAATTGCCCTTGTCATTGAGGTTGCGGGTTCCTCCTTCGGTACTGCTGTTGGTTTAGGTCGATGCGCGCGACCCTTTGCTTGTAGAGCACGTAGGTAGTTGGAAGTTCTTCCAAGGAGTTGTACAGAAGCCGGATGATATCAGCCCGAAGCGCTTTTTCTAGAAGCAACTTAAGTTCTTGGAAATGTGCCTTGAAGTCGTGAATATTTGCTTGAAAGGCACACAGTTCGAACTTCGAGAAGAACTCTTGCGCTGATAGCGCTTCCATCTGCATTGCCTGCAGCCTATCGTATGCCTCCACTTGCTCATTGATCAGGAAGTGTCTGTCTAAATCCTTCCATAGCTCGGCCGTAGTTTGGATCACGGCAGTTTCATCTGTGTCATATTTTTTCATGTAGGTGGCGACGTATTTGCCCGCGTGTCCTCCTTTCATGTAGGACAGGATCATGAGGACCCTGTCGAACTGTTCAGGTAGCCGATTCCTCTGCGTAACTACATAGAGTTTCATTTGAGTCTTCCAAGCGATATACTTGGATTTCGTGCCATCAAAGGCATCAGGTTTCATCACACTTCCGTTGATGAACGCGGCATTGTCTTGATTCTCAGCCATTGTGCCGGGATCAGATGGAGAAGACGGTGGAGTAGGGGAGTGACGATGGAACGGGCTTGGTGGTTTGGAATTTTCCACAGCTTTTTCCACGGGGTCTGGTGGACCTTCTGGTGGTACTTCGGCTTCTCCGAGGGCAATTGATTGGAGATGCTCAGTGACCGAATCGAGGGTGTCGCGTCTTCCTCTGGGTTCTGAGCCAGATGCTACTGTTTGAGGAACAGCGAGGGATTCGTTGGGTTCTCCGGTGGGAACTCTTTCTAATAATAATTCTCCGAGTAATCCTTTGTCGCACCGAGGACAGCGATTAGTATTTCTTGGGGAATGCGGACAGGGTTGTTGCGCACAATAGCGTACTGTTCCGCTATTGTTGTAGATGAGCTGTCCTTTGAGTTCTCGGTGGTTATATCCTCTACAGCCACAAGAGGGTCTAGAGGTCATATGCTACTGAGTCAGTGAAGCTTGTTTGCTGCAGCCCTGGGACCAATCATGTTGGAACGACCGGATCAGAGATAGAGTTTGCCAAAGATGGGAAAAAGATCAGTGTATATATGGAATTTCGAAGTTTTACAATTCTACGATATAGTTCAAAGTCCCAAGAGAGCAATTATGTCTCTCTCGGTCTGACGCCCGGGGTAGGGATCGCCGATACGAAGCTTTGTCTCTTTTCCGACGCCCAGCCTCAGCCGGTTGCCACGTCGTACTCAGGATATCCGTGTGCACTGCGCAACACGTTTAGCGCCAGCTATGGTAGGCCAGGGCACGAATCCAATACAAACACAACCTGGTCGAGCTCCGACGGAGCAAGGGATTACCAGGGATCAGATAGGGGAGTGGTTATGTGCAAGTGCACGGAACAGGGTTTCAGGGGTCCTAGGGTCTTGATGCGGTAGAATTCGGTAGGGTTAGGATTGGGGTGAGATTTCGGTTTGAGTAAAAGAAGTGGATCGTCGTATGGAGATGGGTGATGGTTGGTGTGAGAGTGACGAGGGTCGTTGTAGAGCAGTTGGTGGAGACTCGAGCTAATGTCAGCAACCTACAATCCAACTGGACTGGGCTACGACAAGGCTGAGGAGACAGACAAGAGGAAAGTGGGTGAGTAAAGACCAGCTCGAGTCTGGCTTGTTATTGAGCAGTACGAGCTCCTTATATACATGTCAGGCTCAATATCTAGATTATACTACGAATATACAGAGGTGTATAGAAGGTGAAAGAATACTGTGGAATCTGGGAGAACCATCTGGAATATGTAATATTCATGACAGCATGGTACTGGACGGCTATACAAGCTACGTTGATTGAGCACGCAGCGCAAAAGCGACGAGATGGTGTGCACACCGGAACCAAGATTTGTGTCATGTATGCATCTAAAGGACGCCAGTTGATGTCAAAACAAGGAGAAGAGTCGTGTTTTTTTGATGCAGGAGCCTATGGCGTCGTACCAGCCAAATTCGCGGAGCTACAGCGTATATGAGACAAAGTGTGTTGTGTCACCGCGGAGACGATGACTGAGAATGTGCCTGTGTACATGAAGGGACAGGAAGAGCCATAAATAAGGATGGGCGACATGTCCATTGTCCAGATCACTGGCGACTGGCGGCATGTCCAGAAAAAGCAGGCGTCGGCATTGAGGCACGTGAACATCCGGCGCAAATCACGTGCAGAACGGCATAATGCGGTTCACGCCCGACCTCCTTCCGCCATGACCCTTGATCCGAACCTTTGTTTGAGCCCATGTAACCACACACACCTGGTAGTTTGAAAGAGACTTGCCGTCCCTCTAGCACTACAGCCCGCCCGCGACTCTCGCATCTCTGCGCTGTGCGCTTGCAGCCATCCTGTCATCATTCATATAACCTCCTCATTTGAAAATACACGCACTCTCAGGCCAGCACGAACACCAGGTATCTGAAATCGCGCATTAACACTCAGCTCACATCACTGTTCAATCTGACTTCCAAGCTGCGGTCAGTCCGCATCTCCGTTAATAATGGTCAACATGCTGATCGTCCCTGCACAGAAACGCCGAGATGATTCATCGTTGTCCGCCGAGGGCAGCGTCTTGCATGTGTCTCCATATGCGCTGTCATGAGTAGCTATCACGCACATTGATATCAGGAAGCTGTGCAGAGGCGGGTGGGCTGAGCAGCTTGCGGACATTTCGTGTGGTCATGGCGAATGCCAGCACTGTTCTTAGGTGCGTGTAATATCACGCTGCAAATGATTATCTCTCATCCGTGATAGTTACTGCCCAACTACCAGATTCAACCGTTGCGTCGCCCTCTTGTACCATCTGTCCCGCTGTGGAGTCTGCTACATTGTAAGTTGGCCGGTTACTACTGCATCTCCTTCAAGAGCATTTGCGTACATGAACATTCGCCCAACACGGAAGCTGTCGCCCTCGTCACGTCTATAAGAACGACCAAGACACGATTATGCTCCCCAGCTGCTCTGGAAGCACTCACTCCCCGTCCCTTAACCCTGACGACTCCACCCTGCCATACCATGCTCTCTCCCATCCTCATTCTCGCTGGCGTGTTGCTGCTTGTGCACGGGGCTCCTGTACATGCGGGTAACGACCAGGTCGCGACTACTGATGCGCCCAACGCCGACGATCAGTAAGCAACATTCTATACCTCTCCTTTCAAGCCGCCGGAAGTATCATTCTGACACCACTTATCCCAGGAACAGAGCGTTTTCTACGTTTTGGAATGGCGCACCGTCGTTCAGGCCCGTTGAGAAGGCGTGCCCCGGATGCAAGTAAGTTTGTCCGAGTAGCACCAGGAGACGGCGTCGCCGGACATATATTGAAATGGCTGTTTAGGTTCAACCGCGAGCTACCGGTAGCGCGCGATGGTACTTCGCAGACTCAGACCCAGACCGGTTCGGAGTCCTTTGACTCGGCGCCGCCGCTGAATGGTGTCATCGAGGGGCTAAGAAATGGGTGCGTGCTTCATAGCGACCTCGTGTGCTACCGGGAATGCTGACGCTGAATTATACACAGAGAGACCACGTTTGAGTAGCCGGCCCGTTTGGCAAGTGAGATGGGCTGGTTGTGAGATTGGTTGGGCCTTCCGTCGTTCACCTTCGCCGCGTACCTTGTCCTGATCGCTCTGGCTCCCATCTGCTGCCATGCTCTCTAGACATGTTTGACATTGTTTGTTAATCCGTATGCTCGCTTTGGTGCTTGCGTGTATCATCCTTGAAGCTTGAAGGGTGAAAATCTGCGAAGACAAGAGCTGCTCAACTGGCGGGACTCTTGGTGAACCGTGAAAGCCGTCGGTGGGTGCCGGCATACGTCACGTTGACGACGCCACGAAGGCCAGCTCGCGAGTCCTTTTATTTCGCTTGTTCTACATCGCTGAACAGCCACCCTTTGTGCTGCTAACACCAAAATGGTGATCATGTACGCCGCGCGTTTGACACGATTGAGCATAACTGCGCCTGCGAAACCACACGTAAGCGTGGCACGACACACATCGTGCGCTCATCTTCCAACGTCATCGACCATGCATCAAACCTTGACATCAAGATCTCGGACGCTGTCATAACCCTGCATTATCACACGTTATCTCGGGGCGCCTGAACATGACGCCGCGGCAGTGCGCCCTGCGGATTCAACGTGCACAATCCTCTTCTTCGCTTCCTTGCATCGGACGGTTTCTGCTACGGTATACTGACTGGACTGGTTGTAGAGACATGCCCGGTATTCACTACGATAAATCACCTCCTCGCTCTCAGCGTCCCGCCTCAACTCGGCTCGGGGATAAGCTCTGCTTATCGCCTCGGGTTCTGGACATCAGAAGATGCGCCTGTGAGTTATCGCTCGCATCCGCGATAGAAGCAGAGCTGTACCTGTGTCTTATCGTCGCCGAACGTCTAATTCGCCTGCAGCCGCACTGCTTCGATGATGATTGACGACATGAAGCAGTGTTGCGCATTTACGCATGCTGTTCGAACCCTCATAAAGCTTGTACGTCGTGCATCCATTTCCTACTAGGCCCTTCACCTCGCCCTTCTTTTCCATCCCGCCGCCTATGCCGCTGTTGGGTTTCCATACCACCCGGGACAGAGCGATGGACGCTCAGACCCAGGTACAGTCCTCAACTCCGCGACGTTCTCACTCACGAATCGCCTCTCTGATAGAAATCCTCTGAGAGCACCTCACTCTACGGGTGGGAAGCAGTGGAACAACACTTGATGAAGCATGATATTCCCGAGATGAAGGATTATGCAGAGGATATCGATGCACTACTGGTTTTTGTGCGTCCGCCGCTACTCTATCTTGTCGTGTGTACTGAGTATAATGGCTGCGATCCCTAGGCTGGTTTGTTCTCCGCTATACTCACGGCGTTTGTCGTACAGACCTACCCGATGCTCACCGAGGACGACTCCACCACCACGAACCAGCTCCTCGCTCTGAGCGTCTCCGCCCAGCTTCGCGCGACGGGCACCATTATTCCCTCTACCGTGAACTCGACGCTTGCCTCTATCCTTGACACCGCCCCATTCGTCCCGTCTACCGCCGTGCGATCGATCAACATCCTGTTCTTCATCAGCCTGGTGCTCAGCCTCGCCGCCGCGCTGTTCGGCATCCTCGCGAAGCAGTGGCTCCGCGAGTACCTCAAGTGGAACTCCGCCCTGGCACTCCCGCGCGAGAACGTCCTCGTGCGGCAGGCGTGCATCGAGGCGTGGGAGGCGTGGCACGTCGCGGCCACGATCCTGTCCATCCCCGCTCTCCTCGAGCTCGCCATGGTCCTCTTCCTCGTCGGCGTCGTGATCCTCCTCTGGACGCTCGACGACGTCGTCGCCAAGGTCGTCACCGTGTTCGCGGCGCTGTTCCTGCTCGTCGCCTCGGCGTTCACCGTCCTCCCGATCTTCTTCGCGCGCTGCCCGTACAAGTCGCCGACCGCGTGGGCGTGCGTTGCCGCGTACCACGCCGTCAGGAAGCCGTTCGTATATTGCTTCGCGGCGGTATGGCGCCGCATTTTGTGTCTGCGTCAGTGCTGGAACGAGCTTCGTCACACGGCGCCGTTCTGGACCCGTCTGCGGGTGACCTGGGCCGCGTACGCTGCCAAGAGCTGCTCAGAGCTTGCGCATATTGGATTGCGCAACGTGCCAACTTGCTGGAGGGAGCGAGACCTGCAGAGTTGCCGGGAGGTCAAGGCGGCGATCAACGGAAGGTTGTCCGGACGAGGCGAAGTACGGCAAGCCGCCTCCCGTTGGTTCCAGTCCAAGTCTCACTTCCGGTCGCCCGGCGTGGTCGACTACGTGCTGGCCGACATCGGCGAGACTGCGCTCCTCATCCGCGCCCTGACCTGGGTGCAGCGGTCCTCGCAGGACCCGCGCGTATGGAGCTTTGTGAAACAGTGTACCGAGTCCATCCATCCCGAGACACCATCCACGGTGGCGCAATTTGACAGCAACTGCGCCAATGTGCACACGAACCTGTGCATCCTTCTTGCTATGCAGCGCGACGCGCCCCGTCTCCCTCACTCAGCCCTGGCACACGGCTCCATATTTTCGTTCTATTCACTGAAACCACTCCCCGTCGGTACGCTCGCAAGTTCCCCGCAGGAAAGCGAGATCCCTGGACAGATCCTGGTGGCTGACCTTAAACGTTTCGTGGCCCAAGGCCATACCCATTCCATTGCCACAGAGGAGCTCTCCGCGATTTTGCAACGCTTGACGGGTTGGGAAGACGATGCCGGCGGCCGTCACGAGAAATCAAGACCCGCTCTGTGGCGAGCGACGAGCGTATGGTACCAGGAAGCGTTACGGATGATGGTTCAGATTGAGTCCGGATTAAGGAGGCACCGAGGCCTCCGACTCTCGATCTTCAGAGAGGCTGTTAATCAAGGCAAGCTTGTGGTCGCGCCAAACAGGACGCTGGGTATGTGCATCTGTGTGACATACGGCGAAATGACTGATTTTTTCGATGCTCACACGCGCAGTACTTCATGACGGCGAGACCACAGCCGCGGACCATGAAGCGCTACTCCTGCAGTATTTCCCGCAAGTCATGCCCAGTGGCGACAACGAATATCTCAACATGTTCTTTATTTCCGCCGTCTCTTGGCTCCAGCTCCGAGAACCGTCGTCCGATGACGCTTCTTGTTCTGCCATCGAAGCCATTTTAGAGAAGATAATCATCGCCATCGAGAGAACTCTCGGCGAGTACCACGACCGAAGGTACCCCAACGATGTACCCCTCACACCCGATCTATTCCAATGCTTGCTCAGTGGACTGTACCATCTCGGTCGGTTCAGCCTACCGCCGCTCTGGCCCACACAATTCCTACGGCTGCTGCATACCCTCGAGAAAGCCTTCTACCAAGTACCCTTGCAATCGCAGGGCGGCAGACTTATTACCTGGAGACTGCAGAGTATGCTCCAAGCTGCGCACGTGGGGCTTACGACATGCAACGAGCCCGCCTGCAGGTGGATGTCGCATTCCTACGACGACAGTGCCGGCGCCCGCTTCACGGAAAGCCCTATTCAGAGTCCGTTCCTCGGACCTAGCGACGGCAACGCCCACGTTTACAAACCAGCCGCGTTTGCCGCATCTCCGCGCTCTACCATGTCTCCTGCTTCAACTCTCACCGTTATTGCCTCTTTCCCCGCGGAGTACCTCGAGTATCTAGAGCTCTCAGCGAGAGAAGACGGCCGCAAGGCCTCGCACGACAGCGTTCCGGGCATAGCGCCGCCGCCCGCTGTCGCGGGTGCGAACCAGAGCAGCGATGACAAGGACGCGTCCCACTACGATGGTGCGCACAAAAGCAGCGTCAGCCAGCCAGCGCCCTGCAATGGTGGCTCGCATACGAACAGCGTTGGCGAGGACGCGCTGCGCAGTGATGTTGTGCTACTGGTCGAGCCTCCTAGGAGCTCGAGTGGAGGACCTCATGCCGACGGGGTCGCCATCATTCCCGGTAGCGCCCCCGCCGCATCTGCTGTGCACGAGCCCATACTTCAAGATTTGGAAGACGAGACGATAACTCTGCGCGAGATGCAGGCACCGAAGCTTCAGAGGAGAGGAGCACGAACTCCGATAGCGCGTTCGAGGTCGGCGGAGACACGAGGGAAGTCAGGATAACGCTATTTGAAAGCTTCGTTCGGCTAGGACGACGCAGGACATATCCCGCAGCAGGGGAGCGGGCAAGTACGAATGTGGCTCTGTACGCAGCTGGTTGAGTCGTGCGCATGAACACGAGACCTAACGTTGCGACGTTAGGTCTGTACAGCTGTAATGACAGCCTGTCTGGCAGATAGTGGCGAGGAGTGAGTGTACATGCTACTGGACGTGCTGAGCCGCGCCTTGAGCTAGACCGACACAGTTGGGTAAATGCAGACAATAGAGCCAGCAGCGGAGCCTTAGATTGATGGCCGTTTGATCCGATCTCATACGCTACCCGCGACCCTCCTCTTGCTATAACCTCTCGAGTTTCGAATACTCCAAGTGTTTTGACTTTTAACGTTCGCTGTGCAATTGCTCGCAGGCACTCCACCTCATCACTACATAATCCGTAGTCGCGTCGCGCCTTGCTCCGCTTCGTATGCTTCGCTACCCTGGAGGTCAACATAAGCGAGAACCACACTCAAATGCACCACACGCCACATTCCAGCAATGCAGCGTCGACCTGTGACGGCATGAACGCATAATACCTGGCTGGGGCGGAGGCTGGAGTTATGAAGTCCTAGAGCCCGGCAGTTTAACGACAACTCGTCGGTGCTTAGGAGCGATGGAGCGATGGAAAGGTTACGCCTGGGATGGGCTACTGGACAGTAGTACGTGGCACCTTTCATCTGTCTGAAGCCGATACTTCTTATAGTCCGCAGGACACTGTTACGGCAGACGGCTGTGACCGCTCACAGTCCTCCGTCTCTGCCCTCCCGCATGTATGGATTTCTGCACACGCCTCGGAGATTTCTTAAATAACCTTGCCTCTTGTCATTGCTCTTCTGCTTGCGTACGCATACCATGTTCAATACGGCGACACGCCTTCCCGTGCAACATCGCCGTTTTGAACCTCTCACCTGCTCGCCCTGCTCATTCCCAAGGCCGCATGCATCCTCTTCGCCTTGCATCCGGCGACGGAACATCCATTCCCACTGGGTAGGAGTCCTGCTGCCTGCGGCAGGATGACAAAGCGATGAAAACGCATCGTGCAAGCCAGATACGCGAAGTTTCGAGAATACTCGCAAGCCAAACTTCTGTGGTCGGAGGACCTGGAGCTGACGACCGTGGATTCAAGGCCATGAATACGAACCTGGTCCCCTCACGTCATGCCGCACCACGGTCGTCTTTCGTGAGAGTTGTAACCTTCAAGAGCGACGATGTGTCTCTTGCCGCGATCGTAGCGTATAAACGACGATCAATGCCCTCCTAGTAGCTTAAAAATAAACTTCTTTGGCAGACGCAGTTGTGTATCGATTGGTAGTATGGCTGGACGAAGTGAAGCGGAGCCCGTTATCAACGCTTGACTCTACAGTACTGCATATCCTTCCATGCGCAGGGCTATCGAAACTGACGTCGACCGAGAGCTCACTCCTCGTTCACGATGATGACGCTCTTCCCGTGGTTCTTGCCCTGCTGCACGTCGGAGATGGCGTGGCCCGCCCACTCGAGGCCGCGCTTGGCATCCTCAATGTACTTGATCTCGCCGCGGGCAACCATCCCGGGCACTTCGCGGTAGAACTCGTCGCGGTACTTGGGCAAGAGCTGCATGACGAGGACGCCGTGAAGGTGCAGCGCGTTCCGGACGATGGCCATCAGGTTCATGAGCGTGTACGGCGTCGCGTTGTACTGCGAGATCATGCCGCATTCCTGTGCTCGAGGTCAACGTATGCGGGCAGGGGGATGGAGAGGGGAGGGGACGTACGAGGAAGCGGGCGCCGTTCGCGGCGTTGGCAAGTGCTGCGTCGAGGCTCTCTCCGCCGACATTGTCCCAGTATCTGGGGGACCGCGGTGCTTCAGCCTTCAATCTGGCACGGGGCTGCTGTCTCAACTCACATGTTTATTGGCCCCTCCCTGTGCAACACCTCCGAGGTGCTCGTGGTCTTGTAGTTGAACGCGACGTCGGCCCCGATGCTCTTGACGAAGGCGACCTTCTCGTCTGTGCCTGCAGACGCGATGACCTTCAGTCCTTGCAGCTTGGCAAGCTGGACGACGAACGCTCCGACGGGCCCTGTGCACACGTCAGGATGCGGTCCCGAAAGGATTCAGTGGGGGACACTTACCAGAGGCAGCGGTGACAAACACGACGTCGCCCTTCTCCGGTGCCGCGTACTCCTTCCAGCCTGTCCACGCGGTTTGGCCTGGCATGCCGATCGCGCCGACATACGCAGCCCACGGCAGCTTCTCCTCGTTTTTCAACAGGAGCAGCTGGTCGACATTGGGTAAGACGGCGTAGTCTTGAAATGCTAAAGACGGGCTTTAGTTCCAGCAAAGAGAGGGGCTGGGAGCGCTCGACGTACGGTACGTGCCGTATAGATGATCTCCTGGTTTTGCCTTGGCGTTTTCAGAGCGAAGAACGACGCCAACACCAAAGTTCGCAATTCTGGGACGCGTTTAGTCAGATCGTTCGTGTACCTGGCTACGATGCACATACGGCTCCCCCAGCGCGAACGTGGCCTGTGAAACGTTCAGGTCAGGCTCGCCCGAAACGCATGAACTGATTGCGAGGGATACACACACTGTAGCTCTTGTTTGAGGGATCTGGTTTGCGCATCTTGCCTCGCAAGTACGGATCTATGCTGATGACCAGGATCTTGACGAGCACACCGCCGTTGAGGGACACGCCGTCGAGATCGATGGTCTGGGATTCATCGTAGACGGTAGTCTTTCCCGGTTCGGGATAACCTATGCGCACTATATGTCGGCGAAAGAGTTATGGGCCTACATGGTACCACGCACCGGTCGGGACGTCATTGAAAAGAAGGCGGCCGTTCTTGATTGGAGCCATTGAGGAAGTGGTATGGGAGCTAGCGCTGATGCAGATGACCGACGTGGGCCGAGTCTGTGGATGTTATATAGCTCCCCGTCTGAGACACTCCAAAAATGCGTTTCGATCTCGGCCCGGGAGTGCGTATCTCCCGCAGGCCGAAGAGCATTCAAGAGCTCCATGCCCAGCATCTATGGCGGTTGCACCGTGGGATGCAATCTTTGTCATCACCGAGGATAATTCATTAAAACTCGGGGCAACGTTTGGTCAATGCGACTGAGTCGATGGCGTGCTGCAAGATTTGTAAGCGACCGTCTCGGGCGGTAATCTGGTGCACGCCACAAAGGCCGCCGGCAACTTCGTTCGGCATTCAGGCTAGGGACGTCTATCACTCTCATTTTTTGCACGTGTGCGGAGTTAGCATGCTGTCGTCGTACGAAGCGTATGATTCGTGTTGGGCAACGCTGTTAGAGGCTGTAATGATAGTGCACTCAGGGAGCAGGCGTTACTAAGCGGGCAGGAAGCTGTTCGTCAACTTTTACTTTGGTTCCGCTTCGTCAGCCCTTGCCGTCACACACGTCACCCTGATTTGCCTTCACCTGAACACGAGATTTCATCGTGCATCGCACATCTACGTCGTAAACAATCCAGGGAGTCGTGTTCCCAGTCTACGTGACGAAGCTTTAAGTTTCGATTCAGCTGGCACGCGAGCCAGTTATGGTAGTCGCGCTCGTCATGCATTGTATCGCGCGAGTACACAAATGAAAGTCTGAAGAGGCTCATCTACAGAGCGGCTTTCAATGCGGCTGCCGGTGGGAATGCATCCTTTGTGATCTTACTAAGCTCATATGCAAAAATGTCGCGCAATGTATGCCTAGAGCGCGTGCACTAACTCGTGATACTTTGCAGGGCGCAACTCTTGGGGCGGCGAACGACAAAATGGATTGCGTGAACATTGCTGCGTATGTTCAGACCCGACGCGACCAGGGGCTAATCGTGCGATTTCCATGTCCATGTCGTCGGTAACCCAGTGATCATGCACACCCAGCCACCTACGACGGTAGCAGCAGCTGGCAGTATGGCACAGACAAAGTCGTCCGCAGTCGCTATACCGAGCTCGGGTAGGCGCAGTGAGTTTGAGCCCTCGACGAACGTGACCAGCGATACGGCCGTACCCCAAGCCCGAAAGCCGCGGAGAACAAGCATGCCTGGCATAATGAACGTCTTCGTTGGCTTGGGCCCTTGAACAGTGCTAAATTATTCCCACCAGAGCACTACGTGAGCCAGTCCTTAGAGCATGATATTGGATAACTAGTTAAATCTCCATATGGACGTTCAGCTCACTCGGCGCACACTACATTGCCCTGTCACTGCTCCTACTGGTTCAACTTTAGTGCCTCGATAGCGAGCCCCCTCTTCAACGCGAGGGCTTCCTGCTCATTCAAGAACGTCGGCACCTCAGTGTCTAACCACGCTGCGCCCTCCTCCATCGTCACATAGGGGTAATCGACCGAGTACAAAATGCGCTCCAGTCCAATCTGCTGCGCATGGAACTTGACGAGGTCCGTAGCGAAGTTACCCGAGGTCGTCTCGAGAATGTTATTCTGGAAGTAGAAGGTCACATTCTTCTGCATCGGCATCCCTGCGACGACCTGGCGGGCGAGCTCTGTGGAGATGAGGAATCAGGGGTGAAGAGAACGGAGGAGGGCTGCATGACCTACGGTCGTTTATGCGTACGAGGTCAGACGGAATGCGTTCGCCAAGGTGCCCAGAGATGACTGTCAAGTTCGGAAAACGGCTGTATGAACAACGCATCAGACTTGCGTTTACACAAGGATACCGTGATGAACGCACTCAAATACGCCATTTGTACAGAGCCCCAGAATGTGAGTCGACAGCGTGGACGCAAATTCCTGGGCAGGACCGATCAGGAACGGCGCGTGAGCGAACAGGAGCGTCGACACGGGCGGTGGGTTCACGCGAGGGTGCAGGTAGACTGGGACGTCGAGGTCCACGACAGTCTGCCAGAACACGTCGTACTGCGGCTGGTCATAAAATAGGAAAGTCTCTGCGAGCTGCGTCGTCAGCTCAGGGACTGGCCACGGAGAAGAGGAGCTCACGGTTGTCGGCGGTGCCCGCTTGTTGGTAATCGTTGATTAGCGCCCCGAGAAAACCGAGCTCCTTCACGGTGCGCGTGAGCTCCTGGGCGGCGACGGCAGGGTCGTGCATGGCGAGTGCGGCAAAAGCGCCGAAGCGGAGGGTGTTGTTTGAGATCTGGCGAGCGAGCTCGTCATTAATTGACGTAGCCGTGGTGGAGGCATTCGTTGGATCCTGGATGCCTTGAATGCAAGGTGACGCGCAGGACAGAACCATCTGTGGAGTTTCAGGTTTATGATGCAGAGACATGGTGAACAAGAGGTACGAAGTCAATTCCCGTTGCATCCATGTGAGCCAAACGTTGATTATGTACGTCCAGCAGGTTGGCTTCGAGTTCCGCATTCGTTTGACCTAAGAATTATCGCTATGTCAGGCAAAACGTGGAAGCTAGCACTTTGTGCGCACCAACGGGCGGGACAGTTTGACTAAAGTAGAGGTTCAGCTACTCAACTGGAGTAGCCAAGGGGGATTTCACATACTCAGCTTGATGTATCAGCTCGGGTACTGACCATGCCTCCTCAAAAGCAATAGCTCCAACTCCAGTATTGTTCCACACCCGCCCGTAGACCGCATAAGAGACGAAAAGGCTGGAGAGTAGCAGTATACCGACGTGCGCCATATTCAAGGCGGGACCCGCAGTACCCAGATAGCGACGAGTACACGCCGGCTATTTATGAGCCGTCTTCTGTCGAGATTGACAGCGGGCATATGAATTGCTGGCACAGAGAATCCCGCGCGTCAGCATGATCTGCGCCGACTCCAGTGACGATGGTACGAATAAAGGTCTATATACTCACCACCAGTCCTGATGGCCGAGCCGAAGATTACGGCAGGTTATAATTGGCGGAGAAGCCATGAGAACGGCACAGGAAGCGGGTCACAGGGATCCCTCGCATACGCTATTGTGCGCGTACGGGAATCCGGATACCCCTCAAGCGACACGAAGCCATCTCGAACGCGGGTACCCGGGCTGAACGAAATGGCTGCAGGTGGAATCTACGCCGGGTAGTGTGTTAAATACACCACATCATAGAGCAGATGAGTAATATATAACTACCACGAATGCGAGACTCGATGATGTGCCCTTCATGACAAGCAGTGAGAGAATCAAAGGATGACTCGGACACGGTTGAATTTCAGAGATGCAGAAGTCGCTCGGGAGCTTTGAGCAGAGCTGAGCACTCAAACATCTGCGCAATTCCTACAATTCAGTCGAAGAAATGCGGCTGCTATGGTGATGCTAAACTTACCCAAGAGTGGCCGCAGTGTACCGTGATTGTTAGAATCGAAGGTTTCGTGGGAATGCCGGCGCCGATGCCTGCTAAATCGGGTAGTCCCGCTTCTCATAAGCGCCAATTCCCGCTCCTTTCCGTTTGAGCAAACCCGCCACGCAGGGCGTTGCATTACAGATTCCTCTACGTGACTATAATTCGACAGCATAGCTAGAAAAAATTTCGAGATTCTTTCAGCGTGCCAGATCCTGTTCGGACTTAAGACACTAAGCCTAAGAACCCGGCAGTCTGACGGTCATACTGTCCCCTGGCAAGCACAGGCCCATGTGCATAGCGAACGCGTCGTACGGGCACGCGGCACAAGAATTGAGCTCTGTTTCTTAGTATACTAACCTTGGCGGGAATAGCAAAGACACTTGTACAATGTGTTATAAGTGCAGAGTTTGTGTGCTATGACGACATATCTCAGTCTGCGCTTCCCACGAGGAGTCTCTGTCCGATCCTGTTCACGATATCTCGCGCTCGAAAGAGCAAAGATATCTCGTATGCCTGGGCTATTCTGTGCATGAGAAAACGTTGATATTTTTTTGTAGACTTCTTGCGCGGAAGAGGCTGATCAGACGCCCTTACAGCTATAAAATGCCTGGAGAGAAAGCTCTTCTACAAGTATACTCATCGCCGACTGAACCACTTGTGTGCAATTCATCGTCAGCATACACGGCATCATGCAAATATTGGTTGCTGGGCGTGTTGATCGGCCGCGCCCTGCTTTGTTGCCGTTCATTGTCGCCGTTTCCGAGTTCCTCAGGAGACGGTATCGAAGCATACTCGCGATCATCGTCCTCTTCTCTGACGCATCATCGCTGGGTATGGTGCAGGATATCGTAATATTATGTGGGTAAGACCGGTCCTTCGACAGCATTGCGGAATCGGCATAGTTGTCGGCCAAGCGTCCTGTGTTGGTGAGGCTATCGGTAAGAGAGAAGGTGTCAGGAGTGGCATCGGTAGGCCTTCGTGCGCAACCGCAAGGCCGGTTATTGAATAGTCTCTGGGGAGGCTGTTCCACTACTATCGTGCGCGAAGGATAACATATAATGTGCACAGGCTCACCTTTACTAGGTCTAAGCGAACGAAAAGTCGGCGATAGACGATCTTCATATATTGTACTATAAGCACATTCGACAGTCTCGATATTCCTAACTGTGTGCATAGCAGGACAAGTCACCCCTAAAGGGGTAAGTTGCAATTCTCCGCCAACAGGCGAGCCACCCTCTCTGGTTCGTTCCAATGAACCTACACGTGGATCAGCAAACTTGGCCCCACTGAGTAAAGGGGACTCACGAAGTGGTTCGCATTCTGCAGCCTCAGGAAAGCAGTTTTTCGCTTCTTCTTACCTGGGTCGGCCGCCTCGCTAGCTAAGTCTTGGAACATTTTGGCTCCCCAGGTACTAGTCCACGGAGTATGGTCGCAGTAAAGACAGAGGATGTCGACCCCGGGCAAGACTGCATCCGCATCAGAGAATGTGCGGTGTGCATGTGCGCGGTGGATCGCCTCGTTCGTCATCAAAATCAAACCGAGTCCGCGTCCACTAAACCCAGGTTCGACAATGCGCTTGTAATCCTCTGGGGACAGGGCACGGAGCGTCGGCGTGCCCGGAAGGACTGCATGATGCTCGCGCAATGATTCGGCTGTGATGGGGACTCCTTCTGGCACAGGAGAGAAGGATGAAGATACCCAGTCGATGATTGCATCCGGGATCCGTTCGGGTGGGATTGTGGGATCGGTGACAGGCCAGGGGATGCCCAGGTCAGGTGTTTCGCCAAATACAACTGACGGTGGATCTGTGGGAATAAAGATGAGCGTTGAGCGCTGAGCGTTCGACCGCGTGGGCATAAGGACTCTGCTGCGCACCATGAAGGATGACCTTGCGCAGGTAAGGAGCCAGCGTAGCCGTCAGATCGCTTCCCATTGTCCGAGGATCTCCTAGCATGGATAGAGCTGCAATGCCACTTGCGGACCATGCGACTAGCACTAGTCCGCCCTGCTTCTTGGCTCCCTCGCCTGAAATGACAGGGACGTTCAATGCCCGACAGACGTATGCGAGAAATTGGGCCATCTCTAATCCTGATCTGCGCACTGCATGCGCTTGGACCTCCCCGTCGGGGCTCGTTATTTGTGCCAGCTCTTCTTTTGTGTGCGGAGAAGACCCGGCGTAGTCACGCTCGTTAAGCGAGATCATGCGCAGACCGTATTTGGAGGCATACGGTCCCATGCGATCCCACATAGCTACATATGTGACGAATATGGAGCGTCAGAGATCTCCCGTTAAACCCGCCATTACACGCACATGAGTTGATCATTGCACCATGCGTGCAAACGAGAGTGGTATACGTCGAGGAGCCATCCGGCGCGCCAGTGTCCTGGTAGCAGATAGATATTCCCTCGTCGTCGATTTGTGCGAAGGGCATGTTCGGAGGGCTATGTGGGAGGCCCATTGCTTTGCTCTATCTCCTTAAGCTTATCTGAAGAACCCATGCGTGCCGTTCGTACGGCTTCGAAGTGGTGTTCCAGATCCTACATGAAACTGTCTGCTGTTCAAAACGGAACAGAAGACAAAATCAGCGATCATCTCGCTACGGGCGCGGGTTTCAAACCAATGTTGAATCTCCCGCACTGCCGGATGCGAGCCACGTCTGTGGCCATGGATATTTTGAAGAGTTTTCATGCGCGACAGGCATTCGCCAGTACCCAACGGTTAACTCCGAGTTGAGTAAATAGAACTTAGAGAAGTGGCCGCGAGAGACTGGGTACGAAGGGGGGTTAGGGCTGTTGGTGTTGAAACCCTGAGAGCCACAATGGTCTTCACTTGGAGCACATTGCCGCGACTCTAGGAAAGGTATAGATGCCGTATATTATTATTGAAACCAACAAGTCACCCACATGCTAGTAATCTTCGTAATAATAGCGTGCACGCTCCAGAACTTCATCTCGCCAGCATCGGACGGCAATGAGTGGATGATCACTTTTCTGTTTCAACGCCTGAGCCGTGCTTATGGTCACGTGCCCACGGCGCGCGGCATCGCGCTTAGGCAGATTACGCGGCCCCGGAACTCGGGGAGAGCAGATGCCAATGCGCGCCACACAAATACTCAGATTGAAGCCGTATGACCGTAAGCTTAATGGTAGGTCATCCCAGCTACGATTTTGCATAGACAGCCCGCCAGCTTGTAGCTTGAAGTTTGAATTTGAACTGTTGAAGCTCTCTTCCGTTTGCCGTGGCTGAAGCTCGCGATGTTGACCTGCGATACGAGAGATGCGGGAAGAAGTATACAAAACAGAGATACAAAGCAAAAAAAACGAGCGCCATGCAGTCGATCCAAGAAACGCGAGAGTTGATCAATATGAAGTAGAAGCGGTGGGTAAATATACGAGATTATTCAGGGAAAGCGAACATCCATCATGGTCCAGGGTCATGAAGAGACCACTCCAGACGGCGCCGCTTGTATCTGGCTGAGCAGCGCCTCGCACTCGTCCTTCATCGTGCGCGCGATTGTCTTGCACTCGTCGTAGACTTCGGATTCTGGTACGTCGATCTCGAGGACACGCTGTAGCAGGATGCAAAGACTCGACATCTGAGATAGGATTGATCAGCACAATGCTCTTGAGAGCGGCGGATAGAGAAAGGAACGCACATCCTGGATGCTCGGCATCACGACTTCAGCGTGTGCACCATGCTTGCGCTCCAGGTGCGTTGAGCGATCGGCGTGCTGCAACGTTTGTAGAAAACGTGGAAGATAGCCCTGAATGCCCTGTAAGTGCTGGTACCACGCGGTAGAGGATGACGTACTGGAAGTCGTGCGGGCTCGCCTTCGGAACGCCTTACGTCGCACGCCTGGGCGATAAGTAAGACCTGCACGCCGCGCACCAGTATAGGCAGGAGCGTCCCGTACCGCTGAGCTATGACGTCGACAGTCAGCGCGAGGCATTACTGGAGACGTCAGAGCGAGACATACCAACGTCGACCTTTGCGAGAGTATTCCACGCATATCGGACAAGCATCGGCCGCGCCGTGATCGGGGTGAGGGCTGCCTTGTGACAAGTATCGTTCGCAAACTTCACCGCGTCGTACCATAGCGTCTGGGCATGCGCAAATTGTGAGTCGCCAACCGTCAAGGCCTTGGCGTTGCAAGTCCGCGGCACGCGCTCGATTTGCCGCAGCGACGTCTTGGCAAAGATATACACAGCAAGTGTCGGGGAGGAGCGAGCAACGGACTCGAGCTCTGCCACAATCGCACCGGTAGTGGATCCAGTGAGGACATAGTCGCGCACGATAGCTAGGCGTGACCATGGGCTAGTTTGCAGTCTGCAGCTAACGTCAGGTATGCTTCCAACCACCATTCAGTAAGTGACGCACCTATCCCCAGACTCATCGAGCGGTATCCCCAGATGCTTTGACAATATTTCCAGCGTCACCTGGCGGAATTGGTACGACACCAGGAGGAGAGGGACGATGGGTCGAGCGACGACACCGTTCGTGGTCTGTGGCTATTTCAACATCACACCTCGCAGGCTACAAGATGTAGCTGCAGCACCTCTTCATCGCTATCTTCCTCTTCTGTACACGAGGCCTTGAGGCCGACCATCTCGTCGATGTAGGTCGCGACGTAGAATGCCAACACCAAGTGTAGAACTTCGACAGGTAATCTCGTCATATCCGATGTGGCACTGCGTATGTTCAGAATTAACCTGGCAAGAAGATAATATAAGAATCACCTGCGATATGTTCTCGATGTCTATCCTGTATCCTGCTTCAAGGGCGTTCGGGTGGGGATGAGAGTTGTGAGAGAGTGTGAGAGCCATGAGAGTCTTGGCCTGGGAGGAGTAGGGCAAGTGTGGAGCTTTGACGCGCCTTCGGTGATTGCCGTATGGTGTGCATATGCATTTGGAAGGTATTGACGATCCATCTCGTATCAAAGCCCGGGCATCATTTGAATGCGAGAGTTGTTGAAAGGATCCGTACAGAGGACAGCGCAGTCCTGTCGGTATTGAAAGCGCTTCATAGGCTGAAACGGACGAGCATGAGTGGCGTCGTCGCGACTCAAGCAACTCGTTTTGCATCTTCTAATCTTCGCCATTCGATTCTAACCGGTACGTCTCCTCTTTGACGACTTCAAGCCAACAGAAATGTCGAGTCCGAGGTATAGAAACGCGTTTAGTGTCAGGATCGACGTATATAATCAGATTTACGTACCTCGCAGCAGATTAGACTCGAGCACACGCTGTGCTCGGTTAGTTATCACTGCATGACGATAGAGGAAGGTTCAGCGTAGATTGAAAACTAGTTTGTGATTGAGTGTAGGGCTCTCGCATTGAAGTAAGGGCTGGAAATCGAGATGGCAAAGTCGAACAGGTGGCGATACAGTGGGTTATCATGAGTCGAATTACACGCACTGGCCTGCTGCTGAGAAGAAGATCGCTCCGCGATAGTGACTTCACGTGGCTGAAGGCTGCATACAGACATTAAATTGAGAGAAAGCTATGACAATAATGATAGCAAGCAGACTTGGGAGAATTGAGATAATGAGGTTCCGCAGAGCCAAGACGTGCATGGTAGTGGTCGAACTAATGTGCGGACATAGGAGAACTGGTAGGCTGGTTGAATGAGCCAAGTGTGCACATAAGCCAGAAAGAAGAGAAAAGATACTATTTGCGGTCAAACTCGCCCGCGAATTTTTGACGACGCGACAAGCATGCGCGGGAGCGAGGTGAGTTTCATGTTATTCGTTGCAACAATGTCTCGCTAGGCACTGTCAAACATTCAACTTCAAACAGTAGTACAGTCGTTGTGATGTGCTGCTTTCCGCTGCTACACATATTTGTGGGCGAAAGCAGTGTGATGCGATGGGCTTTCAAATTTCAAGTAGCGTCCGGAAGAGCAGCTGACAGAACATGAGAGGTCCAGACAGCTGTGTAGGAAGACGAGCTACGATTCAGCAAGCATAGCATGTCATGTGTTTGCGGGCATTAATCATAAGGATAGCTTGGCTAGGTCGAGATTTATGAGTGGAAAGAAACGCATGCCGTGCGTTGTCGGTTATCTCGGACGTCGCAACAAGCGCGCGTCGTCCGGATCAAACACGCACGTGACAGTGGCATATTTACGTCAGTGCCCGGTCTGCAGGATTCTACCACCAGGCCTGATCAGTAACGCTTCTTTCGCCGAGGCGAGCGATGCAGGCGCACTAGGTCTTCTGACATCCAGGACCTGAGGCGATGAGCACTCTCCGTCCCGCTCTTCCTTCCGAGGTTATCCACGCCATAGTCTCGACGACGATTGCTCGTTACGTTGATGATCTCATTTTCGGGTCTTTGTCTACAGCCAACACGGAGACAGAGCCCATAGATCAGGTTGGGCTTTGAGCACGGTGTGTCTACCGTTCTGACTGACCGAGGCTTCCCAGACCTCGAATCCCGTGACGTCCTTGCTGGCCGTCTCGTACCAGTTTCGTCAAGTCACCCTGAATGTCCTGTCCAAGGCATTCGCTCTCCCCTTATGCAAGGAAGGCTTATGGCGGTACGCTCTCTAACTGTAGCCCCATCTCCTTTTCCACAGGTCTGATGGAAAGGACATTTTTGCTAGGTTAGAACAAAAGCCTTGGACGAAGATCAAGTCCGTTCGACGGTCCTGGACATGGGGTCCCACTCCCGAGTCCCACAGATCGCAGCTAGCGGAGCTGCTTGGACGCATGGGAACTCCAGAATCTCCTGTTTTGTGCGTATACCTGGCCATTCACGCTATCAACCAGCTGGCCCTTCATCAAGATCTCCGATCCCCTGCGCTGCGAGGCGGGCATTTTGGTGTTATCGGCATCTTGCTACTCTTCAGATCAGAACTCAATCATCAATATGCCAAGTGTCCTCCGGCTTTCCAAGAGGTGCTATTCCCGCGACTGGAAGCCTGCTCCCTTAGGAACGACATCTGTGCGCCTTGCAATATTAATCTCTCTTTCAAGCATGTACTGACCCGCTTTGTTAGCTAGGTTCTACGAAGCGTCCGTAAAATGGATAGCGAATACCTGGAACAGATTGAAGCAATATGCTCCCTACGTCGTCGCCAACGAAGCCACGGTCGAGCTACTAGAGCTCTTCGATGTACGTTTCTCCCTTTGACATCTCACACACCGGCTGGCATGACTGAGCACAATGAAGTCAATCCTTCGAGATGCTACTGTGATGGTATTCAAGGTGCAGGATATAGATAAGCTACTGCTGCGCTCTTGGTCTTATTCCATCCCTGCGGATACTGCTATTGGAGTAGAACGGGTAAGTCGAGTTCTGCACGCGCCCTTCTAGTGCTGATACGTCTTCTAGTTGACTACCTGGCATGCCCTATTCGATGAGATCGCCAATTGGGATGGCCCTGGCGCAAGTCTGCCAGCGCTTCAAGGGGCGGCAAAGGAGCTGCGGGACAATTACCGAGTACGACTCGATGGCCTTGGGGCGCCTCAGGCCTCGCACCCTGATGCGCAGGCCATCGATGCCGCGAATCAGTAGTGTACGCGACGCGCACCGTTAGTCATAGGTCGTGTATCACTATCGAAGGTCGTTATGTGGGAAATCGCCTGGTTGTCTTGGTCCCTCACGTTCCAAATACTTGTATCTACTTATCTGCTTTGTAGCCTCGCAAAAAGGAGCCTTTCAAGCGATATTTTGTTGTGATCAGCATCTGATCTTGCTTGTCCCAATGCGACAAGCCGTGTTCAATGTACCTCCCATGTTTTTTTCTGTTCTAGTCGCGGTTTCGCAAGCGAACGCTTCATGTGTTGCTTTACGTCACGTTCCGAGCCCGTCTCAGTAGTTGGATTTCCTCTGATGCAGGTCGACGCGCGGAATGAGGCTGCGCGCCATCCTTTGGCGAGTCGATCGGTATTGACAAAACGCGTCGAGCGGTGTCACCTCTGCGTCGTAATGCTAACTAACTATGCTCTATTTTGCGAGAAGTGGTGTACAATCGGCAGCTAGGGGTTCTTATTTCACGCGTATGATCTTCGAATATCGCTGCATGGCTTTTTAGTAGAATTAATGTACTTCCATAGTCGGATGTCAACAAGGCACCCACAACGACCCATGCGCTCGCGTCATCATCATCGCACCCACAAATGACAACTCTACACATATAATCTATTACTGTATGTGTCGGTGGAATATACATGCTCGCGCCCAGCCCGCATCGTCAGCCCCAGGATCTCCGCCGTCCAGGCGCAACCTGCACTGCCTCGGGTCTCGTCAGCTGCTCCATCGACCTTGCGTCCCGCACCATTGCTATTGCATGACGTCGAGCCTCGTGCTCAGTAGCCGGAAGCGAAGAGCGCAAACTCCGGTATCCGGGCGTGTCGATCACTGGCGCCAGAAAACCTTCAAGTTCGTGAGCCGTTGTGCGATATGGAGCAGCGTGGGTAAGCCCTTGTGGTGGATCGGATGAAATGGCTAGGTTGGGCGACAATGACGACAGCCGTAGTTCTGAGCCAGACGGCGACTCCCGATCACGGGCTCCCGCGGCGGAGGCGGGTTTGGCGCTCTTCGCGAGCAGATCGCACTTGACATGGTGGTAGCCTTCGTGACGGTACGGATTGCTGTGCCCAGTCCAGGGGCAGGCATCTACCTCGCATGTATACTCATATTCTGAGTTCTTGTGTGACGCATCGAGCATGTTGTGTAAACATTCCCGAATCAAATTCTGGTCGCCACGGAGCTTGCCCAGCTTGTACGCCTTCGCGAGCGCGTGCAAGAGTTGCCTGTAGAGTGCGCCATATCGCGATTTCAGCGTCTCGCTCTTCCAATCAAGCTGCAAGATCCACCGCCGATGGCCAGCTCCGACCTCAAGGCTGCCGCCGCCCTGCGAGACACCTACTACGCTATCAAGCGGTGCCAAAGCGGACTCCCTGGACAACGCGTCTGCCGCTCTGACCATCTTCTCCAGCACATCGACCACAATGTTACGAGATGCCAGCTGTATGTCACAGAGGTCGAGCCACACTGTTGCCGTAGCGATTAACATCTCGATGAGGTCTTGATCACCATGCGTGAACTCGGATGGGAAGTAGTTCACCAGGAGCATCTCGCAGTCAGCAACTGAATTGAACCCTTGCTCGAGCACTGGTGAAAAACGTCTGATGTGTTAATAAATGCTCGCTATAGATTGGGAGTGTATTTACCGAGGCGTCTGTCGGCTGGAGGTGGCGCAATTTTGCAGTCCTGCAGGGCAGCCACGTATGCCCTATGCAGCGATGCGGAGGTACTATAGTGCTTGGAGTGATCAAGGGTAAGCTGGAGAAGAAGTCGCCGTACTTCGGAGGCCGGTTTTGGCGATAACGGTTCATATCGATATTCGTGAGCGGCTGCACGAAGGAGGAAATCCAAGGCATGCTGGTGTGGATGTTGATCCTCTTCACGGCATTGCTCGACGTACGTGATGACATGAAAGTTCTGCGACGACCTTGCCACCCAAGACAATGCTTGTAGGAGTAGGATGGTCTCCTTCACTTCGACGGTCAATCCGTCCACGGCAGCCTTTTGCTCCGAGCGGTGAGAAGCGTGGGCCAAAAGAGTTCCCTCTACCGCGGTGCGCATGATTCCAGACTTGAGCTGTCGGAACCCAAAGCGCGGCAACATACTTCTGCAGCCGTCGAGGTCGACGTCGCGCCAGCTGAGCGGAAGTTGCCTCCATACAACAGGTTCTTGCTGCTCCAGCTCATCGTCAAGCATACCGATGAACACTACCAGAACGAAGTTTATAGGTATAACAAAGACGTAGCACCAGACGGGAATGCCAGTCCAGCTTTCTGGTAGAGAGCATTAGGCTACGAAAACTAGTATGCTAGACACTAGTATAACTTACCCTGAATAAACCTGCGCCATCGACGACCTATTAGGGTCTCTCTGATCCGTTTTAACCAGAATGGCATCGAATGGGACGTGACTCTATAAGCCGCCATGACCGCCCACGCCGTCGGTAACTTGTACGGGCATCGGCGAGAGAACACGGGCAGGACAGTGAACACGGCGACCACGAGAAGGAACATCGCCGTGAAGGCTGTCAAACAGATCGCAACAACGTCATCTAGCGTCCAGAGAAGGATGATCATGCCGACAAGGAAGAGGATCATCGCGACCTCGAGCAGCGCTGGCACTGTTGAAACGACCGCCGAGACGTTCCAAGCCTCCCACGCCTCGAACCGGAACTGCCGCACCATGACGTTCTCCTGCGGGGTCGCAAGAGGCGAATTCCATTGCATGTACTCGCGCACCCACTGCTTGACCAGGATGCCGAGTAGAGCCGCAGCAAGACTGAGGACGAGACTGGTGAAGAGCAGAGTGTTGATCCACCGTGCAGCAGTCGAGGGCTGGAACGGCGGCAGATCATTGGGGGTTATCAGCTGAGGAGGGGAAAACGGGGATCCGATGAGGGCGGCGGAGAATCCTTGGACGAAGATTTGATTGTTTTGAGCGAGTATCTGGTTGTTCGTAGCAAGGAGTTGGTTCGTAAGATCGGCGCTGGATGGCTGGAGCATCTGATATGTCTGGACGACGAATGCGGTGAGGATTGCAGAGAATAGACCGGCCTATGCGGGTGCCAGATTGACCAAACATAAAAATGCGGACAGAAGACGCACGAAGACGAGGAGAGTGTCGATATCTTCAGAATATCCTTTCATTTTCCCTTCGTCGTCCTTCGCGACAGTGTCCTCTATTCCGGCCCAGCCAGAAAGGCCTGACGCTTCCTGAAGCAGACGGATGAGAGCGTGAGTTACTGACATGAGAGCTGGGTAACATGCATACCCTAGAATGCGAACCCTCTGCCCGCTTCCCACCTGATAAAATCGCCATGCAGGAGTATTCTTGAGGATGACAGTAACTACGGACGGTGTTTAGGTAGAGTGAAGAGTTGGGCGATAGGCTCGAGAGGCAGACTATCGGACTGGGACGAGGAGAGCGAGAGAAATCAGATCGAGTAGCTGGGAGTTCCCGTTGCAGAACGCACATACTGGTATGCATGTGGCTTCGCCTCGTGTTGATGTTCAGCGTTCACTGCTAGAATGGAACAAGAGCTGAGATGCATGCTGTTGGGTGCCGCGTGACATCTACCGCTCTCTCAGCGATCCCAGGACTATCGTTCGACCGTGCAAACAAACGGACAGCAGCGATCCTCGTGTTCTGGACTGCATGCGGATGGGTAGGCCCGAGCAGTGAATATCTATTATGTCTTCTTCATTCAGCTGACGAAAAGCTTCTATTCCCAGCCTGCATTCAAGCTGTTATACGATGACAGCCGTCTCCGATAATATGCCGCTGCACAAATCGACGACCAGACTACGACAGCCTCGTAACGCCTTTTGTCCGGACCAGCACTGCGTGTTCACAAATGGTCAGCCTTGATTAAATGCTTGCTGATGCTCAAAGGCTCTGTGCTTGCCTGCGTCCGAGTAATAGACGGCTTGAACGTCAAACATTCTCACAATGTAGTCGCGCCAACCGCTTCTGGAGAGTCTGAGTCGACCCGATGGGCGAGCACTAGACATGCTACAGACGTGCGGTCAGTGATTATCGCAAGTGAGAGCCCAGGCAGCCGTTGTGCGACCCTAAACTGACCGATGCACGCAAGAGCAAGGCTGTAGCGTGGGGTAGAGCGGTTGAAACCCTATTCTCTCATCAGAATATAGTTACCGAATTCCTGATCGGACTGGCGGAGGACAGCGACGAGGCTTGTGGTTCTACCGGAAAAGGCCGCTGTCTGAGAGCCAGAGCTGGAGCGCCCACTCTGTGCTGTTGTGTACCAGAACCTCGGCATAATAATGGCGTCACATCACGAGGGCCTGCAGACGGCGAGAAACTCCCAGAGTAAACCCATGAGGTTGAAAGTTCATAGAGACAGCAACGAAGGGTAATGCGTAGGGCATTGAAGGCAGAGATGGTCAGCAAAAATGGCCAGTCGGCAACGGTAATCGCGGTGATGACGACGTCGAGGATCTATAGGAGAGTAATCGCGCCCCACGAAGGGGATTATCGCAATATCATTAGCGCAAGTGTCGCTGTGGCTCCACGTTCAACGTCTTCCGCGCTTCTAAACGTCTCAGAGCACGCTCCCGTGCGGCACAAGAAGCGGCGAGTACCATTACATGTACCCGCGAAGCCACTGCTTGATGAGAATGTCGAGCAAGACAGCTGCGAAACAGAGGACAGGGCTCACGAAGAAGGGAGCGTTGATGAGCTCGTCAACCGATTGTCCGGATGCCTGAAGCGCGACGGGCGGGAAAAGCAGGATGCCGTGGACAGCGGTGCTCGCTGCGATAGGGAGAATAGGCTCCGTGCTAAGAGGCCCTGAGCAAGTAATTAGTTCATTGACACAGGCGACTCGTTGATCGTATCCGATATATCAGGTCACAAGAGCTGATGTGTCTGTACAATGCAAGGAGCGAGCACCACGGAGAACAGGGGGGATAGACCTACAGAGCTCACTTAGCGAGCCGAAGCAGAGTGACCTCGCTAGACCACATACCAAGATAGGTAACGTGCCAACTTTTCTGAAAAGGGGCTGCAACTAGCTGCGAGTTATAAGCCCGTGACTTGCAACTTCGGCGTTCGCCAACTTCCAGCGGTAACCACCGGTGTTCGCCGGTGGCCATTGGTGTTCGCCGGCGGTCCTTGCCATATACGGGTGCGTCACTGTGAGCGCTTGTGAACACCACCGTTCGTTGTCCACTGGAACCCATCGGAATACAGCAGCAACTGGTGAATATTGCTGTGTATCAGTGGCAAGTAGTGGGGTATGTTGGGATATACCAGTGTTCAGCATGTTATGCTGGCTGCCACTGGTATTTGGTCCGGTCGATTCACATGGCAGGTGGCAGACACCACCAAACACTGGTGACATCCACTGGCAGGCAGTGGCCACTATCCATCAGCATATGCTGTTTATTGTTAGTATGTCATTGAATAATAATTTTTGGCATTTTTCACTGGTCTTTGGGCAAAAGTGTGTGACATTGGGCCATGGTGTGTGACTTGCTTTCCAGGTTGGGCTAACTCTCATGAACAAATTGTTTTAAGACTAGTATCTGGCAGGTTTGGTCTCATGCTTTGTGCATAGATGGCTTATATTACACATATTCTCACTCAGAAAATATACATTTACCTGAGAATCACAACAACAAGGTTCATAGCTGTTGAAATATTAATGTGACTGCTGGCAGCCTGCCCCCACTGCCTGATAGCTCATTCCTGAGCTTATAGAAAGTTTATAAAAAATCTCAGGAGCCTCTAACCAGGTCTGTGTAGTTTAATATGCTTCAAAGAATTACTTGCAGCTGCTTCCACTTGGGGACACATCCGGCAATCAATTTTACACACCTTTTGCACTCAGACAGTGTACCGCGTAGAGACACTTCAGTGAGAGCTGAGTTCTGGGATAGTGCACAGTTCAGAGGAGAATAGGCATCTATACAGATGCCGGTGGCTAAGCATGTATTGAGCTTATTACAGAAAAATATTTGTATCTATATTGGTACTTGATAAGCCAGTGGCTTCAAGCAATGTTTGATGCAAATTGCTGGTGATGTGTGCCGGTAGCCGGTGGCAACCTGCGAAGCCCAGTGGGATCTGGTGTGTCTCACTGCCGCCCACTGTTACTCACTGATACCCACCAGCCAACAGCAGCAGCCACTGGAGACTAGCACTGGACTTCACTGGATACCAGTGGGTGCCAGTGAGTACACCCCATATTCAGTGGAATTTGGTGTAGTTGTCAGTCCCGGGCATATTACTGACTAGCTGCAACCCTCCGGGTCGTACGTCGGCGTCGGTGAAAATCAGAGGCGAGTCGAGGATGCGCTCGGCACTAGAATGCTGACTGCAGGAAGAGTCTTGAAAAGCTGAGAAGTGTATAGAAGACAATCTAGGCGCTGCTCTTGACATGACTTGGGTATATACAGTACCCCCAAGATAAGTTTCGCATCGGGCGGGCGATGACGTTCTCGTGTAGCTTTGCGAGGGGCGCGTTCCATTGCGTGAGCTCACGGCTGGCCGCGGGACAGGCCAAGACATGAAAATAGACATCCTTTAGCGTGGCTGTTGGAAAAACCGACGACGCGGGGCATGCTTGAAGTCCAGCAATTGAACCAAGCGTTGCCAGAGGCTGTGGATGCGCATCATTCCTGAGCATCTCCGAGTTCCTGCCAGGCTGCCTCATTCTGCAGCTCCACACATTGAGCTCCCTTCAGCTGGCCAAGCATCGTGTACTTGTGCATTCTAGATTGATGCTGTATCGCCTGAGCGTGGCGTGTGTTGCCGTCAGCCGCTCGCGCTGGCCTTCCTAGTAGCGAAGGATACGAGGTCTTATGAGGCGCAAGCGTGGATTACGGGCCGTGTAATATATGCTGAGGCGGCGAGCCTGCGCAAGATAGCTGTCATGAAGCGTGTCATATTAGAGATATCTAGTAGGGCGATACGCATCCAACATGGGTCCTGCCTCCCAGGCGTGTTCGAGGGTGTCAGTGGTAACGCCTTAAGGTGCCAAGGAGAGGAGCGTCAGTGTCAGCTGAGAGCTGTTGCAGAGTAGACGTGAGGTCGGCTGGACACTTGGGGAATTCGAGAGGTTGAGAGCCGACTCAGCCGAGCACCCAGACTCTGACGCCCGCGTATCGTCAAGGAGTCACGTGGCCGTGTCAATCTCAGATCTCTCGCTGCCGTCGAAGAAACACGGCTCTTTTTCCTCGTTTCGACGTCAACCGGCAATTCTCGTTGCTTATGCGCCGCATGCTCGTTCGACGTAGCCCGTATGGCCGCCGCCCGGCTACACTTGGCATCTTATGCCCCGCCCCTTAGCTCAAAATTTAAGCGGTCATCAGCTGCATCAACTTCACGGTCCATTCACCCGCTGATTCTGGCTGCGCAGGATACGGACAGTGTGGGTCAGAGAACTTCCTGCCCTACGGTTGCATCCTGCGAGAATCCGTGTACCACTAACCAGTCCATATATACATGCAGCCTACACGACACTGTGTAGTAGTCAAATCCCACTATTTGGTCTACAAGATCCAGGCTTCAAGTGAGTTTCTCTTCGTGGTCCTTATGGCCGCCTTTGCTGATTGCCCTGCCAGGGCCCTGCGAGCTGAGAAGGCCCAAACTTCGCGCAGTCACTACATCAGACTGCTCTCCAAGCCCTCTCCGACGCCTTCGTCATTCCGCTCTGCAGGAAGGGATCGGCGGTGAGCCGCAACTTGAGCTGTTAATGCAGCAGACGACCTGATGACCTGACAACATTTCCGTGCGCCAGACACTCGCGAAAGAGATCAAGCCTATCCATCCGTTATATGCACTAATTCGCGAGTCGGACTACTCCTAGCTCGACCGGCTCGTGGGCTTCCCGAAGGAGCTGACACCGCCCGTAACGACTCAACGTCTTCGGGATCGCCTTTGGCTCCCTGTCGTCTGGACCGAGTTCAATTTCTGCGTCAGATTCCCTGCTGAACGCAAGTCGGTGAGGTCTTCGCGGACCTGGGACGAGCTCTGTATAGTGCGCACCGGTCTTATGAAGGACTGTGCTGAAGCACCAGGCGACGTGTCTCTCGGCGTTTCAAGACGGCCTTGGTTCCGCAACTGGTCAGCTGGTCGCGCGAGGCCGCAATTTGTGGGTACAATACTCATGCTCATCTTCGCACGAATTTACACTTAAATAGTCGGCGCATACGACCTATCCTTCGCAAAGCTGCAGGCGCGGTAATACGATATCGACCGATGCCTTGGTGCCTCCAAGGACGAGGTGGTCGCGGCGGGGCGCAATGACCGTACACAGGGCGATCGAGACGGGGCAGATCGCTTGGTTCTCAGAGCAACTCGCTTCCAGGCAAGACATAGAGGGGTTGCAATAGATCGGCACATATACGCTCGCAGAATGAGACTCTGCGGTGTTCCTGGACGAGTCGGTTGGTATTTAGAGGGTGTGTTGAATGGCATCGTTCCCACACCTTACTTGCAGCTTATTCCCTATGCACTAGCTGGCGACAATTGCGCCCTGTTGATATTCCTGCAGGTGTCGAGGCGGTGGAGAGCAACTCCTCAGAGGTGTTTGACCGGCAGCGGACGGTCTTCATACATGTGTAGTACCTTCTAAATACCACTATATAGCCCGCTAATCGAATAATTCACTACCCTGATCAAAGTTCAGGGCACGTACTCCCCGAACTCCGCGTTCGCGCCCTCGTTGTCACACTTACGAACGACAAGTCCACCAATATAATTCATTACTGTACTATATGCGCCGATGGAATATATGTATTCAGCTCAGTAAGCCCGTACCATTAACCCCAGGACCTCCGCCGTCCCTGCTCTACCCGTGCTGCCTCTAGTCTCGTCAGCTCATCCATTGACCTCGCTACCACGACCCTTCCCAGTGCATGACGCCGCGCCTTGTGCTTGGCGGTCGACCACAAAGGGCGCGAACTCTGATATTCGGGTACGTTAACGGCTGACGTTAGGGAGCTTTCATGCGACATTGTGCCGTGCAGTTCGGCGTGAGCAAGCCCCTGTGGCGGGTCGGATGAAGTGACCAATCCGGACGGCGATGATGGCTGCGGTCCAAACAATGACGACAGCAGCGGTTCGGCCAACTGTTCCTTGCCGTGAGCGTCCACGGCGGAGGCGGGTCTGATGCGCTTCGAGAGCAGATTGCACTCAACATAATCGCCGCCTTCGTCCTGCCGGTTCTTGATGTGCCCAATCCAGTGGCAGCCGTCGACCTCGCACGTGGACCCGTACTCGTTGTACGACGTCTTGAGCGCAACATGTAGATGATGCCAGATCGAATTCTGGTCGCCGCGAAGCTTGTCCAGCTTGTACGCCTTCTCAAGTGTATGCAGGAGTTGCCTGTAGAGTGTGCCATACCGCTCCGTTAGCGTCATTTTCTTCCAATACAGTTGCTCGATCCACTCCCGGTAGTCAGCTCGGACCCCGATACCGTTACCGGCCTGCGAGATATGTGCCGCGGTATTAACTGGCGCAGAAGACTCAACAGATAAGATGTCTGCCGCCCTGACCATCCTCTCCAGTATGTTGACGACAACTTCTCGAGACACCACTCCCGGGTCACAGCAAGAGAGCCACAGCTCTGCTGAGGCGATAAACATCTCGAAGTGGTCCTGCCAACCTCCTGTTACATACCAAAAGTTCCGCCGTCTCGGTTGCCCATGTCTCGTCACTGGCCTCGTCAAGCTTCAGACCGTCCGTTCTTGGGCGCTGCTTTCCTCGTTGTCTCCACCACCCTTGCCCCATCCTTGCCCTTGCCTTTGCCTCTGCTCTCGCCCTCGCCTTCGTTCTTGCCCTCGCTCTTGCCCTCGCCGCGCCTTTTCCTTGCCCTCACTCAGTGCTATACCATGGCCTTCGGACTGCGCAGCGCTCTGTGCTATTTCAAGGGCCGAACGGGAACGCCCGGGTCTTTGGTCTTCGGAAGCGTCAACAACGGCTACCGTCGAGGAGCCTTCTTGAGACATTGCGCGATGTGATCCGGCGTGTGCAAGTTCCTCTCGTAGGCTTAATGGTGTAGTTAATGAGTTTGTTGACGGCTGTGGTCGCGATCCGGACTGCCGTGCCCTGCCGTGCTGGCGCGCAGGGTCGGAGGCCGGTGCGACGTGTTTCGAGAGAAGGTCGCACTCGGAGTGGAAGTGGCCTTCGTGGTGTTCGCCGTGCCCAATCCAGGGGCAGCGGTGGACCTCGCATGTGGATCCGTACATGTTGTGAGACATCCCGAGCGCACCGTGGAGACACTTCTGGATCGTACCCTGGTCGCCGTAGAGCTTGTCCAGCTTGTACGCCTTCTCAAGCGCGTGAAGGAGCCGCCTGTAGAGTGCGCCATAATGCTCTGTCAACGTCATGCTGTTTCCAGATAGTCGCCAAATCCACTCCCCATGGTCAGCTCGGACCTCAACGGCGTTTCCGCCCTGCGAGATGCCAGTGGCGGTGTCAAGCGATACAGCAGACTCAACAGACAAGACATCCGCCGCCCCGACCATCTTCTCCAACACGTCGACCACAACGTCTCGAGATGCCAGTCGCATATCACAGCGACCGAGCCATACTGTTGCTGTGGCAATAAACATTTCGACAAGGTTCTGGTCAGCTTGTGTGAACTCGGATGAGAAGTAGTTCGTCAGGAGCAGCTTGCAGTCAGTGGCTGTAGTGAACCCTTTCTGAAGTGCTGATGAAAGCACCTAATATGTTAGCAAGCTCCCCGTGTGTACTACATGCGTGCTTACACAGGGATTTGTCAGCCACTGATAGTGTGATCCTACAGTCCTTCAGAGCATCCATGTATGCCCTATGCAGCAATGCGGAGGTGTTATGGTGCCTAGAGTGATCAAGGGCAAGCTGAAGAAGAAGAAGTCGAACTTCAGAGGCCGGTACCGGCGATGTCAGTTCTTCTTGGTATTCTTGAGCGGCTGCGAGAAGGAGGAAATCCAAGGTATGCCCGTGCGGACGTCGTTCCACAGCTTGACACTCTTTGATGTATGCGACAACGTGAGAGTTTTGCGTCGACTTTGCCACCCAGGACAATGCTCGCATGAGTAGAACAGCCTCCTTGACCTCGACAGACAGCTCATCCACAGCAGCCTTCTCCACGGAGCTGTCCGAAGTCTCGGCCGATAGAGTTCCCTCTGCTGCGACACGCATGGTCTCATACCTGAGCTGTCGGGACCCAAAGCGCGGCAACATGGTTCTGCAGCTGCCGAGGTCGACGTCGCGCCAGCCGAGCGGCAGTCGTTTCCACTTGACACGTTCTTGCTGTTCCAGACGGTGGTCTGATTCGCCCGCCAGGACGATCTGGAAGAGGAAGCGAAGTCTCAGGGTGTAACGCCGGTAGCGTAAGTGGCCCTTGTATTCTAATAGAGAGCATCAGGCTGCAAACGACGTGTATACTATTTGCACGACTCACCCTCAACAAATGCGCGCCATCGAGAACGCAGCAGGGCGGCATACGCTCTGCCCCGTTTTAGACAGAAGGTCACCGAATGCGATGTAAGCGTACAAGCCGCCATAACCGCCCATGCCGTGGGTGACTTGTACGGGCACCGGCGAGAGAACACGGGGAGGATGGTGAACACGGCGACCACGAGCAGGAACATCGCCGTTACAGCTGTCAAGCAGATCGCGACAACGTTGTCCAGCGTCCAGAGGAGAATGACCATGCCAATGAGGAAGAGGATCATGGCGACTTCGAGCAGCGCCGGCACCGCCGAGACGACCGCCGCGATGTTCCACGCCTCCCATGCTTCGAGGCGGAACTGGCGCACCATGATGTTCTCTCGCGGCGTCGCAAGAGGCGAGTTCCACTGCATGTACTCGCGCACCCACTGCTTGACGAGGATGCCGAGCAGGGCGGCGGCGAGACTGAGGACGAGGCTGACGAAGAAGAGCGTGTTGATCCACCGTGTCAAGACCGAGGGCTCGAATGGTGGCTGATCGTCGGGAGACACTAGTTGAGGAGGGGAGAATGGAGCTCCGGTGAGGACGGCGGAGAATCCCTGAACAAGGATCTGGTTACTTTGGGCGAGCATCTGGTTATTCGTCGTAAGGAGCTTGTTCGTCAGATCGGCGCTCGATGGCTGGAGCATCTGATATGTCTGGACGACAAATGCGGTGAGGACGGCGGAGAAAAGACCGGCCTTGGTGGAGATTAAATAGATTGCCAGTGAGTGCAGACACGCTGGGAGAGAACTCACGAAGACAAGGAGGGTATCAATATCATCAGAGTACCCTTTCATCTTTCCTTCGTCGTCCTTCACAACGGTCGCCTCTATTCCAGCCCAGCCGGAAAGACCTGAGGCATTCTGGTGTGGGGAAATGCGAAGATAAACTTCTGGCGTGAGACTAGGCCTACATGTCGCATGCGCACCTTGAAGCGAGGATCCTCCGCCGGATTCCCACCTGGTGAAGTCTCCATACGTGCTTGTAGCGTACTCGACGACGGCGGCCGGTTTTTACTAGGTAGACTGAGGGGATAGGTGGAAGGGTGTCGGATTGAGGATGGAGCGAAGGAGGGTGATCAAGTTGCACCTCGATGTAAGAAGCATGTATGGTGCGTGCGATCTTGTCTCGTGTTGGTGTTGACCGCTGGAATGGAACAAGAATTCAGTCGCATGCTATCGACTCGCCCTGCGGTATCTGTCATTCTCTCAACATTTCTCCATTGGTCCGCTCGACGCTCGAGACAGACAGCTGAGGAGAGCTGGTTGAAAGGCCTGCGTGGAGCGCAGACAGACAGGGCCAGCAATATTACATGTCTGTCACACTGGCGGAGTCTACACCACCAACCTGCATTCAAGCCGTCAACAGATGCCAGCTATCACTGATCACCGGCTGCTGAATAGGATCACGCGACCCACGATGCCAAGGGCGATGCGACAGCCGTGAGCGAAAGTCATGAGAGAATTGTATTCATTGCGCTCTGGCTGAACTCGTTGGTAAGCACCTTGAGACGTTGTGAGAACAAGCACATATAGCGTAGATGTGGAGTGGAGGAAACAGAGACGACTGCAGAGCCTTGTGCGCGCTTCCCCAGGGCACATCACGTAGATAAACTCTTCGGCGGGTGGCGTGGCTCCGCAAGCGGTAATTTCTGCCGCGTATGCTCACTGCGCAGGATACAAAATGGGATAGACTTATAAATCAATATTTTCGAGGGAGCCTCTTGGACAAAACGGAGATAGGGAGCATGCTTGAAGTCCAGCAACTGAGCCAAGCGTTGCCTGCGGCTGAGAAGGCGAGGAGACGCACCTGAATGGTATCCAGATCTCTCTAACATCGTACTTTTCTCACCCGTGAGTGTTGCAAAGCGTTCTCCCTGGGTCAACGCAAATCCGAAGCCTTGTAATTGGGCCGTGTCTCTAACCCAGACGTTCACACACGCCACGCGTTCATGACTAGGAGAGGGATGTGCCATTTGAAGTTGAGATAAGAACGGCTCGAAGACGAAGTACAAAGTGTCTAGTGACATAGGAGGTACAGTATTGCGACTGTGCCTGGCGTACCCGTTCAACACAAGCCAACTCGAGTAACATGACATTGAGTACACACACCATGCATCCAACACGACCGTCCATCAGGGACGCGAAAGCAAACTGACTATCTTCCACCTGAATCCGCCTTGGCGGCATGCGAAAGCGGCCACTACCTGGGGAGGGAATAAACGGTCGGTCTTGTGCTCCCAGCGTGAAGTGGATATGTGCGCACCATCGGCGAGCCCGAGGTGTGAAGGGAAGTAAGTGCAAAGTCGAAGAGGAAGGAATTTGCGTCAAGGTAGAGACACGCGCTGTGTGTGGAGGCGAACGCGGGCTGCGAACTCAACGCGCCGCTGAGGCGCTTACGTAATAAAGCTGCCACGTGACTCGTGCCAAGCACGCGTTTGGAATCTTGGATTCGCCGCCTGCCCGTCCTTGTCTTCGCAACACGACCGGAGCACGAGCAGTGCCGTTGCCCCACTGTGCTCCACGACTCGGTCTCCTTCCCGCTTCTCGCACGAAACGTTTTGTGCGCGTACTTCCAAGATGACATGTCTCGCTTTACACGCATTTGCACCATAGACGACGCACCTCTGGCCCTGCAACAACTCTCAGACGGCCCACGCAACACTAATCATGTGCCGCAATAGTCAACGATTAGCTTACGATCCAGTAGCATGTTCTTCGGCAGAGATGGAGATCCGAAGACGTTCCCTTCTTCTGGCTGGTCGCGGTGCGCAAACCTTGAGTTACCTAGCGACTGCGATACTCATCTTAAACCTGGACTGCACCATCTGAATGCCTCAGGCATCCATCTCACTCAACATAGTCTACGTCGTTGTCTCAGAGGCCGTCGGCGACTGCAGTAACAATTTATTTGTCGGCTCTCGGGCACCGATCCAGCTGCATATATACAATGTAAGCTGCAAATTTCTTTATTACATCCCCGCATGCTGACAAACTGATCTGTATGCCACCTAGGTTTTACCGCGCCATACTACACCAAAGTCCAGCTAGTCTTGACGATGTCGACCGAGATCAGGCACGTTGCCCTAAAAGCCCTAGCAGAAGGCCATGCATCTGACCGACCATGGAGCGTGTCTACAGGTGCGTCTCGGTGCCCAACAAAGTTTATGTAGCGTCAGCTCATCTTTGTCGGCACAGGTCACACAGCTCGCGGTACTTGAACCAGTCCACACTGCACGTCACGCCCGGCGTCCTCGCGCTTGCACGGCTATCGACCTGGCATCTAGTTCATCGCCGGCTCACGCCATCTACGCCCCGTACCCGACCACGACGATATGCGACTTCACTCGCGTCGAACTGTATTTTCGCGCGCTGACGTAGGTCAAGCTCGAGGTCAGCCGGACATGTATCTTGGAGGAGTTGGTCAGCTACGCGGGGATGATTCGGAGTGCGATGTGGGCAGAGATATGGGTCTTCGGTTAGCAATGCCTATGCCACCTGCGTCCCATACTAGCTGATTGGGCGTGCGACGGACTTGAAAGTCGGCACATGTGGATGTACGCCCTCTTGTCCTTACGTATCGCGCTGTTACTAACGGGAGTGAAGATTCTAGCTGGCGAGCTCACGCTTGCAGGCTAACAGGCTCTTCACGAAGCTGGCCGTATCGGCCGTATCCGTCGCTGCTGATATCGGCGCTTCCAGACGGCCAACGCCCCACCGTGAGTCCCGCTTCACTCGACGATCCCGACCACCTCCCGCCTGATCTACCACAGGATTGCCTTCACATCACTCGCGCGACCGCTCCTCCGGCCGCAAAATAACCAGATGGACTCTGTGCATCTGAAACTGGTGGCGCTGCCCTCGCGCAAGCATCTCGCCGCTTGGCCACCAGTCTGGCACCGAGAACGTCGCAAGCCTGCGTCTTCTACGCCCCGCAACCGACAACGAAGCACGGCCTCACTCGTGCCGAAACGCACTTTCGTGCGCTGACGTAGGTCAAGCTCGTGGACGTCCAGACACGTATCTGAGAAGCTGATCAGCAATGTAGGGCCGATGCAGAGCGCCACGTAGACGGGCAAATAAGTTACGAGTACGCGCGGCGTGCGTAATCTGCCCCCACTCTGGTTTGCCGGACCCGTGGTGGACATTCAAGTTAGAATCCGTGGGTGCATGCCTTATCCGTCTCCGCACCTTGCTCGCAGCTTATTCGCTATGATCCAGCTTGCGCTAAGTGCATGCTCCTGCACGAACGAAATGGCATCCTGTCGATAATCTTACGGGTGTCGAGGCGGTGCCAAGCAACGTTTCAGAGATCTTCGACTGGTGGCGGACGGGCTTGATTCCATGTATTACCTTCGAATATCACTGTATATCCCGCTAATTGAATAATTTACTTTCATACTCAGGAGTCTTGGGCATATACTCCCCGAGCTCCGCGCTCATGCACTCGTTGTTGCACGTACGAACGACAGCTCTACCAATATAATTTACCGCCGTATGCGCCGGTGGAATATACATGTACAATACGAGTCTGGAGCGTCAACTCCAGGACCTCCGCCGTCCCGCTTCTGCCTCTGGTCTCACCAGCTCATCCATCGGTGTCGCCTCTCCTACCCTCCCCATCGCATGGCGTCGCCGCTTGCGCTCAGTGGCCGACAACGAAGACCGCGAGTTCGGACAATCGGATGCGCTTCGGATTGCTGGCACCGGAGGGGCGTCGTGTGACGTCATGCAATGTGGTTCGGCGTGGGCGGGCCCTTGGGCCGGGTCAGATGAAATGGCTGATTCGGACGACGACGATGGCTGTGGTCCAGACGATGACGACGGCCGCGGTTCGGCCAGATGTTCCTCGCCGCGCGCATCCGCAGCGAAGGCGGGTCTGACGGTCTTCGAGAGCAGATCGCACTCGACATGTAAGCCGCCTTCGTTCAGCCAGCTCTTGACGTGCCCAATCCAGGGGCAGCCGTCGACCTCGCACGTGGACCCGTACTCTTTGTGTGATGTCTGGAGCGCGTCGTGTAGATAATGCCGGATCACGTCCTGGCCGCCACGGAGCTTGTCCAGCTTGTACGCCTTCTCAAGCGCATGCAGGAGTCGCCTGAAGAGTGCGCCATACCGCTCCGTCAGCGTCTTTTTCTTCAAATACAGTTTCCGGATCCACCCCTCATGGTCAGCTCGGACATCAACGCCGATGCCGCCCTGTGAGATGCCTGCCGCGATATCAGCCGGTGCGGCGGACTCAACAGACAAGATGTCTGCCGCCCTGACCATCCTCTCCAGTACGTCGACCACAACCTCTCGAGACGCCGCTTGCATTCTACAGGGATCGAGCCACTTCGTTGCCGTGACGATAAACATCTCGAGGTGGTCCTGGTCAGCATGTGTGAACTCGGATGGGAAGTAGTTTGTCAGAAGCAGCTCGCAGTCTGCGGCTGTGGTGCGCCCCTGCTCGAGCACTGGGAAAACACACCTGACATGTTAGCAAATATTCCCTCTTCTAGGCTATGTGTGTGCTTACCCAGATGTCTGTCAGCTGTGGATAGCATAATCCTGTAATTCCGCTGAGCATAAATGTATGCCCTACGCAGCAGCGCAGAGGTATCACGGTGCTTGGAGTGATTAAAGACGATTTGTAGAAGGAGCCGCTGCGCTTCGTAACCGGGTTCTGATGCGACCGCATGAAGGAGGAAATCCAATGTACGCTTGTGTGGACGCTCCTCCTCGGCATGACATTGCTCGATGTACGTGACGACGTGCGAGTTCTGTGACGACTTTGCAACCCAGGACAACGCTTGCAGGAGTAGGACGGTCTCCTTGACCTCACCGCACAGCTCGCCTTTCTGCTCCGAGCCATCTAAAGTCTCGGCCCCAAAGGTTCGCTGTGCTGCGGCGCGCATGGTTTCATCGTTGAGCTGCCGGGCCCCGAAGCGCGGTAGCATGGTTTTGCAGCTGCTGAGGTCGACGTCGCGCCAGCTGAGCGGTAGCTGCTTCCACTCGACCCGTTCTTGCAGCCCCAGCACATGATCCCAGTAACCAACCAGGACTATCAAAACGAAATGGCGATATATTTCAGTATACTGCCTGCGGCGCAAGTCATTACTGCAAACTGAAAGAGAGCATTAGGGATGTAGATGACATGCTAGACACTTGCATTGCTTACAACTAATGAACCACCGCCATCGACGATACTGCAGAGCAGCATATACTCTACCCCATCTCACACAGAACGGCACCATATGCAAGGTGAGCTTGCAAGCTGCCATGACCGCCCATGCCGTCGGTGACTTGTACGGGCACCGGCGTGAGAACACGGGAAGGATGGTGAACACGGCGATAACGAGCAGGAACATCGCCGTGAATGCTGTCAAACAGATTGCCACAACGTCATCCAGGGTCCATAGCAGGATGACCATGCCAATGAGGAACAGGATCATTGCGACCTCGAGTAGTGCCGGCACCGTCGAGACGATCGCCGAGACATTCCACGCATCCCACGCCTCCAGCCGGAATTGCCGCACCATGATATTTTTCCGCGGAGTTGCCAGCGGCGAGTTCCACTGCATGTACTCGCGCACCCACTGCTTGACCAGGATGCCAAGCAGGGCGGCCGCGATACTGAGGACGAGACTGATGAAGAACAGCGTGTTGATCCACCGTGCCGGGGTCGACGGCCGGAATGGCGGCAGATCAGCGAGAGACATGAACTGAGGGGGAGAGAACGAGGACCCGGTGAGGACGGCAGAGAAGCCTTGGACGAGGATCTGATTGTTGGTGGTAATGAGCTGGTTCGTGAGGTCGACGCTCGATGGCTGCAGCATGGTATAGGTCGAGACGACGAATGCGGTGAGGATGGCGGAGAATAGACCAGCCTTGACGGGCGTCAGATCGCTCGAACATGAAAACGCAGATGAAGAACATACAAAGACGAGCAGGGTGTCGACATCTTCAGAATATCCATTCATCTTCCCCTCGTCGTCCTTCGTCACAGTCGCTTCTATTCCGGCCCACCCGGAGAGACCTGATATGTCCTGGCGCAGAGGGATGCGACAATGAACCGCCGATACGGGACTTACTTAGGTGTGGTATCCGTACCTTGGCATCCGGACCACCCGCCGCTCGATTTCTGCCTCGTGAGGTGTTCATGAAGGTGTACAGTGCACTCCGTAACAATGGCAACGGTGACTGGTGAACGGAGAGAGTGAAAGAGAGATGGTAGCGGCTCAACAGGGCGAAGGAGGGAGGCCTTACACCGCCGACCTTGCATTAACAAGCCGCCAACAGACTACAACTGTCAGTCAAGATGTGATGGCTGTTGCTGACAACCGCCACTGCACAGACTCCTGACCAGCATGCGGCAGCACTGCTGCCTCGCATGAAAAATTGAATTGTTCAGAGTGATGCGTCCAGAGCTGTGCAAGGCGGTGTCCTCGGTTTTCGATCCTGCACGGCCATAGCGATGTCTACAAATCATACAAAGGAAGCCTTGAACGACAAATCGGCGATAACATGTGCAAGTATTATGGCAGCCCCGATAGCACTCTGACCAACTTGGAATCTGGAAATACCTTGCAATGACGTACATACAGGCAGGCGCAAGTAGCACAAACCAGGAAAGAAGTAAGTACGGGCGACTCCAGAGCCTTGTGCACGCATCTCCTGAGTCCACATATGAATGAAATCCTCCGTCCTAGGAACAGTGAGTGCACCTGCCTCTGGTAGTGCCCTGCCTTATCCTTTGCACGACGTCCTGCTATGAGCGCGAAGTGCCTCATAGCGCCCTCCATCCAGGCTAGCTCTGCGTGACTGCGGATGATCAGCTTTGCTCACCGACGTGCAAACATGCTGCTCTTACTTTCGTCCAAAGGCACTTGTGCCAGAGTTGAGGTATTATTTTCACAGATGACCCGCAACGGTCTGGGATGTCGCGCCGCTAGTCCACTGGCCTGAAGACGTAGGGCACATCTTGCCACGATGGGTCTGTTCAGCTACCGCCTCGGCTGGCATAGCTTGAGTGTGCGGAGTCGAGGATCTAAAGGGAAGGCGCTCGTCGCCGTCGAATGATCCACACGAGACGTGGTTGGACGGTATCAAGAATACGGGACGCGATGCCGAAGACCAGACATAAGATGGTGAGCGTAACGTTTCGTCGCCCTCAGGCGTGCTCGGCCCGTCATCAGTCTTGACCTTGTGCTACCTGGCCGTTATCATTTGGCACCGGTGCGGCGGGCGCAACAGAGACAGCTGGCCGCGGGTAGGACGATACGAGGCGGCTTTGGATGGTAGAGAGTGGCGGGATAGAAGGACATAACGCCCCACTTGTGATGGAGAAAGGTGCGTGGAATCCGATGCGGCCGACAAGCCAGGATCTTTGACCTGTGGTGATGCGGGTGGTCCTCCGTCGGCTGCGGCAGCGGTGGAGGGGCTTTAGACGGGCAGCTTGCCTAGCTAGATGGCTGGTTGCGAGCTGTGGTGTCGGCCGTGAGCGCCGACTTGGGAGGCCGCGCGTTTCTGAGCGTTACACTCCAGAAAGGAACGCCCGAATAGCGTTTCCACGCCAGTCGTAGTGGGTGGGGTTCTGGCGTTCATCGGGGCGCCGCTTGCTTGAACAAGACGAAGGAGGGCGGCGAAGTGCATACGGTGAGCACCCGAGAAAGTTGATGCTCTGCAGTCAGAGTCGGTGCACCCGTTCCTCGTCATAGCGAATCGTACAACCCTGGGTATTGCGCAGGTCCTGGCGCCGTGAGATGGCGTTTGCAGCTGCGAACACCTTGCGGTCGATAGCGCCAAAGGCCCACAATGGCGGGGTCACAGCTCCCTGTTGTGAGGGTTAGTAAACGACGCAAAGACACATTTGTCGGAACGCGACCTACGATAGAAACTTATACAGGCAAAAACTCGTAGGGAATGCAACGGAAGATAAGAGGTGAAGGTAGAGGCGACCAGCAGAAAAGCAGAGGCGACAACGGTGATCACAGCGGCGACGATGCCGAGGGTCCATAGGGGAACGACTATGCCCGCGAAGAAGAGGACCACAGCCATATCGATCAGCGCAGGTCTTGCCACAGTAATCGCCTCCACATTCCACGTCTTCTGCACCCAAAGCGACTCTGCCGCACGAACGGACTCTCGCGCGGCACCGGAAGCGGTGAGTTCCACCGCACGTGCGCGCGGAGCCGCCGCTTGGGGAGATCGTCGTACAACGCAGCTGCGAGGCAGAGGACGGGGCTCGTGGAGAAGAGGGCGCTGGTAAACTCGTTGATCAGCTGCGCGGACGCCTGAGGCGCGAAGGGTGGTATGGCTCGGCGAGCAGCGAGTTCCGCTGCGTACACTTGTCGCATAGGCTACAATTTGGACTATCGGCTTGGAATTAACAGTTTGGAGAGTGGCCGTCGGGCGAAACGGCAGTGAGCAGCATGCTTAAAGTTCACCAGTTGGGCTAAATGCTTCCAGCGTCGAAAAGACAGGGGACGCACCTGAATGCTGTCCAGACCCTCCCGACATTGTCCATCTATCTCGTCCCTGAGCGTTGTAAAGCGTTCCCCCGGGGTTGACCCAAAGCCTTGTGCTTGCGACGAGTTTCTTAATCGAATGTTCGCATGCGATTGGGAGGTATGTCACGCTTTCATGATTAGGAAAGGGGTGGTTGAAACTTGAAAGACGAAGTACAGTGTGATCCTGACATGAAGTGCACATTATCGCAACTGGCGGACCAGCTCAGCAGAGGTTAGGTCAAGCAGCACGAATATGCGTACCGTGTGTTCAATACAACAATCCTTCGACGATACAAAACTGAGCCGTTCATCTTCCGCCTGACACCTGAACGTTAACGTTGAAACGTTGAACCTGCATCTTCTGGAGGCCTTGGCGGCGTGCGGAAGCAGAGGGAATGAACGAACGGCTTCGTGTTTTCGGCCTAAGCCGACACACATACATGCTATCGGCGAGTCGAGGAAGGGATATTGCGCGAAAACAAGGTACGCGCCTGAAAGTGACTTTGGGAGCAGGGCAACAAGCGAATATGCCAGGGCGCTTACGCGACGAAAGTCGCACGTGACTCGTGCTAAACACAGCGCGTTCAGGTTTTTCAGAGCTGCCCGTCCTTGTCTTCGCACCAGCAACACACCACGACCGGAGCACAAGCTACTCTGTCACTCTGCTGTGCACTGCTCAAGGGCTGAATCAGCTCTCTTCCCTGCTTCTCTCACGAAACGTTCTTTACAGTCACTTTTGTGGTGACATGTCTCCCTTCGTACCATAGACAGCGGATCTCCGGCCCTGCAATGACCCTCAGACGGCCCGCACAGCGCTACTCATGCACTGCGGCAATCGGCATGTACTCAACTCGGTCGACCTCTGGCGGATATGGAGATGCCGCAGCGGTATCTTTCCCTGGCTGGACGGCAACCATCGCCAGCAGGACGCGTTCATGGAAATTCGAGGTGCGCAAACCTTTGATTGCCTAGTGGTCGCTATACTCATCTTGAACCTGTATCACGCCATTCAGAATCTGTCAGACACCCACCCCACTCAACGTAGTCTACACTGTTGCCTCAGGGGCCGTCGACGACCACATCAACGACTTATCCGTCGGCTCTCAGGTACCGGCTCGACAGAATATTTACAACGTGAGCTACAGCTATTCCATTCTCTGCACGCATCCTGACGAACAGATCTCTATGCCATCCAGATCCTTGTGCATCTCACTTCCCTCACAGTCCGGCCGCTATGGTGAAAGGGCTGCGCATGTGACTGAGCGAGGAGAGTGTTTGGAGGTGCGTCTCGATACCCAGCGAAGATCTCCGTGGCCACACTCATCTCCACTCGTGCAGGCGACACTCCAACTTGCGGCGTTTGAATCACTTCATGCTGCACATCACTCCTGGCGTCCTTGCGCAAACATCTCAGTGCACGGCTGCCGGTATGGTACTACCTCATCTCCAGCTCGCGCCTTCTACGCTTCATACCTGAACACGAAGTATGACTGCACTCTGGCCTCACAACGCTTTCACGCGCAGACATAGATCACGCTCGAGGACGGCCAGACGCATAGCATGGAGGAGCTGGCCAGCTATGCAGGGCCATTGCAGGGTACAAGTACGCGGGCAAGTAGGTCTTGTGCGCGCCGTCTGCATCGCGCCCTCGTTCGTCGAACGCGCAACGGACTTCCAAGCCACCATATGTGGGTATATGCATACTCATCTTTAGGTATCGATGTTATGACACTGACGAGTGTGGGTGTTTTAATCGCAAGCTTTTGTGCGCAGTCTCGCGTGCTCTTGATGACATTGGCCATACCGGTAATGTCTATCGCTGTTGGCGCCGGCATTTGAGGAGACTATAGCCCCGCCGTAAGTCCCGCTTCCCTCGACGATCTTGGCCTTCTCCCGCTTATACTCTGATCTACCCCAGGACTACCTGTGTGTCGCTCGAACGAGCGTCTCTCCAACGGAAGAATACCAAACGGACCTCATCATCTGGTCGCGCAACATGCGGCGGACACGCTCATCAGACTGGAAATCGTATGGCATCCTCTTACGCCCACGCCTCGCTATGCTTACAGGGTAAATATCCCGCCGTACAGACGATCGCCGTGTGTTCTGTACGAGAGCTCGATAGGAGCAGCATCCGGGCTACTGCCGTGCTGGTCCACATTGCGGGGACGCGAAAATGGTGCAAGACGGTGCATTGAAATACGCCTGAGACGTTCGGGGCGAGGGGTCACGCTGTCGGTCTTGTAGGAGCGAAGCAGAGTGTAGGACTTTGGTTATTCTGCCGCTTGGACGTAGACGTGAATGAAGCAGATTCTATTGGTCGTCTTTCGTCGAATGACACTTGCCGTATAAGGGTGGCGGTGTGAGCCTGGTGGCGTCCGGCATGATCGGCAATGTCTGAGCTGGCACTCGCCTACGCGCATGCGTGGCTCGTCTCTCCGCTTCTGCTACTGTACAGTTCCCCCAGCATGAAACACCCGGGAGTTGCAACTGCGGATTTAACAGCCTGCCGTCTGAGGCGTCGACGGACATATAGAACTCCGCGTCACCACTGGTGTTAGCAAAACAAAAGTGGCTGTTTAGCAACTTAAGAAGTGAAATAACAGCTCGCGAGCAGACTTTCGCAGCGTCGGCAACGTGGCGTATGCCGGCATCCCCCGGCGGCTTTCACGGTTCACCAAATGTCCCGCTAGCTGAGCAACTCTTGTCTTCTCCGATTATAAACCTTTGTGGATGATAATACACGCAAGCACCAAGCGAGTATATAATTAACAAGCGGTCTTAAACATGCATAGGAGGTATGGGGGGCGATGGGGAGCCAGAGCGGTCAGGACAAGGTACACAGCGAAGGCGAGCGACGGAGGGCCCAACCAGTCTCACAACCAGTCCATCTCACCTGCCAAACGGACCAACTACTCAAACGTGGTCTCTCTGTGTATAATTCGGCGTCAGAATTCCCGGCAGCACACGAGCTCGCCGTGAAGTACGCACCCATTCCTTAGCCCCTCGATGACACTATCCAGCGGCGGCGCCGAGTCGAAGGACTCTGAACCGGTCTGGATCTGATTCTGCGAGATACTATCGCCCGCGACCGGTAGCTCGCGGTTGAACCTGAGCAGCCATTTCAATATATGTTCGGCAACACCGTCTCCTGGCGCAACTCGGACAAACTCACTTGCATCCGGGGCACGCCTTCTCAACGGGCCTGAACGACGGCGCGCCACTCCAAAATGTAGAAAACGCTCTGTTCCTGGGATAAGTGGTGTCAGAATGATATTTCCTGCGTCTTGGTAGGAGAGGCATAGAATGTTACTGATCGTCGGTGTTGGGCGCACTAGTCGTCACGGCCTTGTCGTCGCCTGCATGTACAGGAGCCCCGTACACAAGCAGCGACAAGCTAGCGAGAGCGAAGAGGATGAGAGAGAGCATAGTGTGGCAGGGCGGGGCCGTTAGAACTAAGGCACGAGAAGTGAGTGCTTCCAGAGCAGCTGGGGAGCATACACATGTCTTGATCGCTCTTATAGGCGTGACGAGGATAATAAATTTCGTATTGTGCGAGTGTTCGTGTATGCAGATGCTCTTCAAGGGGATACGGTAGCGACCGGTCGACTTACAATGCAGCAGATTGGCCACGACTAGACAGACGGTACGAGAGAACAACGCAACGGTTGAATCTGGTAGTTCGACAATAGCTATCACGGATGAGAGATGATCATTTGCAGCGTGATATTATACGCACCTAAGAACAGTGCCGGTATTCACCATGACCACGCGAAATGTCTGCAAGCTGCTCAGCCTGCTCGCCTCTGCGCAGCTTCCTGAAACCAATGTGCGCGATAACCACTCATGACAGCGCATATGGAGACTCGTGCAAGCCGCTGCACTCGGTGGAAAACGGTGAATCATCTCGGCGTTTCAGGGACGATCAGCATGTTGACCATTATTGACGGAGATGCGGACTGACCGCAGCTTGGAAGTCAGATTGAACAATGATATGAGCTGAATGTCAATGCACGAATTCGGACAGCCGGTGTTCGTGCTGGCCTGAGGGTGTATGTATTCTCGAATGAGGAGGATGGCTAGCAGGCTGCAAGCGCACAGCGCAGGGATGCGAGAGTCGCGGGCGGGCCGTAGTGTTAGACGTTAGAGGGGTGGCAAGCCTCTTCCAGGCTGCCAGGTGCGTGTATGGCAGACTCGTGACCAGTCTACTCGGTAGTTGGTAGGGTGCGTACCGAGGGTGGGAGGGTGGTCGGTACGCTGGAATGGCTACCGAGTATAATATATGACAGGGCGGCTGGTATCGAGCCTACGTGTATGGTTACATGGGCTCAAACGAAAGTTTGGATCGAGGGTCATGCATCATGGCAGAAAGAGGTACTCGTGAACCGGGTGCTTACAGTGCTTTGCAGGCCGATCTGTAGTCTCGTCCCCAACCATTCTAGATCACCCGGAATACTCCGGGCGGACTTCGAAAACCCGAAGTCGCGGCTGGGCGACCGGCGAAGAGTCCAGAAAAGGCAGGCGTCGGCGCTGAGGCACATGGATGTCTGGCGTAAGTTTTAGTGCAATAAATTATCCCATTACCAGTAATTTCTAAGTAAATCCCAGCCTGGTGCCCGGACTACCAGTGCCATTCAACTAAATACAGTACAGAACAGTACCAATAAATCACCAGTACCAGCCTGTAATGATTAGTAATGTATAACAGGCGGGGGGGGGGGGGGGGGGGGGGGGGGG